TGACGTGTTCGTCCATAGTCGGGCTATGGACGGAAAACAGACGTGGAAGTCCATAGACTCCACGTCCGTAAGATTCTTACACTTATGCGCGAGCATAAGTTGTACGCCAACCTCAAGAAGTGTAAATTCGCAGCTAGTGAAATACCACTTATTGGGTGCATCGTCGGAAAGAACGGCGTACGCCCTGATCCAGAGAAGATTAAGGCGATCACCGACTGGCCAGTGCCAGTCTATGTCAAGGAACTAAGGAAGTTCCTTGGGCTAGCGGCGTACTTGCCTAAGTACTCACGCAACTACGCCGAAATGACAGTACATCTTTCTTGTTTACTCAAGAAAAATGTAAAGTGTAACTGGAACGCTGATTGTCAGCGTTCATTTGAACGTATCAAGCAAAGCTTGATGCAATCGCCAGTATTGGCAATTGCCGATCAAGACAGACTATTTCATGTGGTCTGTGATGCCAGTGATTTTGCAATCGGCTGCGCACTGATGCAATATGATACAGACGGCGCAGAGCGTGTCGTCTGTTATCAATCGCGTCAGCTGCAACCGGCCGAGCGCAATTATCCGGTGCATGACAAGAAACTCCTTGCCATGAAGTATGCACTGGCTAATTTTTGCGTCTATCTCTTAGGAGATAGACCTTTCATTGTATATACAGACCATGCGTCACTACGCACGGCTGTAAATAGTCCACACCTCTCGCAACGAATGGCGAGATGGTTGTAGTTCTTCGCGGAGTACAACTTCTCCGTGGAGTATAAGCCGGGACGACTTAACGTCGTCGCCGATTCTCTTTCACGTCGGCCTGACCTAGAGCCGACTGTGCAATCCGACAGCGATGTAAACACCACTGTCGCCACGCTGAGTACCAGCGTCTTGTCGTCGAGCTTACTCGACGACATTAGAAGGGCATGCGCACAAGATAATGATCTTGTACGCCTGATGGAGTATCTCAAGGACCCATCCACGCAAGCTAAGAAGCGCTTGCCTTCCATGTATCGATCTTCTCTCGATCGATACACCCAGCGAAACGGCATCCTGTACTATACAGCCGTCAAGAACGACACGCCTCGTGTCGTTGTACCGCCACAACATGATCTCAGGTTACGGATCATTTTTGAATGTCACGATGCAATTGGGCATCGCGGCCGTGAGAAGACCTACCTCACGGTCAGTTGCGACTTTTACTGGCCACGCCAGTATAAGTTTGTGCGCAAGTACCTGCGTGCTTGCTTGCGAGGTGTTTCAACGAGTGAAGCCTAGTCCTTCACTCCGTGCACCATTGCAGCCTCTACCTGTTCCGGCAGAGTGCTGGGAGTCCGTATCAATGGACTTCGTCTTTGGGTTTCTCAAAGACGCTCACGGGAATAATGGTATTCTCGTGTTTGTGGACAGGTTCAGCAAGATGGTACATCTTGTTGCTGTACCTGAGTCGATCACAGCAGAGGGCTGTGCTCGAGTGTTTATCGATACAATCTTTCGATTGCACGGTTTACCCCGTGAACTTGTGTCCGATAGGGACCCCCGGTTCACGGCTGCGTTTTGGCGTTCCGTGTTCCAAACACTTGGAACACGGCTCACAATGTCTACTTCTGACCATCCAGAAACTGATGGTCAGACTGAACGCGCCAATCGCGTCCTCGAAGAGATTCTTCGAGGGTACGTCCACTCGTTTACGAGTTGGAGTGAGTTCTTGTCGATGGTCGAATTTGCCATCAACAACTCCGTGCATGCCTCCACGACGCATACACCGTTCTACGTGAATGGCCTTCGCCATCCACGTGTCCCCACCTTAGTAGAGGGTGACTCTGATGTAAAAGGGGGGGAGGGACTCGCTCGAGCGAGAACCAATCTGGCTCTTGCTCATCACGCGACGACGTTATGGTCGACGCGAAAGTAACCGAAGTCGTACCATTCGACTTTAGTGAAGAGGAAGAAAGTAAGAGCGATGAAGCTCTTACTGATAATGATGCTGAAGATGTCAGCATCGTTCGAGGTATCACAAGTGAGAACAGCATTTTTCTCGCTGAATTAGTAACCGATATCTCTGCAGTGCACTCACAATGCACTGCAGCCAAAAGAAACGAGTCAGCTAAGGACTTCCTGCTGACTCGTGAAGCGGTAGTCCGTTTCGTGCAAGATTCCATCGCAGAAGAGGTGGATAAGCAAAAACGAAACGCAGACAATAATGGAAGGGCAAATGCTTAGACATTTATAAAGGGTAATTTAGTTTTACTGTCAACAGTAAACCTACTTAAACATGTAGTGACTAACGTGGGCAGCAATAAATTGTTGCCCAAGTACATCGGCCCGTTTCGTGTATTGCGCCGCCTAGGCAACGCATACACGATCGAGTTGCCACGCAGGATGCGTACGCATCCTACGTTTTACGTGGGACGTCTTCGTCCGTACGTTCAGTACGCGGCTTCTTCGACACAACGAAGATAGCCGTTATTCTCAAGAATCCCCTTCAGATTCTTGTTGTCACGAATCAGATTCGATATCTGGTCGTGTAGAGATGAGATCTTCCCATGATATTGGACGATCTCCTGACGAGCTGTCACCAGCTCGTTACTTAGAGAATGAAGCCGCCGTTCATTCTCCAATAGTGCGACAGCATTGTTTGCCCGAGACTTCTCATGGTCAAACCAAAGCTGTCGCACAATGTCCTCTAAGTGGCGACGCTTATCCCGTTCGTGATCAACATCACAACGGAGCTCACGAGATACACGGGCAAACCCTTCTAACTCAGCAGCCAAGTCCGATGAAAGAATCGGACAGGGTTTTTCCTCCACCACCGCATCCGCTGGTGGACTCCCATGGTGGGAAGCGCTTTCTCGTGGAACGCTTACTAAAGCACCGCGAGCTGAAGGGACGTCGGACGAGTTATCTCGTCCGGTGGCGTAGCTATCCGCCTTCGGCGGATAGCTGGGAACCTCGGGCCCAACTGATGGCCGACGTTCCCGGCCTTGTCGAACAGTACGACAAGGGGCACCCGATGGTGAAGGACCATCGGAAAACGAGCGCCCAGCGCGCTCGTAAAGGGATTGCAAAGTAGCAATCCCTTCACGCATTTCAGAAGAGATGCGAGCCCTCCACCAGGGCTCAGTAAGGAGTACGTCTCCTTAGGCGCTCTTGACGAGGTGCTCAGGCGCCCCGGGCATGGGTCGCCCGAAGAGAGGCATAACAGGCCTGCCTCTTTAGATAACCGGTGCAAACGTTAGCATGCACCGGACTTACTTCGTTTCTCAAACTTATTGCGGCTAGCAAAAAGTCTTCGAAACCAAGCCTCTTTCCCAACGTTTAAAACGTTGGTGATAAACGCGTTCCAAGATTGGAGGAACGCGTCAGCCTCACGCTTCTTGTGTGGCCATACCATCGATGTTCAAGGAACACATTGATGTAATAATCGTTCTCAGTGCGAAAGTTCTTCGCACTGGCGTCAAGGCCATGAAGCTTTGACGCATCAAACAACGGTATGGGGAACCGTTCGTTGGTTTTTCCAGACCAACGATCAAGCAGATGCTTAGGTAGCATCCATGGCTTGCGATCAGGAGCAAGTCGCAATACGTTGCGGTCTAAAGCCTCCTGCGTGGTGTCAACAGAAGTACCGACACCACGAGCATTAGTGTCAACAGAAGTACCTACACTATGAGCATTGATGTCAGTAGAAGCACTGACATCACCCTTACGGTCCCCACCCGAGTCACTATCCTTCGACTCGTTTGGCGAGTCGTCTGATTCATCCGACGACCCGAACATTTCACGGTACATTGATTCACTCAATGTACCACGATCCCTCTTCGTAACATTAGACGACGAGGTATCACCCCGGGGAGAGCCCGGGAGTGGAATAGGTGACTTTGAGCCGGATGCGTCATCCGACTCACCAGAGTAGTCAACGACTAAGTCTGGGTCAACATCTTCACGTGGCGAAGCGCTACGTGAACCTGCAACAGGCGTTGCAGGCTGATGCTGTGAAGCCTCAGTAGCGGCTGCACGCCTGTGTGCAGCCGAGCTCTTGGCTGCCTTAGCAGCGACGCGCATTGACTTTGTCATAGCGTAATTGTTAAATGAAAAAAAATTCAAGAGGTTCTCCTTTCCCATAGTCACTAAACAGTCACTAATGTGACTGTTGGTTGAGGGGGGTGATGTAACGGGGTGAGCCCGTTACATAATATTGACACTTATATGAAGTGTCAATTAAAATATTATTATAACTAATAATATTTGACAATATTACCTTTTCTAATAATATTGTTCCTAGACCTCCTTGAAGTTGGAGATGCCCTCTCATTGGTTGATATGGGCCATCATATCGACCAACGCGCTGACAAATGACCGATGGACGCGCGCAATGAGTGGAGGGCAAGTTGTCAACATACATAACATCGTTACACTTGTACTTAATGTAAAATAGTGTTCCGTTTAACTCACAGCTGAATACATTTTTCGTGAGCACAGATCGAATAATTAATACCTACCTTTTTCTTAAGAAAAACGGCTTCAAATTGTCCCCTGTGAATTATCGGTGTAAAGTTAAGACTCTACAAAATGGCGCTTTTAATTGTAAATTCAGTGACTCCACAGTTATACAACTCGACAGCCAAGGAGGTATTCGATCCCTATCAAGAAATCGTCAAGTCTGTCAATTCTGATCGAGGTATTTTTACATATATAGGTGCATTAAAAATCCCTATTCTCAGATGGTTTCTGGTCTTGCCAACTGTTGTCGTTTTTGGTTGAAAGTCGCGTTTGTTTTGCACTGGCTTCGATATTTCACAATGTCTTTGTATTGGGTTGTCGTCTGTATGGAAGGGCCTTTTTCTTGTGCTCAGCTTTTCTTGAGCTTTGCAAATGCTCAGGCTGTCAATGCGTGCGTCAAAATCTGAGCGTATAAATAATACTTCACTCTGCGATTGGCTTAGGTACCGACAGAGGACCATCATCTCTCTCATTTGACCTAAAGCTCGGTTGTTTAATTCTTAGAAGAAGTTATGGTTAAAATTTGCAGTATTTTCATCTTTGCCAGCATGGCCCTCGTGGGAGCTGAGACCGCTCCCAAGGAAGGCGTGACTAACCACGATCAACCGGCTCTCAATTTCCGTCAGGAACTGCTGAAGACTATTAACGATGCCCGTGCCGCTAAAGGTCTCAAAGACCTTTGCACCAATAAGAAGCTCATGAATGCAGCGCAGATTCAGGCAAACTACTTGGTTGAAAAAGACTTAATCACCAGCATGGGCGCGAGCGAATCGACACCCGAGATGCGTGCTGTAAAAGCGGGTTTTAACGCCAAAAAGGTGACGGAAATCGTTGGTGGGGGGTTCTCGACCGCATTCGACGTGGTCGCTCAGTGGGCCAATGCTAAAAGCGTGAAGGAAACCTTATTCAGCAATCACAGTGTTATGGGTTTCGGCTACGCTTTCGACAAGGCGAAGAAGAAGAAGTACATGCACTACTGGGTGGTGGATTTCTCGGACGGTGAATGCGGCGATGGAGATGCCACAAATAGCGAGGAGCGTATTTCCACCGTTGAAAAGTCTCAAAATACGAAAGACCCGTTGACTTTTGATGATCTGAAGACTTTACCTCCTAAAGCTGGTAAAACTCCGTTGGACGGAGCCAAGGTCCCGTCGGATGGAGGTTCGTTTGTTGCGAAAGTAAAGGCACCAACTGAAATCAGCGGAACCTCCGAGAGTGCAAGTAGTCCCACCGGGAACTCGATTACTTTTGCTAATCTCAAGAACTCACCAACTGCACCCGGTAAAACTCCAGCTACTCCAGATACTCCTTCAACTCCTGCAACTCCTCCAGGTTTAGCTCCAGCTCCAGGTTCAGCTCCAGAATCGGATCCAGAATCAGATCCAGAGTCAGATCAGGAATCAGATTCAGAGTCAGATCCAGAATCAGATCCAGAATCAGATCCAGAATCAGCTCCAGCTCCAGCTCCAGGTTCTGCTCCTCCAGCTCCAGCTCCAGGATCAGCTCCAGGTCCAGCTGCAAATCCAGGATCAGCTCCAGATCCAAAATCAGCTCCAGGTTCTGCTCCTCCAGCTCCAGCTCCAGGATCAGCTCCAGGTCCAGCTGCAAATCCAAAATCAGCTCCAGGTCCTGCTCCTCCAGCTCCAGCTCCAGGTCCAGGATCAGCTCCAGCTCCAGCTCCAGGTTCAGCTCCAGGTCCTGCTCCTCCAGCTCCAGGTTCAGCTCCAGGTCCTGCTCCTCCAGCTCCAGGTCCAGCTCCAGGTCCAGAATCAGCTCCAGGTCCAGAATCAGCTCCAGGTACTGCTCCTCCAGCTCCAGCTCCAGGTCCAGCTCCAGGTCCAGAATCAGCTCCAGGTCCAGCTCCAGGTCCAGAATCAGCTCCAGGTCCAGGATCAGCTCCAGGTCCAGACCCAAAATCAGCTCCAGGTCCTGCTCCTCCAGCTCCAGCTCCAGGTTCAGCTCCAGGTTCAGCTCCAGGTCCAGGATCAGCTCCAGCTCCAGGTCCAGGATCAGCTCCAGCTCTTTAAGCTCCTCAAGCAATAGCCTAAACTCCTCTAGCTCCAGCTTGACCCGCTACAACTCCTTCAACTTTTCTATTTCTCAGCTAGCTTCTTGTAGCGTAACACAAAGCTGAGCCCCGTCGAGTGCCGATGACCAAGAGGACCAATAGAGCTCACGTATCGAATAAGCACGAAGCATCAATATACGTAGATATACCAATGTGGTGGTATTATGTTCATTGTAAAATTATTAGTGCTCGATACATATACGTTCCCCAGGCGAGACCGTGCAAAACTGTCGGTTTGGTTGACTACAATATTTGCCGACGCGGTACAAATCGTCTGGAAGACTCGAAAACAACGTTTACATTCAAATAAGGGGATGCTGCGATGCTGCACCGTACTAATGCACATACTGTGTCATAGTCGCCATCGATGCTTTATTCTGGCACAGTGGAGTGCGCTTCGAGCCCTGAAACTGCAGCTCGACGACTTTTTGTCGGAGTTTTTGCAGGTGTACCAAAGGGTTCTGCAACGGTATACTTCGCATCATCTTCAAGCTTCATTGCAGCAATACTATCAAACACCCACTATTCCAGAAACAGAACAAACGTTAAAAATATCTGCAACAAATCAATTATCTCTACACGCAAGCACGTGTACCTTTGAGGTGACAGCTCTAATGCCAGTCCTCTGAGCTCGTCGAAACAGTAAAGCATCACCGCAAATGCAAATGTCTGCTACTGAAATCTGGTTGCAAATCTGCAGTGCATAGAAAACAAGGACCATCATAAGTAAATGTGCATGCACACTTTCAGCTCCACATATAGCCTAACCATCACTTACCTCTCCACCTGCAACTTGCACTAGAGACTGAAGGACTTCACGAGATGGATCAACATTGGATCCGACATGAACCTTCATGCCCATGAAGATTTGTCGACATTCTGGATGCTCACGTGCGCGTTTGTTTGCGAACATAGTCAGCTCGTAGTCTTCTTCCGGCAGCCACCGCTCTTGTTCAAGGGATGAAAAAGCCCAGTCTTCTGATACAATCCAAGCCCCACGAGCAATTGCGAAAAGCACTTTAATAGTTCGTCTAGCATCTTTGCCCACAATAAGGTGTGTTACTCCAGCAGTGTAGTCCACGCTCTTCACCACACGTGCCTTTCGATGCCCAGAGTCATTTGACATGTTGGCGTCAATAGCATGAATCGCGCACTGCAGCACCCCACGTGTCTCTGCGCTTACCCCCGTAATGCCTATAACGTTGCGTGGAGTCTTGCGTAGAGTTTTTCTATTCGTTGTGCTAGAAAAATTCATTGCCATTGGAATTGGGGTAGAGTTCACGTCCCGATGCTTTCTCAAAAACCCCGACACAGAGCCTGGAGTTGCCATATGCTTCATTACAGTATTTTCCTTGTTGCTATCCCGTCGCGCTTTCTTCACGACTGGGGTTGTCAAGGTGTTGCTGGAAACAGGCGAGTAAGCACGCTTTCTCGCTGCGTTCTGCGTGATTTCCATGGCACTCGATCGGCCCGCCATCGTTGGCAGTCTTTGCTGTGCTTTCTTCACTAAATGCTTTTGTACTTGCACATCAGTCGAGACTGAAGCACTCGCCAGAGAGGAACGCATTGTCTGCCTTGACGTAAAGCTTCCAATTGCGGGACTTTGGGTTGTTGATCTCGTGGCGAAGCTAGGGCTTGAAATTTTAGTTGGCCGCGTAATTCTAGACGATGCCGGGCTCGGAGTACTACAAACTTTCGCAGCCGAGCTAGCTGTTGGTCGAGTCAGTGACCGTGGTGTCCGTTCTAGCACAGATGGGCTGCTGATAGGCGTTTTTTGTCCGCTGGCAGAGCTCGTCGGTGTTCTTATTTTCTTCGTAGGAGTCGAAGTCTTTGTTCCAGGTGTAGCCGGAGTTAATGCGGCTGCAGACGGTAAGGCAGATGTCTTTAGTGAGCCCGCTACAGCGTTCGCGACGGCTGCAAGTGGTGCACGATTGATAGTATCAGCGCCCGGCGATTTAGCACAACCCTTTGAGACTTGACAATCTCTGCAATTTCTGCGCGTTCGAGGGTTTGAGCAACCGCATGCTGCGCATGACCAGATACCCGATTTAAGCGTTAATCCACTGCCGTAAGAAAGTGAAGTCCTGTTTCGGCGTCGTAATTCCCGTGCTGTAGGGTCCTTTTTCCTACTATTGTCGTCAGAAGTATCTAATTTTCCACTATTATTTTTTGAGGATGTAGTGGTGCTCAAGCCTGACATGACGACGGCAGCTGTATCCTCTTTCAACAGTAGACCAGGTATAGCTTGGTTCTCCTGAATCACCATCACGTTATTTTCCGTCTCCTTGATCACATCCTTCTTTTCATTCTCCAACTCAATTTCATCTACAGTTCCACTTACTTGTGATACTGTAGCTTCATCTTCATCCTGTTGAGACGGTGGTCCGTTCAATGTCTTTCTCCGCCTCACCGATGTGCTCCCACTTTTGCATCGAATTGGTTGCTTTGGTGTCGTCATCTCTACTTCTCCCAACATAGCATCGGTCGTACCAAGCATTTTTAATATTGCATCTGATGCCATCGGCTCCATTGATAGTGCACGTCGTTTCCTTCTTCCGTCATTCAGCTCCTTTTTTATCCTAAAAGATGATGACAATGGTGTCGATGGTGCCACTCCATTCACAGCATCAACACTCGTCTCCGTATCATTTTTTTTCTGGTCTACTTCCTCTTCTTCTGCTCTAACTTTCCATTCTTCTGCTCCCAGTGACTGACGTCTATTAAGCTTAAAATTGGCTTGAAGAACGACATTCTCTAGCAAATTGTATTGACTCACAGGAAAGAACGGACACTCGTCCATTCTCCTTTTACTCACATAACAGGCATTGACCCACAACTGCGACACAATTTTTAGTTCGTATCTCGTTGCAGCTGCAGCCATTGAACCGCCTCCTGCCTGCCATTTCGTGATCTTTGTCTTCCATACAGGTGTAAAATGACTCAGTACCACGTGTGTGAGTTTAGGTGTAAATCTCTTGACGGTAGACGCTCCAAGTTCTCGTAATTTCCTCGCGACAACGTCACTGCAGTCGATCTGAGCGTCTGCGCCAACGCGGACGTCTACGATTGCCACGACACCCTTTAAAGGTCCAGCGCTGCATTGTCGACGACGCTGAGAAGCAGCGGATGAAGGTATGGATGGGGTAGGACACACAGTTCTTGTTGAGACACGCGGCGGACCCGAGAGAGACACGGACATGGCTGCAACCATCGCAAGGAAGTTTAGAGAATGCGGAAAAAGAAGTACTGAAGATGTCTGGGATAAGTACGAATAGAGTGTGATTTGGCGCCATTTTTGGGGCACTAATAGTAGGTTTTAGAGAAATTTACCACTCGATACATCATACGCAGATCAAGAAAGTTGATACCACAATATTCGAAAACTAGGAAGCAAATTGATGAACACTATGCACGTAATACACAGCAGCCAGCACCTTGCACCCAATTACACAATAGCAACTATCCCTGTTGTGCCGTGGTGCTTTCAGTGGCACCTTGTTGCAACCTAGTCCTTCTTCCGTTTGCCGTCGTCCTTGGAGGCGTCCATAGCGGTTTTCACAATGGAAATCACTGTCTTCACGCGCTTGAACATTACTTGTCCAGTGGACATCATGATCAACAGCATGAATACGATCAGCGCCCAATACAGGTGCGATAGCGTGTGACTCACTTGCCTGTAAGTTAGCACAGAAAACATAGCAAGTGTGTGAGTCCAACTCGACCACAAAGATTAAGAAACGTTGAGCTGGGAGCCCCTTGCACTTCACATAGTACGAGGGCAACGTACTTGCAGTCATAGAGTGGAATATCGTAGCCGATGTGCTCGTAGCAGAAGAGGTCCTGAGAGATGCGAAACACGAGCAGCGCCAACGCTAGACACCCGGGAATCAGGTAGAACTCCAAGTTTTTGTACGGGTCACGCTCAGCGTTAATCTCTAGGAAACGGTGACGCTCCTTCTCAATCTGTTCTGCCACTTCATGGCGGTAGCGCACAATCTCGCTGCGGCGGCCCATACGTGCACCGTCATCAAACACAGCCATGGCACCCTCCAAACATATCTTGTGGTGTCTTTCCAGCTCCTGTACTGGAACGTATTGACACTTTGACCCCGCAATTTTCTCCATCTCACGTTTGTACATGAGCAAAGCCTTATCACGCTGATTCACATTATTTGCCTCGGCAGTAGCTTCCAGCAGCGTTTTGGCCTCTGGAAAGATAGACGCTTCACGAAAGAGTCCCGCGTACGTCTTAATGTACGTGAACAGCTCGCGTGAGTTTACCGTTACTCCATGAATTTTCTTCGGGTACAAGTTCGCAGGGGTGAAGAGGTCATCAAGGTAAGCCGTCAGAAGCTCTAAGAACCGATTGTCAATAGCCTCCACCGATCCATCATACTCACGCTCCGTAACCGCGTGACCGGGGTGGGGCAACAAGAAGCACGCCACCTTCTCAAAACACGAGCTGATCTGTTCGCGCGTGTCTGCCAGATCCTTTTGCTTGCGAGACGACAATAGCTCCACCATATACTGCTTCATGTCCTCACGTTTTTCAGCCAATGTCTGGTTCCGCGAATAATCCTGCCAGTCACGCACCAAGAAGTCAAGACGGTGGAACGGGCAGGGGTACTTGGGCACGTGGTCGTCGTCCTCCTCCTCCTTAGCCTTGTCCTCGTTCTCCTCCTTCTCTTCCACGTCGCTTTTCTCACTCACTGAAGACGTCGTCTTGTCCAAATCATGCAAAGCCTCCGACGTCACCGTCGAAGCCGTCGACGCTGCATGCTGCAAGTTCTGCTGCTTGTCTGTCAAAGACGACGACGACGAATCATCTCGAAATAATGCCATTCTATCCTCCAAAAAGAAAAACAATAAGTTAATAAACAACCGTTACATTCACCAAAATAATCAAATTCTCCTCCTTACCGTCCATATTCCGTAAACAGCGCAAGATGTTGTAAATTATCTTCCTGCACTCTCTTGTCCACATTATAAATCTGATACGAACTCAATAATGTACTGAGTCCAAAGATACTAGCTGTAAGCATCTGAGATGTTTCTGAATCAAACATGCCTTGTGTATCAATGAGAAACACTGCAATATCTTCACCCGTGTGGCATTTGCGAATAAAAGGCGTCTCCCACATCCAAATACCCGTTGTATTACGTTTCCTTCCTGCTCTCCATGAAAACCCCTTCTCTCCATGGGTCTGTTCCACATTTGAATTGCCTTCAAGCTTTACTTCTCCACTACCCGTTACACCTTCCATAACCCAGGCTTTCCATACTTCCGTACTCTCATCCTGCGCTCCATCAGGTTTCAGCATCGGACCACAACTTGCATGTCGCAAATAGCGTAAGAATAAGTCAAGAATGAAGCTTTTACCAGTGCGAAAAGCGCCCACGACGGAAAAAATAGCGACTTTCATATCTTCTGGGACCTGGTGAAAGATATCACGGAGCGCTTTTTCGTCTAATGTAAAATTTGTACCTTCCTCATTTATACTGACGATTTGAAGGGCACGAGGCACTTCTTTTACAGGATCGAGCGTCACGGGCGACGGTGGAGGCAGCGACGACGAAGGGGGCGAACTCATTGACAATCACTCTTTTGTTTCTGTTCTCGTAACTGATCGGTTGATTCTAATAAAGTGATGTGATTGGATAGAGTGGAACGAAAAGAGATGATTGGCTAGAAAGGAGATACCTTCAAAGTGCACTTCAAGTAACTTATGGCTACATTTCGATTGCTTGTAAAGCATAAAAACTTTAGATAAACGTATAGGATTTATGCTGACCATGGTATTGCTAACGCCACCTTCGTCAACCGCAATTGAAGTCACCGAAAAGGCTCGAATGCCCAGCTCGCAGCTGTACGCCAAGCTTCAGCTGCATACTTGTACAATGCAGGTGGTGCAGGGACTTCTTGTGGCTCGCGTAGAAGGTGGCGTGGTGTACGCTGACCAAACCGCTGGGACTTGTCCTTTACACGCCATATCACGGAATACGTGTCACCAACGTTAGTCTTCGTTGCGCTCCAGTACCACACCGGCATACCATTGCTCGCTATGAAAAATTTCGACCATGTCACCCTTGTCAAAAACTAAAGGCGGTTCCATTTCTGCTTCCTCCACCTCCTTCTCAGCAACGGATACACCAATTGCAAGAGGCACCTTCTTCTCCACGTCGGTTTTAAGGTTTTTGATTGCAATTGTTGTGGGCTGTGGCTCGTCAAAAGATGCCGATGGTAACAAAGCTAGCGCTGCGTACCGTTCATCGACTTCACGTAGATAATCATTACTAACGTTGAACGCCTCTGCAAGAATCTGCCGCATGGGGCTCGAAACCAACGGAACTGCATCTAGAGATTTCTCCACGAATTCGTAAGTGCGCTTGAAGCGTTTCACTAGTCCGTCAATTTCGAAGTCACGAGGATCGACGGTTTGCGCGCGACGACAAAGCGGACACGAGCGAAAACGATGCTGAGCTGCTTGGGACAAACATGACCAGCAAAATGTGTGTGCGCAAGAGAGTGTAATCGGGGCTTGGACATCCACGCAAAGACATATTGGGCACCTTAAAGCTCGCGGCCCGAGGCGGAAGTTATAATCGGGTAACACACACAACATCACTCGGTCAGTGAGTGCTGCTGTTTCATCGCACAAAGCATCGAGCGATGCTGCATCATAGAATGGTTGACACTTTAGGCCTTCCAGCACTATAGCCTTGAGTCGTGACGTTGCGGCCGAGTTGTCTTCAATCTCACCCTCCGAGTTTGTTGCCTTGTCAAATTTCTTGGCGATCTTGACGATGGCTAGGCTGTTTAACACCACGAAGCGACGGAATGCGTCCACCTTGTGTGAAAGCGAGAGCACGTCTAGCAACAATGACCGAGCGGTGGCATGCGAAAGCACCCACCGAGTTCCCAACGTTTGTTGCAGTGGTTTCAATTCACGATTCATTAATTCGTCGAGGATTCGAGCGTGGGTCTCGTTGAGTTTCTGCATTTCAGACTCCAACAGTGATCGGAACCACATCACGCGTTTGTCAGCATTATCAGTACCGGAAAATGACAGCTTAATCTCTCGCTTCAGTGCCTTGTAGTCCACGTAGTCAGCAGTCCACTCCGGAGACGCTAAACTACGTACGCGCTTGCCAAACTTCATGCGATGCAGAATGTGAGAGGATGCTACTGTTGGTAGATTCAAGAGTGAGAATTATTTGATCAGCGTGAAGATAATGCTTTATATGCGCGACGTTGCACGTACCAGTTCAATATTATACTCTGATAGTGGAGACCACGACTGTTGACGAGATTGTCCTCACTGTGTAATCATCGAATGTTGAGATTCAATTGCCAGATGAAACGAATCTTGTGATGCAAATTTGTTCTGCTGAGAACAAGCATATAAAAATACCGGTACCAAAGATTCCTTCATGCAGTATCTGCATGGTTATTTTCGCCTATTTTTGTCCAGGTTTAGAAAACTCAAAACAGCTGCTAAATTCCTGATGTAAATGGCTATATCTAAAAAAAGATACTCAAATTCAAATACATTTTTATTTTCCACCAATCGAAACGTTTCATGATGTGCGTACAATTTACAAGTAATCTCACTAACATGAGCGACACCGATGTCATTGTGGACATCTCTACGCTCTTGCAAGCGCCTTCCACGGACCAAACCATCTCATCATCTACTCAAGATTCTTCTCTTGTGTCTTCTTCTTCCAACGCAATTCTTACCGTTTCGAACAAGGCAGTAGTTACCTCACAACATGGACACAGTCACGGCCACTCGCACACTTGTCAGCATAATTCCCATGATTCTTTACCTGAGAAGCAATTGCCACTGACTCCAATCGAAGAAATGTTTGCATGCGCGAAACGCAATGATCTGGCGCAGTTTGTACTGCTTGTGGCTCAATACGGCGACGAATTGGCACGTGAGCGACGAGATGCACAAGGCCACACGATCGCTCATTGGGCGGCGCAGAAAGCTGACGGGGAGTTCCTGTACTATTTGAATTCTATAGGAGCACCTATAGATTCTCCAAGTGAAGATGGGAGGGCCCAGTTGCACCCGATACATTGGGCCTGTGCAGCAGGAAATTTGAGTGCGTTGAGGACACTCGTGCTGAGACTTGGGGTGGATATCAACCAGTGCGACGCTAAGAAACACCGCTCGCCATTACTGGTAGCAGCGCAGAACGGACATCCATTGTTGGTGCTGTTTTGTGTGAGAAATGGAGCAGATGTGACGCTCGTCGACGATGATGGAGACACGGCAGTACATTGGGCAGCGTATAAAGGAGCGACGGAGATTGTAGCAGTGTTTCAGTATCTTCAAGTAAGCTCTGACGCACCGGACAAGTTTGGTCAAACCCCTTTGCATCTTGCAGCAATGAGAGGAGAGTTAGATACGGTGCAGTTTTTAGTAGAGACTCTTGATGCAGACGTCATGGCATTGGATGCGAAAAAACGAACACCGAGAGATCTGGCGCAATTAAAGCATTTTTGGGAAGTTGTACGATACCTTAAGCAGCATGAAGTGCGAGTTGCGGCGTGGAACATTGCTGCATTTACGTGGTGGTGTGATCCTGGCAGTCGGGCTCCGTACTACTTCACAGTACTTAATGCGGTGGCCACCGCGCTAATTTATCTGCTCCTCGTACTGCCAGCAATGCCAGATAGACGCAATTTTATAGTGCCACATTTAGCATGGGATGCAGTGACCTGGTACTTCTTCTATCGCACTGTAACGACCAAGCCCGGTAGTGCTCCAAACGACAATGAGGAGTATGCAATAGCGTACAAGAAGGTCACCGAAGCTCTCATTGGCGGCGACGATGGCGACGGGGAAGAGGAAGACACGAATAAAGAGAGTGCCAGTGCGCGTGCTCAGCGTGAATGTATGGAGCGCCCGTTGTGTCACACGTGCCACATCCAGAGACCTGCCAGATCCAAGCACTGCCGCATTTGCAAAACTTGTGTCCCTGTTTTTGACCATCAGTGAGTGACAAATGACCCTTCCTTGGAGAGACTAACTTGCTCGATCGACTAACTTGCGACCTTTGTGCCTCTAGCTGCCCATTTGTAGACAACTGCGTGGGACGCGATAACTACGCAGCATTTCTGTTATTCGTCGTATTCTTGGCCGTTGACCTGGTTGGAATGGAATATGTTTTGTATCTACTATGGCGTTACCATCACGACCTGCGCGTCTACGCAGTCGTGGGCATGATTTACCTGCTATTGATTTTGCTCCCAGTCGCCCAACTTGCGGGTTTCCACCTCTACCTCATAGCTCGCAATCGCACTACAAACGAGTTGCTTAATGCGAATCGTTATCGTTTCCGGAGCGGGGGCAATTTGCGTTCGTATGACCGCGGCCTCATTCGAAATGTAGAGGAGCGCTGCTTTGGGCTTGGCGGAGAAGCTGATGAGGATGACGAGGTTGAAGCAAGGACCAAGCTTCTTGATGAGCAGCTTGGCTCTGTTCCCGTCTAGAGCAAATAGCAGCTTCAGAACAAACTTATTGTGAATGCAGATAATATTCTACCATAGCTGACACTTTGTCTTTGGGTTCATGGGTGAGCTAGCGGGACATGAGAACACGCGTGCGAAGTCGTGCGAATTGCTTGCAACTCCGTTAACGCGCCACCGCGCAGGCGAGTGCAAGTCTGTGGCTAAGCTTTGTATCGTCATGGCGTCGCTTGTCTTACCGCAGAATGTCTGAGCGAACGAGATGAAGAAAAGTCTGTCGGCTACATCAGCAGGCAAGCTACGCCCCACTTGGCTCATTGAACTAGTCAGCTCTGTCGCTTCGTCTTCGCTCACATTACTCAGCTTCCGGGCCTGCATCGTAATGTATGTTTGATATGCGTTAAACGACAACTTGAGGCCGCCATTGTCGGCAATATTCTCGCTCAAAGTGTAGTTCCCGCTGACGTGGCCCAGCACCTTATCCTGATCTGCATCACTCGTCACTGCAAAACTATCGTATTGCTTCACGAGACAATCAGCCCGCTGTGAAAACTTGGTTGCTGTGTCGTTGCTCCACCAGTTTCGCAAATTGCCGTCACCAGCGTAGTATCTTCCGGAGGCATCAAAGCCATGCGTCAGTTCGTGACCGATGATAGAACCTATAGAACCAAAGTTGCGTGCAGGGTGGTGTTCAAAAGCGAAAAATGGCGACTGGAGGATGCCAGCAGGGAATACGATCTGATTTGCCTTCGGCTGATAATACGCGTTCGCTTCAGCACCCGTCATTGCCCATTTGTTACGGTTCACTGGACCACCGATCTTTCCTGAATCTCGAATAAACTGATGCTCCTTGATGATCCGCATATTGTCTGCAAGTAGTGCGTCGCCGCGTAGTTCGTACGGAAAGTGCTCGGAGAGAGTCGAATACCCAATAAGATTGGTCATGTTGCCAAGTTTTTCAACCGCAGCCTGCCGAGTGGGCTGGTCCAGCCAATCCACCTGCTTGAAGTTCTTCTGCATCGACGCTTGAATTTGCGCCACAAGTTGGCTGGCAAGTTGCTCACTAGCCTTGTCGAACTGAAGGAGCGCAAAATACTTGCCCATTAAGTCAGGAAAGCTGTCGGTAACATGGTGAAGGCACACCTTCCATCGCGGGGAACGCTTCTTTTGACCTCTGACAGTCCGCGCAAAGAAAGAGAATTTCGCCTGAATGAAAGGCTCACTGAGAATAGCTGCCTTATCACTGATAAACTGGTACATCAGCACAGCTTTCAGGGTCTCCAAAGTCACAGAATCTCCAGTCACGAGCTTTTCAACACGGTTAAAAAATTCAGGTGTTTGCACGATCACGTCAGCGTTCTGATCTGTGAGATTCTTAAGCAACCCCGCGCCCTTCAAGAACTGTGAGAAAACCAACGGATATCGATCAGCAGCTTGGGTCACGCTCATACGATTGTACGTTGCGACAGGATCTTCCAGCTTTTCTTTCGGTACGAAAAGCGGTGCAAGCGTTTGTTCAAAGCCAATCACTGTGGAAGCTTGCGATGCTGCTGCACGCGACTCCCATCCAACCAGCACAAATAACTCCACCACATACGCATGGAACGCGTCACTGATCGAGTCAAGCTTCTTGCGGTCCAAATAATACTGGCGATCTGGCAGTGACAGTCCAGTTTGCGATGCAGACAACACGTACACGGTCGCTTCTCGAGCATCTGCATCGACACCAAGTCCTGTCACAAAGCTCGTTCCTGTTTTGTACAAGACTCCTGCCAATTGAAACAGCTCCTTCTTGCTTTTCGTCGTAGCAATTTGCTCTAATACCGGCGACAGGACCTTTAACGACGCGTCGTTCGCCGTCTTACTGCTCTTGTTGTTAAAGTTCATACACGAGTCATACAACTCGCCCATGAGCGGCCAACCTTGTTGCATCACGTCTTTCAGCACCTTTTCATTCTTGTCATTTACAGTAGAAAACGACAAGGACACACTCGACTTGTCTTCCGGGATCTCCACATTTTTCTGCCATGAACCACAACTAAACGCGTACAAGTCGTCACACGGGTCCACATCTGTATCCAAATGACTGATAACATCATTGGGTAGCATCTCCACCCAAGTAGTTGTCTGTGTACGTAAGGTCTCTCGTGAGACCTGCAAAGTGCCCACTCGGACCACTAGAACCACCACCAAGAGGAACAATACGCCAAGACCTCCAACTGCCCAGGCCGCAACAGGTTTCTGCATTAATAGCGGCGACGAGCTTGCATCTTCCAGTGATTCATCTTCACGGTCCACAAGCGGCTGTTCGTCGTCCATCGTCTCCTGCTTCGTGGTAAGTGCCTCTTTGTCATCAAGAGGGGGCTCTACTCTGTTTCCGTTGTAGTTTTTCGTCCGTTTGCCGTCCTTCGAGCGTATCATTGCAAGGAGAATCGAGAATGCTCTTGATAGTGTCGATCGAAGTGCACAATTGACACCGATATGACGTGGAACCAGAGGGCTGTCAGATGATCGCACTTTAAGTTATGATGAGTCTGTCGATGCAGATATTAATTGATACGTCTCAATCGTCACGATAGACGTATGAGCTTTGCATACAGCTACGGTAGTGTCTCTTCCAGTATACATTAAGTACAGGAAACAGCCTGGTATGCTATGTTTTCTCTTCTTTGACACGGTGCTTTGAAGTACTAATTCTCTGAGCCGTCCGACCACTGCCGCGCCAGCTTTTCACGAGCTTTTGTGCGAACACCAGTGCTGGTCGGGAATTCGGCGTCGCTTGGTGCTCGTGAAAGCGGTGTCATGGGATCGATCGAAATTGAGCGAGATGGCGACGATTGAGATGAAGACGTACGAATGCTGCGGTTTGTCACACTTGACGCATTGCCCTCAAAGCTCACGAGCCCCTTGACATCAATACGGCATGCCTCCGACGACATTGAGCTCTTGTCACTTCCCGCATCTGCACTCTTGCCATTGTCGCAGCTTCCCTCATTGCCGCTGCTGCTGTTGGGAGGAAACAGGTCCAGCTCGTGCTCACGCAGTAGCCCTTTAAACTTGTTTTCTCGCGCACTCATGACATCCTTGATCCACCTGGGCACACGCGGAACATGCCGCATACTCACGTAAGCTATCGCCACAAACAAGTGCTCCAGCAGAAGGATGAACAGTAATCGCCAAGCAATATGCAGGCAGCCGAAGTCCGGACCAAAGACAAAGTCGTCCAGAGTCTTCCCTTGTTTTTCGAGCTGATGTTGAATGTCGCTCACGCACGTTTCGTCAAAGAACTCGAGCACGCCAGTTGAGATGCAGATTAGCAAGACGTTAACGATAACGGCGATATATGCGTAAGCGGTGAGAATACTATTCCAAGCACCAATGCCATTGGCTCGTCGTGGAATCGGACGCTTCAGTGTTTTGCAGAGTCGATAGCCATCCGTGCGGCTCTTTACACTATTGATCAAGAAGCACGCAAAAGGCATCAACGGCCACAGCATTGAAAACATAACAGTGAAGCCGAACTGCACTGTCAGCACGTGGAAGTCATCATATGGATCATAAGTATCTTGCTCGCTGTCAAATAGAATCTCACGAGCCTTTTTGTTCAGCACCTCGATTTCTGTCGGAGTATACTCAAGATACCGTGAGCTGGACTTGTTACCGAATTGGGATTCCTTCTGGTCTTCATAATCCAGCGATCCTAAGATCTTCATTGAGCCTGCCTCGCGAACGCACTGTTGTGCTCGTGTGTCAGCGCGAGCTTGAGCGTTTTCACGACGTTTTCGCACGAGGATGGGCGCCACTAGCCTCAGTATAATGTTTAAAAGCTGTGTGATAACGATGGGAGTGACAAACATGGCGCTCAAGTCTACGTGGTGGCGATCAAAAGTAAAGAATCCGATACACTCGATGCAAGTGGCATCCTTATCACCCACAGGACACATGGTACATGAACCGTCTTGGTTCACATATGGGCCGAAACAGCAATTCATAGCATCTCCGAAAAACATGTGGTTGAAGGTATTTGTCAAATAATTGCCGAGACCGGGAATCACAAATATGAATGCTAGTGAGAAGAACCAAGTATAGTAGTTGAGAAAGTCAAGCAAGAAAAGCTTGCGGATCAATGCCTTTTCGTACTGCTCCTCTGTTCGATAGTTTTCCCAATGCGTGAACAAAGCACCCATTTTCGTGACTACCATGTTCCACTGAACAACGTCCACGAAGAAACCAAATACACACCCTTCAAGCAAGATGAGAAACCACTGCGTCGAAAAAATGTGGCTTTCCTTGTACGTAGCCTTCAAAATCTCATAAATGGTGACCCAGCTTGCTACGAGGACCAGCATGATCAGCATCTGCCACAACATAAAAAGAAACACGCAAAAATATTTGGGCAAGCGTCGCCACCCTGAGTACACCAATTCTACATCGCCTGTCAAGGCATTCAGCCGGGACTCTCCATAAAACTGTTTGTTCCGATACTCAATTTGCTTGACGTGCAATTTGCCCGTCCACTCATACTGCATGCACGCATTTTCTCGCTCCCACGACTTAAGGAATGCAAAACCCCACACCACCGATACGCCCAGACCCCAAAATGCTAAAAGTCGCATATATGCTGTCATGGAGATTACACCACGCAGTAGGTTTAGTAAAATGCCAATTGCTGCAAGTGGAATGAGCCACGTATTGTAGTACTTGATAAACGCGAAATAGTAAGCCACCTTTTCACCAAAATTGTAGCGTAGCGACAGTAAAACTTTCTTGTCATCTAACTCATGTAATCTCCAAGACGTGACCCATCGTTGGATCAGCGTATTTGTCACACTTTGGTTATGCATTGGAAAAAGATCATGAATCCATAGATCGTTCTTGGTCAATCTTTGCTCGTTGCTCAATAATATAGTCGACAATTTCAATCCGTTCAGCTGGAGTCGTAGGGTCACCTCGACGCTGTGCTACATCTGCTTCCATATCTACCACTGCACCATGTTCTATCCACATTTGTGTACGAAATTGAGTCACCAATGACATCACGACTGAATCCGGAGCTCGAATCAAGAGAATCAAGTATCCAGAATACATTTCTCCCTTTGAGTCTCCCCCATCAATAATATCCACAAGAAGTCCTTGAGTACACAATTTATTGACAATGCGACGATGTTCATCTTCACTTTCACTTACATTAGGTGAGCTTGCCATACAAAGTCTTTTAAATCCAACATGTTCATGCGAAGCATCGGAAATAGTGTCAATACATCCTCTTTTCGTATTGCCAAGTGGTGACGAAACAGCTGATACTGGAGCACAGCAGAGACAATGAATTGTCTTTTGAAAACAACCCGGCAATTGAACTTTTCGATTTACAATAATTGCAAAATCATAATCTGGTAATTGTCCATTTAGAATCTCGTCAGGTTTCAAATACCTAAATTTACCAGGGACAGGAGATGATGACAACTCGTCACCATGACCTTCACTCTTTGTCATACGAGAATTGCTTTTAGGGTTTCTTTTCCCACGACAACGTGTAACAACGGCTTTACTTTTGTCACTCTTTTTCTTGCTGGAAAGGGAATCCCGATCATCTGAGTATACAAACGAAGAAGCAGATAACGAGACGTCTACTAGCGGACGTTCCTTGTGAGTGATAAAGGCTTCCCCTTCATCTGTAGCTGGAGCATGACCCTGTACAGGCAATGGCAGCGCTACTTCAGGTTCTTGTGGGAGCATGATTTTTTGATTTGATCTCTTTAGAAATGATGGGTTTATAAAGTCTGACAGGTAAACTGGAACTTGATTGATGTGAGGGGTGGGGTACAAAGGGTTGAAAAGACTGCAATTGTTCGCTTAGTTCCGCTAATATGGATACTACATATGGTGTTTCGACACACACTGTACGTACGGTACACAACAACCAGCAGCATGCAGAGAGTCTTCCTCTCTTGAGCCATATGATGGCAAGTGACCTTGCTGAACGTATTTTATCTGAAATAATAACACTACGATTACCTCTGGCAAGTTTATGACCGTGTCTTCACTCCCATACAAAACATCTCCACCGCCCGGTCAGCATTTGGGTGCAACCCTGACGGCGTCTGTAGCATGCTGTGCTTTACTATAGGACTCGTTCTACAGCACTCCTCCTTCCTACCTAAAAAAGACAGCATTTTACTCACCAAAAAACAGCCAGAAGCTTGTCGTTCTTGTCTAATCGAGCATATGAGCATTTGGCTGCCTCCTCACTGAGCAAAACTGTTCCGTTTACAAAAAGAGCATATTGACAACCATTCCTAGCGCTTTACGCCAAAGAGGCATTGATAGTAGCGCTAGGAATGGTTGTCAAGATGTTCATCTAGACCTGGCTGACACTTAATTGCGAGGACGTCATGCTGTTCGGTTCGTCGATGCCTTAGTGTCTTTAACGTTCAGTATACCACCAATATGCTTGAAACCTCTACGACAAAGTCGTCCAGGCTGTGGCGCGAGCACCGATCGTGCGCTAATGAAAAGCAATATATTACATCACTGCCTTGAGTTTACTTTATAATCTGGAACAAGAAGTTATACTTGTAGACGATGCACTACTTACCGAAATTATTTTCTTGCCACGACTGTCGCGAGTAAAATTCCGTTCGGTTGGCTATGACATGATACTGTATCGTATATCAACTCCCGAACATTACCTCACGCTTTGCTGCTTGACAGATTTTTCCATGCATGGACGTAAAAGTGATTGGCAAGTGTTGCCGCGTTGTGTTTTGAACGCGTCTCGTTTTCGTCTTGCAAGTGACATCTGGCAAGAGCCTCAAGTGTGTTGTTGAAGCAAACAACGGCTTGCGTATCTTTGGGCTTGCCGACCTATTAGTGAAGAAGACAAGTCGACCTTCTTAGTGTAAAGTAGAGCAAGAGCTTGGTTGTGAGTGGCAAGACAACCAACTAGAATTGTCGACGGTACTCGTCGAAGCTTTTATATTTATACGGAAACAAGAATGAGTGATGCTGGCGCCACTCATTTAACCATCTCCAGGGGTGATCGGTCCAGAGGTATTACTGAGCACTTCTACAGCAGTGGTGTACGACGAATCTCGTTGTGGCAACCGCTTCGTGTCCGACTTAAATTTTACAATAAAGTCCGGTTCTGTTAACGACAAACGCTTCCACTGTCGAGACAGTAACTGTATCAATGGTTGGCTTTTAGCAGACGACGCTTTCAGTACTAGACTGCAATTGAAACGCGGTCTGCTGCTGTTGGGGCCAAGGAACAACTCTTACAATCGGCGTAAACTGGCTAATGCCGCTCACTCCAGCGAATACGGCAAGCATTTGGACTTTTTGGTAAACATTGATGCTAGCAATGTGGAAGCAGGCGTATTTTTCAATGCGATATGCGACCAGAGCGCTCGCATTGAGTGTACAATCTGCGTTAGCTGAACACATCACGTCCTTGGCCCCTCCTGAGGCGTCGCTGGGCTGCCCACGTGAGAAAGGTGATCAGTAGGCAGCAGAACCGGCACCTTCTCGAGCTCCGTCGCCACGCATTATACAAGCTTTTCCCCGTCTGCATATTATATTCGGCCAAGCGTCAAGAAGTTTTCAATTCCTCTACGGAATGTACGTACGCATGGAGATGCGCAAAACGAGAGGCCACTTCGAAGCCAGAGGCCATCGAGTGCCGTGTATTTTCAATTTTGCTGGGTCTTACGCACGGACGAACAAACTGTCTTGCGACAGCAAACACATCAGCTTAGTCAAACCTTCGATCACCGTTTGTCTTCACAATGAACACAGTCTATTCATCGATCCAAGACATGTCTACCAATGCAACTGCCGACACGCACGATATCAAACCAACACTAAAAGACGACAAATTGGGACGGTCAACGGAGGTGGAGGTGGACTCTGACACTTCGTCTTCCTACACGGACAGCGAAGGCTCTCCACGTAGATCCACGAGCCCGAACGGCATGGGCACCGGCGTGTGGAGCAAGGAGGAGCATGCAAGGTTTCTGGAGGCAATCAAGATTTATGCTAATGGGCCATGGAAAGTCGTCGCCACTTATGTGGGCACCCGCACCGTCCGACAAACGATGACACACGCTCAGAAGTATCGGCAAAAGGCTGCACGGCGCCTTCGTGGTCTGCGCACCAAGCAGGCCCTCATGCGTATGAATTTTGGTCATCATGTGAGCGAAGAGTCACTCATGCAGGAGCGCCTTCGCACTATGGGCGCTTTTCACAACAACCACCGCGTCACCTATGAGCAGACCCAAGTCAATTATTATTCACGTCCTGGCACTGCTGCAGTGGAACCGAGAGGTCAATGCTCCGACACCGGGGCTCTACCGTGGGCCAAGCATTTTACAAGCGAGTCAGCACAGGAGCCGTCGTGTCTGGACGTGACACTACTCGGGCTAGAGGATATTGATCTTCTAGAAGATCTGACAGCGAGCCCCACTCTGGAGGAGTGCGCCACAGAGCTGCTCAAAGTACTTTTTTAACAGGTGCATGTAAGCGTACATGTAGGTGGTGACAGTCAAAACATAGCACGATACAAGCTGATGCTTAGCAAAAGTACGGCCGTTAAAATGAAACGCTTCCTTTTAATGATGTACACGCCTTTCTCTCGGTTATCCTTACACTTTGCCGTCAGAAAGCAGATCAACGAAGGCAATTATTTGTGAAGCTCAGATCGAACCCTTTAAGCCCTGGAAACCCAAAACAGCGATCCTCGAGGACAAGATTCACGTGATCCACGAGATCTAAGGGAAGTTTTTGAGGATGTCATTACTACGTTCACAAGATACAGGATGTTGTGATTATGCTGCACTGTACCATGCTAGTGACCGGCTGTGCACCCGATCAGCGTCGAATGCACCGGCACAGAAAGCTGTCATATACACAGCGCTGCAAAGTTCGAGATTTCGCAAGGGACACTGTGTGAAGATTAGACACGTTGAAGCTGTCGAAAGCTTCTGACAGTGACGTAAACTGCAGATATAAAAAATGCTGAAATCGACACTTGTGCCACCGTAATCAGCGTACCATCATACAGCTCATTATCGCTACAGAGGGGCTGATGCTGCACGGATCGCTGTGTTAGCTATTGTTGATGGGTAGATACGCTCACCTCGTTCGTGCTTACGCCATCGTTGGCCGTCCACCTTCGTATAGCTAAACGCTACCAGCGTCTAATCAAGTGCACCCGCTATTCGTCGTATTGTTTTCTTGAGGTGCGCACGCATTCAGCCTTCCGTGAATCATCATTCTTGAGGTGATGGTGTCACTGGCAATCCACCACCGACACTGCAGAACGCTTCTCTTCGGAGCGCTTCGAAAGCTCTTTCCAGATAGAGACAGTATCAAACCCATGCATCTAGACGCACGTTTTTGCATCATTGGACAGTCGCTTGCGGCTGCAGCTGTTGCCTGATAGCCGCCGTCCAACGGATTACTCTTGCAAGGTAGGACTAGAACTTGGCAGTGGTGGAGTCCAAATAGTATGACGGGATCGCGGGCGTATTCATGTGCTTTTTACGACCGATTTGCAGCCGCGACCCGAATCATAAGAAAACCATATGACGAACTATAAAATGTCGCTGTGTGGCCATCTTTAACATCGTCACCGATAGATGACTCGAATTCGACGAAACCAATGCAATCTCAAAGTACTGGTCAGCTCATGATGTGGCACTTTCCAGGTCAACCAGCACTAAATTTTCACGCAATGACATAAGGCCTTCCATCGTGCGCATGTCACCTTGTACACCTTCGTTATGGCAAGTCCTCTTCCCACAAACGATTTTACTTCAAATCGAACGTATGATTACACATCTGAGGTGCGAGTACACACTTGCTTGACAAACGCTGCCTGCTGTTGCTACGGTAGTAATCATATTCAACTATTGGTGTAGCACAGTCTCAAAAAGTATCCTTTTCTATGCTGGCACAATCATTTCTAATCGCGACCCAAATTAAAAGTGCCCACTTCTAAAGAGCTGATTTTTTTTGAGAAAATTTTCACACATTCCGAGACAGGTACAAAGACAATAGCGATTCGCTTCATTCGATTGGACTTAAGCGCTATATCGCTGATAGTCCGTCGACCATTGTTCACTTGTATGTTCCTCCAGTACAATTCGAATTACCACATGATACTTATTCAGCTTTCACCTAAAGTTAGGTTTCGATACTGTACTGAATACATAAGCTCTTTCTTAGAATGCGATAATCAAACACTTACCAGCAATTGTTTTATGTAGAAGCAATAGTTCATGACTCATTGTGAACCCCCTTCCGCCTGATAGCCACGAGTGAACGATACTACAGACGAGCGCCTACAAGAAAGCGCACGTTATACGCCTGTTCAAGCAGCCTTCTCACTGCAGATCCATAGCATTAGAAATTTCGGCCCATCAAATCGAGCGATGAGGCGACCAGTTTGCGTCTCAGCTATCAAGTGAGCTGCAAGTCAGACAGTACTTTGCCCTCGTTGTTTGATTGAGCACGGCAGAGTCGAGGAGACGTGCCCGGTGTTTTGATGAATTTTTCGGGCTACTTGAATACTCGAGCGTCCATGATTTGATTTGACAATGTGCCCAGTTTACATTCTGTAGACCTAATAGATAATCATAGACACGTGAATTAGGGATGAGCTCGCGTAAACACGGCTGAATCGAGTGGAAAGGCCCGTTCCTCATCGGATTTTGGTCTCAGGTTTACGGTTACGGAGCGAGAGACTGGTGCGTGCGGATCGATCAATTTGAGCGTCATTGATGGCGTATGACAGATGAGCATAGTGGGTGCTGGGACCACATGAACACGGAGATCGAGCTGAAGAGTCTCTGCCGTTCAAGTCTATCATAACGTAGGCCTCATTCACAAATTTGCAACAGCGAGCTCAGGTCACACATAACTTGAACAAAAGTGAGCTAACCTCACATCAATCTCAACTTCATTTTCAAATTGCCCACAAACTACAACACCATGAGTCTTCAGACAGCAGCGCACACTCAGTACAACAGCAGCAAACCTTCGGTTGGCGTTGGTATGTGGACCGAAGAGGAGCACGCTCGCTTTCTGGAAGGTGTCAAGCTCTTCTCAAACGGACCCTGGAAGCGTGTGGCCGCGTACGTCGGCACACGCAACGTGCGTCAAACCATGACCCATGCGCAGAAATACCGCCTAAAAGCTGCGCGGCGACTTCGTGAGGCTCAACGCAAACAGGCAGCGGTTCGCCATGGACTGTACAACGCTCAACGAGGTATTGAGGTCGCAGTGGACTCCCCAAATGCACGACAGTCACTGAACAGCCCATCCGGAAGCGGACTCGGACTGGGTTCATACTCGAAGAGTCGTCCACCGTGTACTTGTCTTGAAAAGGACTGTCCGCATGTGGATGATGCGAGTAAAATCTACATGTCCATTGCGGATGCCATCAAAATCCTTGACTCCAAGACGTCGTCTTTTGCTGGTTCACCGGTCTCCACAGATGAAACATTGAGTAACACGTGGCTGGATGCCGGCAAGTATGTCAATCTCGAGGCGTTCGGTAGTGACGACCTCATCCCTTTGGACTCTACAGCCAGAGAATCGCATGAATTTCCGACGCTCGAGGACTGTGCCAGCGAACTACTGGACCTGCTCTTTTGAATTACTACATTCGTCGACCAACTGAGTGCGTGCAACCGGAGGGAAATGCACGTCAACCACTCCCCCCCCTAAATATTCAAGTAACTAGTATATAAATGACTGCGTCTTACAGCTTCCTGTACCAATGAAATACAGCGTCTATCATTGAATTCATTTGCATTAAACGCTACTTTATATCGTGGAAACAAACGGCTGTAATCAGTCTGTAAACATTCCTGATATCTCTTAAATTTGTAGCATTATACCCAAAATTAGATGTAAAATCGGAGCTAAAGTCTTCAATGGCCGTAATCATCAATATGTTTTCAAGAAACATAAAATCCGTATCGTTTTTGTCAATCGCTGTTTAAAAGGGCGTAAACATTCCAAAACAGACCAGTTACCCTGCAAGCCATGCATAGTACTGTATACTCCAATTGCAGCACGGTAATAAATTATGTAGGATGTTACAATGTGGTACATGCACGCGCACGTCGGTTGCTCGAAGAACGTCGAGATCGATAACCATCGTAAAAGTACACTTTCCAATTCGCGCCTTCGAGCTACAACGGCCAAGAGACGAAGACCTTCAAAGAGCCGGTCAACCGGCCCCTCCGACCAGGGCGGGAAGTCCCTCCAACGGGAGGCCCAGGATAAGAGGGGGGAGGTTTTCCCTCTGCTGCGTGCGCTATGGGGGGCAAGCGCAGCGTGCGAACCGTAAGGGGAGCACCAACCCTGTTACCCCCGGGGGGGAGAGGATCGACGACCGCGGTTATCATTCCCTCTTTCCCCAATAGTTCCTGCTATTCTACGTCAGCCTTCAAGACGCCGATTCGATCGCCGAGCGCGAATCTCGGTCCCACGAAGTGAACTTGCCAAGAACGTGAATTGATCGGCCCCGTCCAGGTGCATCAGCGATCGATCGGGACTGATCGGTGTGGTGCCCGGCGCTTGTTGCGATCATTGAGCCACTGTTTACACCTCGGGCTGGATACCCGATTCCACGTGCCCTTTTCGGAGTGTCCCCCGTGACGCCCGACGTCTCGAGCCAGCAGATTGAGCCAGCGAGGCGAAGAATGACGAAGTCCTGGTAGAAGCACTCCAGACATCTTACCAATCCTTAATGTTTGAAATAGACGGTCTGTTCTTCACCATCGTAAAAGTATCTCGTAAAAAAATCCTACTTCTAGATTAAATAAGCTTTTTAACCAATCTAATTGCTTGGCATAAAAACATGCAAATCAATTAAATTGGTTGGAAGGGACATTTTAATCCGGACGGGTAAACTCCTCTATAAGCCCAGGACTTTTTGGATGACAACTTTACGACGGAACATACTCATGCGATTCGCGAAAGTGCTACTTAATGAAAGTTATGAAGCGCCGTCTGGCTTTAAATTAATGTACATCGATGCTGAGCATAGTATTTTCTAAGCCAAGGTTTGCCTGGAGATGCCAATGCACTTCAGTGTTGTTTCGTGTCCGATGACAACAGGCAAACGCCGATGGAAATGACCTTGCAACGACTTGCGCTGGACTAGTACAACCAGCTACACGCGTGTGGATAACTTCGTCCATGGGGTCATGGTTGACATGCACAACAAGGGCAAGTGGACGATTTGCTGCCCAACAGCTGAGCTATGCTATTTTCTATGGACTAAAGCAATGACTAGCTGATCGAGTTCATGATGACATCAAACACACATTAGCTTAACTTCTCACGTGGTGGTACAATTCTTGAACATCATCAGACATTACATACCGCCACAACTTTAAAGTATATGAAGACCATTACTGCAAGCGTAAGGCCAAGCGTAGAAGTATTGCAAAAACCACAGCTATGATAATAGCAACGGCAGTCTTATGGATGGCCTTGAAACTTGTGCTCTCTTTGGTCACAGTATGCGCCACCCCACTCGTAGTACGCGCCAATGACGCATAGTTGCCAATGTTTGGTTCGGCTTTGGACATTCCATTTCCTGGTAACATCTTTCTCATCCACTCGAAGGCTCTCTCCTCATTGCTCGCGGTTCCTGTCGTGGGAGTTGTTGTGAGGTAACGGGGGGTCTTGTCATTTTGGTGGCGAAGACGAGGAGTTGTTTTTGATTCCGCAGCAATAAAGTCGATACTGCTCGCCACAAAGACGGCCACGAACAGAATAGAAGAGATTCGAGCTCGCATGATAACACGTTTTCGTAAACTCCTTCCTGGCTCTTCGGTCAAATAAAACGTAAGGAATGCCTTGTTTACTCGTAAATTAGTAGTAGGGACAAGGCATTCCTGATGTATTTATTTTGAGCCCTTATAACCGAAGACATCTATCAGTTAAGACAAGTTATCAGTTGAAAAAGTATTACTATAGGCTAATGTATACCAGATAATCAGTATTACTTTAGGCAAGTTTTTTCTGTATGATCCGCTTAACGGTGTACCCTTTATGACACAAAAATTGCATACAGACGTTTTAGCATGTTCGTTTAGTGACCGTAGCTATAGACAATGATCCTTGCAGAGCAGCGGCAGCTCTTATAAGGGTTTTGAGATACGAAGTATTAGGAATTGTAGAAAAATTAAGTTTTAAATTGCCTCTTTCGGATATATTACAAACAAGAAACGGTAGTGAGTATACAACACATGCATCGGCTGCTTGTCCGTCTTTGTTGTCAGCAATTGGGTCAGCATCGATGCCAATCCAGAATTCTGGCGAAGATAAGGTGCTTGTCGATGCAAGCTGTGACATCAATGTTGTGCCCAATGACACGCTTTCACGTCATGGGCATCGACGACGTTGGCTTTGGTGACCGAGAAGACTGCAATCTCAGATACAGACTAATGACTATCTTTGTTCCCATGTAAAATGGCCTCAGTGTCGTTCTGTATACAAGGCATTGAAGCGCTTCAGGAAGCAATGGAAGATAGTTAATCTGTGAAAGGCTGTCGATATGCAGCAATCGGTGATGCCAAACCAATACAAGCACAGATCAGCGTAGTCACGCATGAAAAGGAGTGTCCATGTCATTACCGTTGCATTGGTTCACCTATTTCGTTCGATCCGGACTGCCACTTGTTATGCCTTGAGTATTGAAAGAGATTTGGATGAATCTTCGTATGAAAGCGGAAACACTGACGCCACCATTGTGCTCTCAAATCGCAGCGCCATGAAAAACATTTCCTTGAACCAGAAGTCGACGTTTTGGACCGAAGCACGAATCCAACCACCATGCCGCAGGACGCAGCCATTGACTCGATTGACATCCAATGGAGCAAAACCTAATGAGGTTGTCATCTGCGTCCATTTGTAGGACGCACCAAGGCATTGCTGAACTGCATTATGCTGGAGCGCCGAGTCGAAAATGACGTATTCTTCGCCAAGTCGGACACGCCATAGCAGTTCTAAGGAATTGGACGAGCTCTGAGTATGCGGATTGAATAACACACGATGAATCACGACTGCGTCGCGGCCAAATGTCTGTAGGACTTGAGTCTGTCATGGAATAACATGTCAGCAGGTGAAAGTTTGAGCGCAAATGATAGATTTCAATCGCCACTAACCTTGATCGGGAATGCAGGACTGAAGAATGTCGCGTAGGTCGCAGGCAAAGACAACGTGTCCCACGTAACGCTCATCAGATGTAATGCTTGCACATTTGGGAATTCCTTGGACAACATGAATTTGACGGATGATTCGTCCATTTTTCGGAAATCGGTCCATCCCATGATCGAGGCACCCGAAGTCTGACACTTGTTATCTCGCCGTGACATCTCGTATTCCACTTGTGTCTTTTGCTGGATACTCACTAGTTCTTGGGAAGTGAGTGGTTCATAAAATTCCTTCACAAGCTCCAATTGATTCTGTCAAATGAGCTCATTAGGTCATGCGTTCTTTTACTGTCCATTAAGATCTCGCACTTACCTGCATCAATAGCTGGATCAAATCAACATGAGGCACTCTGGGCACAGAAGCCGCTACAGCGTCAATGCGAGCTCGCAACTCGCCGTTCTCGAGCTTGAGATCCCTCTCTTCTGCTGCAATTTCAAGACAACAATATCTGTTCTCTAATGTTTGTACCAGCTCTTTGATGCGCTTCACCTCGGCCTTCCTGCGCTTGATATAGCGACGCTGCACTGCTCGATGCCGAGCTCGTCGATCCTCTTCCACTGGCTTGGCCTGACCATGATCAACCTCATTCAAATCGCTACACTTCGTAGACATATTTTGCTGTTCCATGATGATTGTGTTACTGAGTTTTACACTTCGTAGAGAACCAGAATTCTCTCGATTCTCAACGTCTGACTGGTCTAGTAGCAAGTGCTCCATGATGCGTTGGTCTATGGGCGTCCAGTTTGTTAGTTTCGTGGTCGTCGTAGGCAACGCCATTGTAGACGGCGATATCTCCGCAGAGATCAAAGCTTATTGATATGTAGCTCTTCTTCGTTCTACTAGCCACTTCACGATCTGTAAGACCACAATAACAAACTCGTCACCACTTTGGTCACATTGACCAAAGTGATGACGAGTTGCGATCACATTTGACGTAGTAAAGATGGATTAAGTACACACGACAGCTCCCATGGATCGAAATTTCATGTCAATGTCAGTACATTGGAGCCATGTCTTGATTCCACCTACTATAACTCGTAGCTCCTTGTAAAGAAATAGCCATAGAACTTGCTGCTCGAGCGTCAGGATGAAGCTTGGATGATGCAACTCGAGTAGCAGACGCTCGTCCAAATCCACGTACAGTTCTTGCTGATAGCGGGTTGTCAATGTATCAATGATTTTTGTACGAGTTTAATGAAGGGATAGCCTTCAGTCCTGCAGCATTAACGTTAACTACACGGAATGTTAAGTACCGATCAATGCTACGTTGATTCATGCAGTGGATCAACAAGATCCTTTTGAGATTCGTAGAAGAAACAATGTAAGAAGATGACGACAAGTAGCAATCTCGTACTCAAGCCGAATCATTTTCATGTGGTATGACGAAGCAAAGCATGATCATTGTATCGACTATACGATTTCAAAGTGGTGGCCTGGAAGTCTTGGCACCATGTCATTGTCCATGCTCAGAGTTGAACATTAATGAAGAGAATAGAGGTGCTCAAGCGTTCATCGTGCCTTTAAGGCCATTGGAAAAGCATCTGCCGCTACCAATGGATAGAAATGGAGATATCGTAATCGAACTCGCTCGACAGTGAATAGGCCGTCTTACACATGATGAGGCGTATCGTGAGCCAAAGAGCTTCTGTACCTTGCCATAACGCAGGGAAGGGCATATTTGATCCTGAAGTTGAGGGTTATTCGTAATACGACTACTACAATCACCACGCAGTTCAGTGCTGCATGTATGCAAGGATAAAAGGTCAAGAACACTGTGACCTGAGCGACAAAATAGGCTCTATCAGCCCGTAGCATTAGCCTATGCTGCTACTTTTGCTGGAAGAGCAATGACGTCGCTGCATATAGAGGCACTAATTGTCAATGGCTACAATTTCTATACAAGTATTTTGAACCACAGGTTAAGAACTGTATCTAAACTTCAACATACGACGTGATGCAATCCTCCTTTTTTTCTTTTTTTCATTACAATGAACAAGTCATTTTTTTCGTATATCCATTCCATATAGATTATCATTTCCTTTTTCATCCAAAAAGTTTCCAACATGGAAACAGATGCTTTGCCACTCGAACGGGGCAACGTCGATATGACGTCAATGCTTCCCCAACCCCCAAAAACAGACCCGCCACCCCATGTCGTATCAGACGAGTCGCTTACCCCGACGCATCAAACTCAACAGCTGATGCGACGTGTCTACAGTGCTCAAGATACCGTCAACTTTGAATTATTACACGATATGTCCAGTCGAAATCGACGTCGTCGATCTGAATATGGGGCTCTAAATGGACCATTGCAAGCTTATAAAAGTACCCAAATGACTTTTTCTACCCCAAGTGACAATTTCACTTCCGAAATGCCGCTTGCTTTCGTTCCAAAAAAACTGGATTCTCAACGTTTGAAAGCACTTTTTCTTGAAATTTTAGTCAATGGAACATCTGGAATAATTGCCTGTTTACTCTCATCAACCTTGGCTGTTTCATGTGCCAGTGTCTTGGTGGGACATGAAACACCATTGGCTTCCGTGATTGCTCGATTTATTGACATGAATTTATTGGGGACAGCCATTTTGTCAATTGTTTTAGCTTGGCAAAGTCGGGCGCCATGGACTTTAGGCTCAATTGATGTTTTCGTGGCACCAATTATGGCCGAAATGGCCGAAAAAATCTCGAAACATTTACATGGAGATTTGGACAAAGTTGTACCCACGACGGTCGTCATGGTTGCAATGACGTCGATCATTTTAGGTCTTGTGTTTTTTGTCATGGGACTATTTCGAGTCACGTCGATTGCAAATTATATGCCATATCCTGTCATTGCAGGCTTTTTATCCGGTATTGGAGCTCAATTGATGAAAAATGGAGTGCATATGGCATCTAGTAAAGCTTTGACGGCTGCATTCTTTACGTTGGAAGTGCAGGTGCTCTTGCTACCTGCTGTAGCATTTGCCAGTTTGGCACGACTTGGACAGTACTTTAAATTCCCAGTGGCCTTTTCATTTCCGTGTCTGCTAGCGCTATCATTGGTGGGGTTTCGACTCATTTCTTTCCTGTATGGAGTAAGCATAGAGGAGTTAGGCCACGGCGGATGGGTTTTCTCGTGGGACCCTGTCGTGGTGGCACAGACGCCCATGTGGTTTCCATGGGCCGAGATCGACTTTAATCAGGTACATTGGCACACACTGACGCACGAGTGTATGGAATTTATGGTGTCCCTCATCATTCTTGGTGCGCTGAAGTACAGTGTGGCTACAACTTCGTTGTCAACGCTGTTTGGGCGGGATATCTCGCCGGACAATGAAATGCGTGTTATCGGGCTAGCTAATATGGCCAGCGGCTTGTTGGGATGCTGTGGTGGGTGTCACTACCTCTCAGCCATGGGCATCATGAAGCAGTTTGAGGCTCACGAAAAAGTACCGGCACTGGTTTGTGCTTTTCTGGTTGTGTGTTTGTGGATGGCCGGCATCCGGTTGCTGCAATTTGTGCCCAAGTTTATTTTTGGTGGGCTACTGCTAAGTGTCGGACTACACTTCCTGGAAGCATACTTAGTAACACCGTTCCATTTTCTCAAGCCTATTGAGAAAGCTACTGTTGTGCTCATTACTTCAAGCTTTCTTGCTATTGGTATGCTGGAGAGCGTAGCAATGGGCATCATGATATCAATGGTCGAGCTTATTTGGCGCATTCACGCCGTGGGTTGCGTTCACCACGAGACGACAGGAGCGCTATCTCGCAGTGCAGTGGACCGCACTCCAGAGCAGACAGCCTATCTTGACAGTGAGGGAAGTGCCATTTTTGTGCTGCGACTGCAAGGTTATCTATTTTTTGGCACTTCTGTGAACATTTTGGAGCGAATGGAGACTCGTGTGCATTCGCTAGATTTTCCCAAGCTGAAGTTTGTCATCATTGACTTCGGGCTTGTCCCTAGCTTTGATGCCACCGCGCTGTTAAACTTCCGCAAGTCCTCTACCCTTGCAGATATGTACATGTTCGACATTTACTTTTGCGGACTCAAGCCAGATATTGAACTCGCACTTCGCCAAAATCACTACTCGCAGCGCGTGCATTTACTCAGAAGCGATGTAGATATCGCACTCGAAATCTGTGAGAACGAGCTAGTTCCCGATAAATTGTTTTTTACTCCAGAAACTCCGAGGCCAGGCACGTCACTAAATGAATGGAAGCGCATGAGCCAATTGGAACTTTGGGAACGCTTCATGGCCGCATCTACGGAGCATGATGGTACATCGAATTATCAGAAATTACTTCCACTAGCTGCTTATCTGGAGACTATTGTGGTTCCCAACGGATCTCAGCTCGTCCCAGAACGTCTACGCGATGACACGTACTTCATCTGCTTTGGCTATATGAATTTTGTCATGGATTCCGAGTTCTCGAATGCACATAATATTCCCGGCGTCCGATTCTCCGAAGCTTGTGATGACGACGGAGTTGGCAGGGGCTACAGCGACGGCTTTCCGAACGAGAATGACGATGGATTGGACGAACCCATCAGAGCTTCCAACCCACGCAAGATGTCGTTCGTGGTACCAGAGGAATCGCAGTGGACACCATTCACGACAGCGAAATCACGGCTACTAAAAATCGGACCAGGAGCTGTCATTATACCTAATGTTGCAGGCATGGACCCCGAGTACAAATACTTCGCGACGTCAGACTGCGTGGTGCTTCGTTTACGTGCTGCAGCAATGGAAACACTGGAGGATCAGGCACCTCACACGGCTGTAGCAGTGTTGAAGCTCATCAATGTGCGATTGGCCACTCGCTTTCGCCACTCGAGCAAGCGCGTCTCGCAAATGTCTTCTCTGCTCTACAAGTAGATCGAACTGCAAGGTAACTTCGTTCGACTTGCACATTTGTGATCATAGCAACCTAGCAAGCATCATTGCAACATCCATTAATTTCATGTGGAAAGCAGTCCCATTTTCATTATCCAACCATTACGGTAATGGCCACGAGTCTTTGCTGCTAATCACCAAACCGAATCGCCCTCATCTTTGTGGGGCGACTGGGCTCTAGCGAAAGGAACGAAGTCTTTCTTACTGCTTCCTATAAACACTGTCACTCTCAAAATGCTTGACTGGCGTGCTATATCTCCACCAGCCGAGACGTCACTTTTTTCTTGCTCTCTATCCATCTCCATCTTCTTAATCCACGTATGTAGCAAGGAATCGCTTGGTAAGCTCGCTAATCTCTTCCTGACCAAGCAAAAATCCGTCGTGGCCGTGAGGCGACGACAGTGCCGCAAACTGTGCGTTTGGCAATCCATCAGCAATCTGCTGCTGCTCACACAAGGGGTACAGTACATCCGAGTCGATGCCAATAACCAGAGCGGGCTGGGACAGCGAGCTCAGTGCCTCCTTCACACCACCACGACCGCGACCAACATCGTGCGTGTCCATCATATGCAATAGCGTCAAGTACGAATTAACATCGAAACGAGACAAAAACTTCTCTCCTTGGTAATTGAGATACGACTGGACCACATAGCGTCCGTATTTGGACGCTAACTTGTCGTTTTCGGCAGGTTGTTCTTGACATCGTCCAAACTTCTCGTCGTACGCGGCATGAGTACGATAGCTCACCATAGCGATCTGACGAGCCAGCGCAAGACCGGTATTAGGTGGAGCGGATAGCAAATAGCGTCCGTCACAAAAGTTGGGGTCCATATAGACCGCTTGACGCTGTAATTCACTGATACTGATCTGCCATGCCGAGTGCTGCGCGCCGCACGCAATGGTCACGAAACTCTTGACGTAATCCTGACCCTGAAATGCCCATTCTAGTGTCTGCATACCACCCAAAGAGCCACCAACAACAGCCTGCACTTGATTTACACGAAATTTCTCTTCCAATAGTCGACGCTGCAATGCAACAGCATCTCGTAACGTCACGGCTGGAAAATCGGGACCATAGACACGTCCAGTCATTGGGTCAATGGAAGCTGGACCTGTCGTGCCATAGCACGAACCGAGTACGTTGCTACACACAATAAAGTACTTGTCTGTCCACTCGGAGGTGACCATTGAGCTCCAATATTGATGTACCAGTGAATGTCCCGTCAGTGCATGACACAGGATAATTACATTATCCCGTGCTGCGTTCAGTGTCCCATAACAAGTGTACGCGATTGTGGGCTCTACGAGTTTCTCACCCTTTTCTAAATGTAATGTCCCAGAGAATTGATACACATCTGAGACAGCACTAGGATGTCCATGATTATTGTATTCATCTTCCATGTATTGGGGTACATTTTGTCTTGATGCTTTTGACGACACCTTGGAAGCAAGTGAAAAATATCTCGACACAAGAGGGAAAGAGGATGAGGAGATTAGAGATACACGAGACAACATGAATAAGGTGTTGTTAGTGAATTGATAAAAAGGAGGTCCAAATTAAATGGTACAAAAGACAAGAGTAAAAACGGGTTAATACGTAAAACATAATATAATATTTAGCTTACAGCCATTAAATTTTTGCTATTATTTCAACTTCTGAGCAAAAAAAATCATTTTGTATGACACTTTATTTACCTACCTGTAAGAGAGAGATATTCTTAAGTAACGCTTAAGTAATTCCTCGACACTCACATAATTTTCTCCAATCGCGTGGCAGATTTATTCGTTATAGTCACTCCTCTCACTCGTTCATTTGCCAATTATCTTCATACCTGAATCTTACAATCTCTAAATATGAAGATTCTCGTCCCAATTAAGCGCGTCGTTGATTACGCTGTCAAGATTCGTGTTGACTTTACAGGAGTTGATCTGAAAAATGTAAAAATGAGTATGAATCCATTCTGTGAAATTGCCGTTGAAGAAGCCATTCGTCTCAAGGAAAAAAAAGCTGCATCGGAAGTTGTGGCGGTATCCATTGGCCCGAAACAATGTCAAGAGACGCTACGTACGGCCCTTGCAATGGGTGCTGACCGTGGTATTCATATTACTTCTGATTTACGTACGGATCAGGAGCTTCAGCCATTGGCTGTAGCTAAATTACTCAAGGAGATCGTAAACAAGGAAGACCCCAAGCTCGTGATCTGTGGCAAGCAAAGTATTGATGCTGATGCTGCTCAGACGGGACCATTGCTTGCGGGACTATTGGACTGGAGCCAAGGGACTTTTGCTTCGAACGTTGCTGTGGAGGGGGATGCTGTACACGTCACGCGGGAGACAGATGCTGGTATTGAGACGTTAAAGCTTAGTCTACCAGCTGTTGTGACAGCAGACTTGCGACTGAATGAGCCACGTTATGCTACTTTGCCCAACATTATGAAGGCCAAGAAGAAGAAAATTGAAACGTTGGCAGCGGACAGTTTTGGAGTGGATCTGACCCCACGTATTGAGATCGTGGAGGTTAAGAATCCGGAATCTCGTAAGGCCGGCATCAAGGTTGCGGATGTGAACGAGCTGGTGGACAAATTGAAGAATGAAGCGGGGGTGATCTAGAACTAAAGACAGTTTTAGGAGGATAGGATGGACTCGTAACAAATTGTCAGGGATCTGATGTGGTCGCTTTATTGCTGTTTGCTATGGTGTTAAAGTTGGATGAGTTTATTTTCGTTCAAAGAAGGTCGTCGTCCAATGCCTTAGAACTGCTATGGCGTGTCTGACTTGGCGAAGAATACGTCATTTTCGACTCGGCGCTCCAGCATCATGCAGTTCAGCAATGCCTTGGTGCGTCCTACAAATGGACGCAGATGACAACCTCATTAGGTTTTGCTCCATTGGATGTCAATCGAGTCAATGGCTGCGTCCTGCGGCATGGTGGTTGGATTCGTGCTTCGGTCCAAAACGTCGACTTCTGGTTCAAGGAAATGATTTTCATGGCGCTGCGATTTGAGAGCACAATGGTGGCGTCAGTGTTTCCGCTTTCATACGAAGATTCATCCAAATTTCTTTCAATACTCAAGGCATAACAACTGGCAGTCCGGATCGAACGAAATAGGTGAACCAATGCAACGGTAATGACATGGACACTCCTTTTCATGCGTGACTACGCTGATCTGTGCTTGTATTGGTTTGGCATCACCGATTGCTGCATATCGACAGCCTTTCACAGATTAACTATCTTCCATTGCTTCCTGAAGCGCTTCAATGCCTTGTATACAGAACGACACTGAGGCCATTTTACATGGGAACAAAGATAGTCATTAGTCTGTATCTGAGATTGCAGTCTTCTCGGTCACCAAAGCCAGCGTCGTCGATGCCCATGACGTGAAAGCGAGTCATTGTGCACAACATTGATGTCACAGCTTGCATCGACAAGCACCTCATCTTCGCCAGAATTCTGGATTGGCATCAATGCTGACCCAATTGATGACAACAAAGACGAACAAGCAGCCGATGCATGTGTTGTACCCTTCAGGTATTCGGTCAGTTTCCACACTTTGCTTGCTCGACTAGAGCGCACGTCAGTTGAAATACACTTTGGCGCACCTCTGGCAAAAGCTTACTAGCTACCGGTGCTAGTACGCTTTTGTTTGTGCACTGGTCATGTTGTCACTTTGGACAAAAGTCACCGAGGCCGCTGACGAGAAAGTTAACGCCAAAGAGTTGGCACAAAGAGTTGGCACAGCTACGTCACTGCCTATTTCATCAATGCTAAAGCTTGAAGCTGCTACCGTCCGACGTAGCACAAATACATGATTGTGATCACAACAAAACCCGAGAAAGTTACAACCAAATCGAGATCCTGTGATCAAGACGTATCGAAACCTTTGTACACCGAGATATTCGAGACAACGAGGATATGATAGTACAGGTTCATCTGTTACTCACTCACTCGCGCTTCGTATCACACAACCTCAAAGACCTTCTTATAAGAACTGCAGCTACTCTGCAAGGACCATTGTCTATAAAATTCAACGCAAATGGGACGTGATTGAGAGGTTCGTGGAGAGTTATTCGCCAGAATTGACGGGTATCACGACTTCCATGTAAAAACGTTAATGTACCAAACGACACGACAATTCAAAACGGTGGAGTCCAGCGCGAGCACATCGTACAAACTTATCATACAATTCGACATGTGAATGAAAGAGATATCGATGGGGCCCTCAACTAGAATCTCATACTTGATTTCAGAGTAGATAAGGCATTCCTTACGTGTTTTTTTTCGACCGAAAAGCTAGGAAGGGGTTTACGAAGACGTGTTATCATGCGAGCTCGAATCTCTTCTATTCTATTCGTGGCCGTCTTTGTGGCGAACAGTATCGACTTTATTGCTGCAGAATCGAAAACAACTCTTCGTCTTCGCCCTTCCACGACAGGAACTGCAAGCAAAATGGTCCTGTTTCGATCATGAAACGTTTCATGGTAACAAACGTTGGTGCACACGACAGTTGATGTTGTAGTTCGGGTGTCGTCAGGGACTCCACCACGTTGTTTGTAGACGATGTCTAGACAAATTACTGGTTCAAGCTCGACTCTCGATTGAATTTTGATACACTCTAGACAGACCCAACGATCATTCAAACGACGGGTGATAAAATAGCTACAAGCCGAATGAGCCCAATCCCACCGTGCCCCTAGTTAAAGAAGTAGGGACTGTCTAACACGCTGCGGAGATCCAAGTCACCGAGTCGAGGCACATCCTCAAATTTCATGTCTGGAAACCGCAGCCGCAGTTCCGTCAGCAAATCCTCTAATATAGGTTGCTCATACAAATTCACAAATTCCTCGCGCAGTCGACGGTTCATAATGTCCACGGAACACGCGTGCGTCCAGTAACTATCGTGCACGGCTGCAAACACAATCTTGTCTCCCTCAAGACAGCGACGTGCAGTCAGCATCATGTGTGTCGAGTCAAGCGAGTGAACAAAGTTGGGCGGGAAGGCTGATTTTTGGCGGCCAATGCTCACCTGTCGCCCTTCATTTTCTACCATCAGGACATGCTGCACCTTCGTCCGCACCTGCTTTGTGGACTTGCTGCGGTACGGCTGCACCACCGGTAGACCCAGGGGTGTAATCCAAGACATGGGTTGGCCGCTTTCTCCTGCTAGTGCGGCACACTTGGCCAACCACCCCATGATGCCTCGTGCTGAGGTAAACAAGTCACCCACGGAGCCCATCGTCAATTCAGCACAATAACACGCGGCATGATAAATGTTGATCTCCAAAACTTCGTCCATGATGTGTCCCTTCGTTAGAAACGTCTCGTGCAAACGAGCGGAAATCTGCTTGCGCGCACCAATGTATGTCACACCGTACACACTTGTCATTACTGTCTGCTTTACCACCTTTCGCGTGATAATGCCGTCAAGAAATTGAGCGCACTTCTTCCTGTGCGCCTGACGAAGTAACTTCAAGAGCTCCGTTTTATGCGTACCTGATGCAGTTTCAAGCATCGCATTTACTTCCTCAACGCTGGGCACATCCAGGGCAGCATCGTGTTCCACCTTCGTCAATACCTGCGTTGCCACGCCTATATACACGTCGCTAGGTCGAGGCGCTGGTACAAGATTCACCTGAGCGCCACCGCGTTCATCACGTCCAAGAGCGGCATAGTGTTGAAGCCCATTGCATGAACCGTCCTGGTGGATTGGAATGTTAGACATGTACTTCGTCGGGTCGGGAGACTCGATTGCGCGCTTGAGCTCAAAGCACACGCCCAATGCCAGAAATGGATAGTCAGCGCCCTTCCACCACGCGCAATCGCCCTCGCCAAGCGGTTCACGTGCCGATGCCACAGCCCTGTCCATGTGGGCATCCGCAAATTCCACACGCTCATCAAATGAGCACTTATTCACACCAAAGACATTGGCAAGGTGGATCTTCAACCAGCGCAGCCCATTCTCACCCAGAGGCTTACGATCGCGGAAAATAAGCAAACTGCGAGAAAGATCGGAGCCCAGGTGGTTCAGGTTCGGTGGAATCGGGTACACGCGGCCACGGAAGTCCATATTGTACGGGTAATAGAGCTCGGATTCATCTTTAAACTCTTCCGCAGCCTGAAGCTTGTACAAAGTGTCACAGCGCAGCGAATGGAACTCCCGATTCAGTTGCTCAATCTGCACAACCATTACAAAGTCAAAGTAAGCATCTCGTACACGATAGCAGATCTGTCAAGTATGTGGGTTACAAAGCTCCATTGTTTGGAGCCTCTCGGATGGCTACAGCGTGGTTAAACCCGTTGAGCCTCCAAGCAGCAACCGCTTGCTTTTGCAATCAGTTTGAACCCACATGATGTAAGAAATCGTCATGTGGGCTTGATTCTATTGCGTCAATACATGCAAAAAATATTCAGGAGAGCTTACCTTGCGGACATTCTTGTTATACAGCTCTGGATCGTCAGCAAACTCTGGGCTGTTTGGGTCGGGAAGTGGGACATCTTTCCGTGTGGGCAGATCGCCAAAGTCACCGCCGTCCTCCCAAATCTGAAGAATAACGTCCAACACTTCCTTGTTGATAATCCACGGCACCTCTGCCATAAGACTCAACGCCTTCAGAATACCATCAATGTCGCCACGCTGAACGCAATCCATTTGCCAGGCCGAGTCACGTTGCCGCATAATTTTCGTGCGCAGTTTCAGATATCCGCCGTTCACGATGCCAGTCCACGGACGAGGAGGTACAAGCATCGGCAGGTAGCGCGCAGTCCACGGCAAGACATTGGCATCCGGATTCGTCGCCAACACAGTGTCAGCCATTTTCTGGTGGATCTGCATCACGCCCGCGCGGCGATTCCGCTCGAAGACATAGTTGTGAATAAAGGCTGGTTCAGGAGCAGGTAGCCCTTTAGCCGCGCATAGCTCGGGTGTCGATACCTCGCCCGAATTGTTAGGCACATAACATGTCCGCTGAATACAGTCGACAACCGCAGCACCGACCTTGAGCTGTAGACGTTTGTCCCAACCACCGACAGTATCAATATATTCCATCATGCGTACTTTAAGACTTTCCAGTTTGATTTCTTCAGTCAATTTCAAAATATACTTGTGAATTCTTCCATCATTTCGCTTTGCTGCTTCCTCTTTTCTCGAAATAATCTCTTCCTGAACAGCTTTGCCCATACCAAGTGCCAGTTTAATAAACTTAGGTCCTTTCGATTCCATCAAACACGAATTCAGCATGATATTCATCCCCGTAGCAGCAAGCACGTCCGGCTTCAAAAGGATCAAAGCTGGGCCGTAAATGTTACTGTCTGTGCTGTGTTTCCCTGCTTTAATTTTCTTTTGCTCTGCCTCAATGTACCTCTTTGTTTCAGGCATCCACTTTCTTATCAGATTTTTAGCTGCATTGGTCTCCGTAGATCGACCAAGCTGCCGAACCTTCTCATGGGAAGACGAGTACTTATCCATTGCCATCTCATACACAGAGCACTCCAGACGGAGTTGCCGTGCATATCGTCGACGCATCTCCTGGACTTCCTTAGGTGTCGAGCATTTGGCCAATTGTTCCTTAGGTACTTCGAAACCCTCCAGCCACTTGTCCACATCCTCGTCTGACATGTGGGAACGGGAATTCTGAGCCGATTCAACTGGATTAGTCAATTGCTCCTCTGTCTTGTTAAAAATCCCTTCAAGGCCTAAAGTTAATGGTGCCAATTGATACGGCTTTTCTACAGTAGACCGAGGAATCATTTCTTGTGCACGCACGGCCCAATCGGCTTCAGCGAGACGACGAGGCGCCGTAGCGTCAAATGCGTCGGAAATTTCAGGGTCCGTAGCTGTCTCGGTCCTTGCAACTTCAGAAGCTAGTGAGCTCTTGAGACGATGTGTCAGAAGACTCAAAGCGCCACACTGCATAGACGTACGACTTGTTAAGTGGCTGGACGCACGGCGTAAGGTACGAGTTGTTGTCAACGACGACGCTTGCATGACGAGCGATAAAGGAGAATAACTTGACTGTTAGAACGTGATAGAGAGTGTAACTTAAGTGGGTAAATACAGCAAAAGAAGGACGTGGTGATGAGGCAAGTGTAGAGTAAATTCGAGACGCCCTAGAAGTTGCAAGAAGAGAGAGAGAGAGACGCTGCACTGATCTCGTCAATCCTTTGACCTTCGAAGTGTGAGGTCAGTAAATTGTCGTGGACGAATAGTGGATGACTGGGCAGGGCGAGTGCAGTATTTATACCCAATCAGATGACTGGAATTGTATTTTCGCACCAATGAAAGAGGCAGCTGTAAAATTAGAAATACTGCAGCTATTTTAACATTTCTAAAAATTGCAAAGAAGTGGTTATTATTCAATTAGGTATACACTGATTGATATCTATCCACTAGGACGTATACGCTCTGTAATGGCGACTTCCTGCGCGCATGATGACCATGCGCATGATAGCGCTCTCAATGACAACGATAAGGATGATGATTATAATGAGATGGACTTTGCATTTGATCCGACACTAGCCTCATGCTGTGAACGTGATGAGTACGAGTATAAAAAGATCATGAAGCTTAAGGCAGTGCTGACGGCGCACGACCCCACGTCTGGAGCTGTGCGGATGCGCCAACAACTTTTCCAGCCGCCACCAGTGATCAGCACTATAAAGTCACAGAAATTGGTAATGGAACAGGAAAGGTTGCAGTTACATCATGTGTCCCTGTCAGACTCGGACGACTTTGATGACAGCGATGACGAGTTTGGGATGGACACGATGCTTGCAGTGCGACGTAAACAGCTCGAACAGCAGCTTCAAAAGGCAGCACAGGACGCTGCTGATGGGTACAGTGTGGTGCTGGATTCAGATCTATGTCATCTTGTCCAGGAATTGCGGGATGAACCTGATGTGCCTCGAGTGGCGCTTGTGGTTGATAGCAACGCGAGCATGAAGCCAGAGTTCATGCAAGTCATGCGCAGTGAAATGACTGCTATAGCACAGAAATTTCTGGGCACCAAGTTGTACGTGGTAATGGCATCACGTGATGATGATGATGTGCTGCGACAACTGCGACTGCCTGTTGTGTCTTCTTTAGCGGCATTTAGCCGTGGTGAGCTCGTAAGTTCCATTGTTCTGGACCCAAACATATTGGTCACAGAAGTAGAAGTGCTCTGGGAAGCACGCTATTTGCCATGGCTGACCAAGTGCTGCGTGCTGACCAGTGAGCGAATTGCTCAGCGGACTACTCGGAACAACCCGAGCAGAAGAAAAACTGCGGACGAAGATGAGAAGGAACAGTTAGGCTTTGACTGTGGGATGGAAGGCTGCCGTCTCCGGTTTGGATACACACATGAGCACGTCGGGACGTCTCAGCAAACAAAGGATGAAATTGCTGCATGGCGTCAGGCCCACGAATAACCCCAGATCTCATTAAGTGTGCTCTTTAACACCGCTGTACTGTAGGTATCACTTGCAATATGTACCCTGATGTAGGCAGATATCTCTAGGTTCAACAATTGGCATACAACATCAGGCTGGTTTTATGAAAAGTGTCGAGGAGATCCGGGTAATCGACTATTGTAGAACATTCCGGGTCTCCACAACAAAGCTGCATGCTTCTCAGCCACATGAATATCGAACAATGCTGCATTTCGTGCCAGTAATGATGTCTCGGCATTCATCGAAACCCCGGGCTCCATAAACCATCAGGTTGTCTGTTGTCGATTGTAGTTCCATTATGAACTGGCTGGAGCCCTTGTTTCCCTCTACTGGTGGTGATTTGAGTCGACACATTCCGTCCCGCTGAACTTCTTAGGTAGTCGGTGGATCTTTCTCCGAACTCTTTGGTGTCTTACATGCCAAGTGTGCACACGTCACATATCCCTTCAAATCGAGTGAATAAATTCTAAGTCGGCAAGTGGTCGTTCGAAACTATTGCACGCACGTCAAAATCGAGACGCTATATGACTCGGAGCAAGTGGTGGCAGTAATGGTCGTCCAGTCGGAAACACATCTCCATTATCAGAGGTCCTATTCTTCAGCAGACAGGAGGGGCTTCTAATACTGCCGTTTTTTTCATGGAAAACCAAACCGCAACCCCCAGAGGGTCAAGAGTGATTGTCACTTCAACCGACCGATCGTCGAGTAACGTCATTTCCTATTTGGAGACAGAGTGCGCAAGTCTCATAAAAGACACAGGGCGCATTATTTAGACTGTATTCTATTGTGAAAGGCACACCCACATACCCACACATAGTCAAGATCGTGGCAGGTCAGCAAGAAAACGTGGTGCGTGAGCGACTGAGCTCTGGCATGTTGCGCAAAGAGCTTGACATGCGACTCACGGCGTATTTGCCAGCAGTAGTGCGTCGTCATTTGGAGAGACAGGACTTGCAACGTCCATTGTCAATGCCGACGACACATCGTACGACAGTTGTGAGTATGTTTGCTGACGTGTCTGGATTTACAGCCATGACCGAGTCATTGGCTGCACGAGGACCTGTAGGCGCCGAGGATCTTGCGAAACACTTGAATTCGTACTTTGAACAGCTACTGAGACTTGTGTCGAGTGCGGGTGGTGACGTGTTTAAGTTTGCAGGTGATGCGATGCTTATTTTCTGGCCGGAGAGCAAGGAAGATACGATGGATAGTTTGTTGCGACGTGCACTGCAATGTGCATTACGTATTCAGTCCCATTTACACAAAGCAGAGCTAGCTCCTGGTGTTGTATTGAGTGTAAAGGTAGGATTAGGTATTGGTGAAGCTACAATTGCACATTTAGGAGGTGAGAGTGACGGAGCTACGGCTCGTATTGAGTACGTAGCTGTCGGGCCGGCCTTGGAACAGGCATTTGATTCAGAACATCAGGCAGAAGCAGGAGATGTTATTTGTTCAAGTGCATGCTGGGAGCGTGTGAGTGAGTTCTTTCACGGTGCACCTGTTCGAAGCCCTAATGGTGAGAATGATTACGTCAACTCATTTCACAGGATCATAGGTGTTATTAAACCTGTCAAGATTTGCTCGCGTCGACCATCATTTACACGTCATGATGCATTGCTGCATAAACGTATGAAGCAATACGTATCTCGAGCTGTTTGGCCTTACCTGGATGCCCACGATGAGTTTTGGGGCTCGGAACTAAGAGATGTGACTGTATTATTTATCAACCTTGGCTTCAGGTACTTTACATCTCTTTTATTGCAATTGATGTGTACTTACCTTGCAAATAAATGCCTGACAAATATGTAATTTATAATCTTTTTGACAGTGAGCAGGATTTGGCGCAAATGCTTGGAGCAAAAGAACTCCAGCGGCTGCAAGATGCATTTGCTCTCGTGCAAAAGTGCGTCTATGACTACGAAGGCACGATCAATAAATTTCTCGTGGACGATAAGGGCAGCACTGCTATTGCTGCATTCGGACTGTCACCTGTGACACATGAAAATGATCCTATTCGTGGCATTTTGTCCTCTCTGGCCATCTGTGCTGCGCTTGGGAACATAGGGCTAAAGGCTTCCGTGGGAATTACGACGGGTACAACATTATGTGGAGTTGTTGGCCACCAAGGAAACCGGCGAGAATACACTGTGTTGGGTGACGTTGTAAACCTTTCGGCACGCCTCATGCAACGCGCGAAATCGGAAGGAGGTGGCGTTATCACGGATGCATCCACAAAAATTTACACGCACGACTTGCTGCATTTCGAGAAACGGCCAGAGATAATGGTCAAGGGCAAGAACGAAAGCATTAAAATTCATCGACCGTACCCACGAATGTCAATTCTTCTCGACCATCATCTAACATCTGCCGTCCAGCAGTGCTCTCGGCCAACTAAAGGTAATACCGCATCGCCTGCAGCGAAGATCATTGGACGGGTAGGACGCGCCAATGCACTCTCTGTTGTAAGCCGTGCCGCGCCAATGCAGAATCTGATGGAAAATATGCACCGTGTACAGGTGCGTGATGCTCAGCGGAGATTGTCATTACGTGCAGACCGTCAGCGTTTGTCGGCAGAAGAACTTGTCGAGGGTGAAAGCTTTGTACAGGTTCGAACAGCACTGATGGAAAAGTGCTCACACCTGAACTCGTTTGCTCCTGGTGGAGCGTTCGTGCTGGAGGGTGATATTGGCGTGGGCAAGACAGTGCTACTTCGATCGGCTCTTGCAAGTCCCGAAGCAGGAGACTACCAAGTATTGGTTGGCACAGCTTCCCCATTTGCGACGAAGAAACCGTACGCAATTTGGTCGGAGCTTATTACTAGAGGCGCGCAGGAACTGTCAGGGACATGCAGTGGCACCCATAACGCTGAACCTGCATCGCCCCTCTCTCCAGACATTTGCACCACCGATAGTTTAAATTCTGCTGTGCAGGCACCGAGCAGACTGGCTGAAACGGAACGTCAAAAGTGCGTGGCACAATTTGTCAGGCAGAAAATTTGCGAAGGTGCTGCACCTAATACGACGCTAATACGATACGCATCTTTACTGAATGCAATCTTGGACACGGATTTTGATGCTTATCCTGACCCTTCCGATGACAATAAAGAAGTAGTAGGGATGAAGCATAATGACAACAACTGTCACGAGCTTGAAGAGTCACACACCAATCAGAGCGAAGAAGAAACAAATGAGGAGAACCAACGGCAAAACGAAGAAGAGATGCGCGCATTTGGGCTCTCGTTTGCTGAGAGACCCGACCGGACATTAAATGTGAAAGAGGAGGAAATTGCGTCATGGTTTCTTGGCCTGCTAGAGATGGATTTGGCTCAAAAAGATGAGACTCGAGTCTCGCTAGATTGTTCAGCTCGCGATGCTGCCAATGACAAGCAAGGCATTGACGAGGACGAGCGAGAGCCCGAGTGGAGACCCGTTGACCTGGATATCAGCGGCATTCTTCTGTTGTGTGCATTGTATGCCATGTCGCGCGAACGGGCTACAGTGTTTTGCCTTGATAGTGCCATGTACATGGACGAAAAATCGTGGGTTTTAGTCGCAATCATTGCGAAATACTTCACGAATTGTTTAATCGTGGTTGGGACACGACCACCGAGCTTGGTCCTTGGCGAGCATACCGAGAGCTCTTCGTATCGAAGGCAGTTGCGTTTGCTCAAACGAATGAAATTTTCAGCTTGTGCTTCCATGGACACTTTTAGCAGTGATGAAATTGAGGCGCTGTCGCGACAGATCCTGAAAGTACCCTCTATCCCCAGCAACCTTTTGGAAATTCTCGTGTCACGGTCACAAGGCAATCCTCTTTTTTTACACGAGATCATTGGTGAGATGCAGGAGCAACAAGTGATTCGGGTGGATGAAAAGATGGGTGCCCGCAAATGTAAACTGCAAGTACAGGAACCATGGGGTGACAAATACAAAGCACGATTCTGCTTTGCTTGTCATGCCAGCTTCTCGAGTCCAAAAAAGGACAAGCTCAAGGAGAAAGAAATGAATTTGGATCAACGTGAAGAAGGAGCAAGAAAAACTAGGCAGCGGTGCAAATGCTGTGGATATGTCTTTTGCGCAGAATGCACTCCAAAAGCATGCCAAGCAAAACTTCCGGGAAAGTCAAATGAGCCTGTACGTCACTGTCGCACGTGTTACAACTTAGTATCATCACGTCGGCCTAGTGGCTCAATTCATGGCATTGGAGCTACCGTTGGGGTTACCGGGGACAAACGAACGCGTACAAAAAACCGATTGCGTTCTATTTTTCAGCCTGGAAGCGGTGTTGATCAAGCTTTGTTGTTGGCCGCATCATCATCAAAATCTCCTCCTGTGTCTGGTGCTGAAACGCTTACGAATCGCATCGCGCTCCGCCCGCCTCGAACTGTAAAGAGCGTGCTGACCACAATGCTTGATCAGCTGACGGTTTCACAGCGCATGCTAATGAAGACAGCTAGTGCCATTGGACCTGTTTTTGATAAAGAGATCCTCCGTGGCGCTTGTCCTATCGAGGCTCATCTTTCTCGGTTCGCGCAAGACCTTGAAGACTTGGAACAATTGGCTATGATACGCCGAATTGATACGTTCATTGGAGGTGTACCCACATCCTCTAAGCCGATTGGTGGAGCAATCCTCACAAATAGCCAAACGGCATCAGCAAATAGCCACTTGAAAGTCAAGTTCGAGTTCAGCCACGGTTTTATGTGTGGTATCATTCGCGAGCAAATGCTTCGAGGTCAGCTGGACAAACTTAACAGTCGTATTGCTGACCTCCGCGAGCAGCAGCAGAAGAAGCTACGGCACAAGTTCTTCTCAAAGGCAAATGAGAGTCTTTTTCGTCCACAGCAATTGACCATTCCAGCTTTGTCCGTTGGAGGGGATGAATGGCGCACACTCACTCCAACGGTAGACATGCGCAATTCTCGATCTCCAGTGTTTAGCGACGGGGAACGACGGCATCTATTGTCTCGTTGTGATTCGCACTCTATCAATGAGCTCAATGGATCGCACCAAGGTGTAACCCCTCGTGATACAGCGATTGCGACGTCCATTTCCTCGTCTGAGTCGTCAATGACGCAGGCGCTTCGTGAGAGTGGATACGATGATGTGTTTTCGTCAGTGGGTAGTCTAGGTAACGCTTCCTGTGCGTCGGTGTTTTCGTCCAACGGCACAACTAATGCACTGCCAACCTGCATGCGCCTGAAGGCAAGTCGCGTGGTCGTCAAGAAATACAGCAGTATGTTCTCGCACCTGAAACTCAAGGGGCTCAAGAATGCTCGTCAGTGGAAGACGCGGTATGCAGTCCTTCAGAACGCACGCTTGCTACTACAGTACGAAGAAAGCGACCCAATCGCGAACACCACTGAATCTGCACCACTACATCCAGGAATTTGGCACGGTACATCGCTTTCTCTCAAGGGCGCCAAAGTGAGTGCGTGCGATCCAGAGGTAGCAGCGAAACTCAATTGTTTCCAAGTCGAGGTTTCAAAATGGATGAAAAAGGGAAAGGTTTTCCAAGATCAGCGACGCTCCTTCATTATTGGCGTCGATTGTGAAGAAGAAGTTGAAAACTGGGTATACATGATCCGTTTTGCCATTGAAAGCCAATCCGCCGTACTAGCCACGGATATTGCTGTTGATTGGTAATTGGAACATGTACGTACACTGAAATGAGAAATTTGGCTATCAACCTGAAGGCTGCAACGTTTTGTTGCAATAGGAGTTTTCACTCTAGAGCTGTAATTTCTTGTTTTATAATATTTAATGTACAATGAAATAGTCATTCTTGAATCTGCCAAACGTCGCACAGGTGGGTCTTCTATAACAAGAATGAGTCGACCATCTCTAGTCGTCTATTTCTTGGTCATATCCTATTGCACTCGACAACATTCCTCGTTTATTTTATCACCCAATAAACAACATAATCTGGACGTATGTAGAACTAACAAAGACATTGTCTCTATGTCATGTCAGACAAGATCTTTTCCTACCATGTTCAATGCCAAACGTATCGCCTTTCAATTCATTGCTCCAGAACAACAAGAAGGTGTTGGAGCCACTGTACGACGCTCCTTGGGCTCCCAATATCTTCGTCATCTCGACCCTTTTCTCATGTTGGACGAGTTTAGCGTTGGCTTACCCGGAGGTTTTCCTGACCATCCCCATCGAGGATTCGAGACTGTGACGTACATGTTGCCAACATCTAAAGGTTGTATGCACCATGAGGACTTTTTAGGCAACAAGGGGGAGCTCCGACCGGGAGATTTGCAGTGGATGACACCGGGAAAAGGCATTTTACATGCTGAAATGCCTGTAAATGAGGAAAAAGCTCATGGTTTACAGCTGTGGATTAATTTACCAAAGGCAAAGAAAATCATGGAGCCACGATACCAGGAGATCAGTCGAGATTCAGTACCCCACGTGTGGGATGACACTAAGAAGGTCAAAGCCATTGTATTTGCTGGAGAGGTCTTTGGACAGAAAGGGCCAATTGAGACGGAAGTACCTGTGACGTACATTCATTTCGTCATGAAACAAGGGGCAAAGCTGGAATACAAGGTCCCGGATGGTCATAATGTCTTCGTGTACACACTCACCGGTACTGGAAAGTGTGCAGGTGACAACATTGAGGCACATCATGCTATCGTCCTGGAGCACGAAGGAAATGGTGTGCATGTGACGACGGATGATCAAGATGGTCTGGAGTTTATTGTTATCAGTGGTCAACCTCTGAATGAGCCGGTAGTGCAGCACGGCCCTTTTGTCATGAATTCGGAGGCTGAGATCCAGCAGACTATTCGCGACTACCAAAGCGGAAGGAACGGCTTTGAAAATGCGCCAAAGTGGACATCGGAGATCGGCAGTCGCCGCTAAATTGCCGGACAAAGGCGCTGCGTGAAGAAATGAAGCTAGCGCTTTAGACAGGGCCGGTACGCGTACAACCTAAATAAAGGTTTATGGCTTATTTTTCAACGGACCATCTTTATGCTAGATGCTTTTTTACATGTTCTGGAAGGTCAAAAACTTCGCAGGTACACGTTTTGAACGGTGGATTCAAGAAGGATGCTGTCTAGGTAAAGAGCATGATGATAACACTTTGAAGAGCTCAATAATCTCGGCTGTGTCAAGCACTTACAACAAATGTTGGCTACCAGACATTCATCTACGAGGATGATAAAAACAAGGAACAAGGTTTGCGAGTTCACATCAATTACTTTGTAAGGATTCATCCTACCATCCGCTTCAAGGACTATTCCTGCGTACGACACTAGTTCACGCTCTTTACCGACGGAAAAAGACTCGCCAGGGTCTTCATTTTCTCGGCCGCAAAGACAGCGTTGCAGAGCAATTTTCAGGCTCACTTATTTGTGGCGGCAGCGTGGCCAATTCCACGAGCCAGGGAAGCATCCACCCCCACCATAACGGCAACGGGGCCAGTTCCATGATCCAGGGAAGCATCTTCCCCCATAGCGGCAACGAGGCCAGTTCCAGGACCCCGGGACGCATCGACTGATTTCAGCCATCTCGTAATCGATGTCACCATCCATCTCATCGCCATTCATGTCATCTCCATCATCATCCGGATAATCAGTTTGTTCAGGTTGCGGCGGGTCATTCGGTTGCTCTTCCAATTGACGTAGATGATTTCCTACGTGGCATGAAGGCGACATCTTAGTTCTATTGTGATTCTCAACGCAACATTTACGACATCATGTGTACCTTTCGTGTCGAGCTCAAAACCATGGGCAAGAGCTGCAGCAATCACCAGCACCACCAGCAGTAACAGCGCAGACAGTTTCATTGTGACACACTGGATGGGGCAGTAGATTGTTTACTTCTTCTGCTCTGCTAGGTTGGAGTAAATTGCCGACTGAGCTGTTGGATGAAGCAGGATCGAGGATGCCACCGTTAAAAGGGTTAGCACGTACGTGGTTGACAGTAACTTTCCAGCGATTACTTTCATCACCGTTGTAGCTTGGTAATATGCGACGGGTGTGGTAATGATTCCTCAAAAGCTCCGAATCCATGGTAACGACAAGATGAAGTCGCCTGTGTCAGACTGCCGTCCAAAGTGATCCTTTACCAATTCATCGTTCACAAGCATGGCAAAAGATGGTTTTTATGCTGTCGCAATTGGACGCTCCACGGGCGTCTTTTCAACGTGGGCCGAGTGCGAAGCACAAGTAGAAGGATTTAGTGGCTCCAAGTACAAGAAATTTCAAACCATTGCTGAAGCGCGAGCGTTTGTCGGTGATCACATCGGTCAGGAAAATGACGAAGACCCGAAGGACTCGACCACGTTGGTGGCCATTTTGTGATGGAAGTGCACTGAATAATGGACGGCAGAAATGTCGTGCAGGTTACGCCTGCATTTTCCCGCATTGTGAGGAATGGAATGTGGCCAAGCAGTTGGTGGAGGAGGAACGTGTTACGAACAACCGGGCAGAGTATATGGCCGCGTTGGAAGCCATGAAACGTGCGAACGTGGAGGACCCAGACGGGTCTCGGCCGCTATACATCTTCTCAGACAGTATGCTATTGATTCGATCAATGACGGAGTGGGTTGGTACATGGCAGAAGAATAACTGGAGGAAATCGGATGGCAAACCCGTACGAAATCATGATCTGCTCGAGCTACTGGTGGCGGAAATGGGCAATCGCTGCATTCGTTGGAACCATGTGAAAGCTCATACTGGGAAGAAAGACTGGAAGTCAAAGTGGAACGATGTAGCAGACCACGCGGCCCGAAATGCCGCGTCTGGTGGTGTAGAGTCTGAGTCGTTGATGTGCTCTATGAAGCACATGTACCTATGAATATGTCGTAGATGTTGCAACGCCGTTGCTTCCAGGCCACACACGATGTCGTGAAAATGCATTGAACACCCGTCACAGATATTTCGAGACTTGAACACTACTATCGAAGAAGCTTGATTCTGGAAAGTGTATGTGTTATATGTTTCGAGTACTTTAATCAACATGACATTCGTTCGCACTGCAGACTTTCTCTAGTTATGGGAACTACGCGACTTTACGATGCCTTGTCTTTAAGCTCAGTAGCGACAACAAGGTCAGTATGGGATCCACGGACACAGCAGCAACGGCGTTGCAACACCTAAGACATATCATCGGTACATGTGCTTCATAGAGCACATCAACGACTCAAATTATACCAACACTTGACGCGGCATTTCGGGCCGCGTGGTCTGCTACATCGTTCCACTTTGACTTCCAGTCTTTCTTCCCAGTATGAGCTTTCACATGGTTCCAACGAATGCAGCGATTGCCCATTTCCGCCACCAGTAGCTCGAGCAGATCATGATTTCGTACGAGTTTGCCATCCGATTTCCTCCAGTTATTCTTCTGCCATGTACCAACCCACTCCGTCATTGATCGAATCAATAGCATACTGTCTGAGAAGATGTATAGCGGCCGAGACCCGTCTGGGTCCTCCACGTTCGCACGTTTCATGGCTTCCAACGCGGCCATATACTCTGCCCGATTGTTCGTAGCACGTTCCTCCTCCACCAGCTGCTTGGCCACATTCCATTCCTCACAGTGTGGGAAAATGCAGGCGTAACCTGCACGACATTTCTGCCGTCCATTATTCAGTGCACTTCCATCACAAAATGCCACCAACGTGGTCGAGTCCTTCGGGTCGTCGTCATTGGCCGTAACTTGATCTCCAGCAAAAGCTGTAGGGACAGCAGCTTCCAAGATGACATCAACATGAACCGACGACTTTTGCGGTCCTTTCTTCTCTTCCTCCTTCCACATGGTCATCAAAGACGTCGTGTTTTCATCATCATCATTCAGGTTCAAAGGTGCTTTTTTCGAGTCAACTTTCGTGTCAACCAAGTCCAGGTTCAGCTTGTCCACGTCTTTTGTATACGTCATCCTACTCGTCTTGTAGCAGCTTTTATCAACAATGGAAGACGGTCCATTTGTATCTTTCCTAAGTTTCTGAGCACGAGGCGATTCATTCTCGACATTTTCCTCCCGAAGTCTTTTTCGATTACGACCGACAATATTTCGCTGATCGATGGGATCACTGACAAACGCTTGGGCTTCAGCAATGGTCTGAAATTTCTTGTACTTGGAGCCAGTATATCCTTTCACTTGTGCTTCGCACTCGGCCCACGTTGAAAAGACGCCCGTGGAGCGTCCAATTGCGACAGCATAAAAACCACCTTTGGCCATGTTTGTTTGTAAACAATTAATTGGTAAAAATGATACGCAAAACAATATAATAATATGTAAAATATCATTTTAGAAATGATTATTATTGTTTTGCAATAATTGCTTTAGCCATCATTTCTCTATATTTTGAGTTGTTTCGTATGGTTTACAACGGTATTTTACTGGCTGTTTGCACGTTAATTTTGATAAGCTGATTAGGTAATCATACAGTAAGTGTTACTAAATATACCATTCTTCTCTAAATTGTGATTATCTATATGGAGCGATTTGTAACCTCGTCATCGCAACAAAATGCTCATCTCGAGCACCATTTGTCGGTATCTCATGCATCTGCATCGACCCCTTCTTTTCTAAAGTCGGTATCGTTGCCTCCAATCCCATTCTCCACCGCTCAGAGCTCAAGCGACAGTGACGAATTGAAAAGCGACTCAGATTTGTGTCGCGTGGAATCAGATTGTCGGGACAATGCAATGCTATTGAAGGATCAATTGATTGCGAGGGGTAGGGCTCTATTGCAGTCGTATCAGCGTCAAAAGAAAGAGTGGGATCAGCAGAAGGGACAATATGACTCAAGAGAGGTAACTCAACTTGGTCCAAATTCCATGAATATGTTCCAGTCTTTGCGAGATTCTAATGAAGAATATTCGACTGTAAAATATTCCTCACCAAAGGTGACGCATTATTCTGCAGTGGATACTTCTTCTATTGATACGAAGTTGGAAGAGATATCGCCTTTGATGTGCTCAAGCTCACCTCTATCTAGTAATATCGTACGTGAATCAAGTAATTTCAGTAGTGGACCTTTGTCTACTTTGAAAGTGACAATCAACCAGCAACCTCTTTTAAGGAATAAGAGTGAAAAGAGCTGGAATAATTTCATGCAGCTGCTCAAGACCAACGAGCAAATGATGGACATGATTGACGAACAATTGGCCGAAATTTGGAGCGAGGTAGTGTCGACTACTGAACGAGTGAGCGGACCTCAATCGTTGGTGGATAAATTGAGTCAATTTGTCACCCAATTGTTGCGTCAGAAACGAGATGCTGAAATTGCTATTGCTAAACTAGTGGAAGTGCTGGGGTCACGAGTGTTTTTGACGGGCAAACTGACTGATGATGCGGTGCAGTTTGTAAATAATCAGTTGAGGCTGGAACTAGAAGCTTCCCAAGTGCTTGTCGAGAGAGTAAAAGTGGAAAAGATTGTTTGCAACAAAGAGGACGAGGTTACAAGGCTTTGTAACGACGCAAACGAGTCATTGTTGCGTCAACAGCTGCAGGATAATGAACAGGAATTGCAATCCTGTCGAGTTGCTGTCGCAGAATTGAAGGATGAATTGGCACAGCAAAAGGAAATTACGAGTAACAAACAAAAGCAACTTGAACAGGTTCTGGAGGTGAAGTTGCGCGAGATCGATGCGCTTTGCAATGGTATTGATTTGCCCGTGGACTATGAGCGAACCAAAACAACGGAAGGTGTATTTTGCTACCGCCGGAAAGGTTCCAATGGCAACAACGAGCTGGAAGATCCTCGTGTACCTATTGCGCTTAAACTGCGCTGTGTAGCTTCTTCGGCTGCTGCTTCGGCATGTGTAGATGAGAAGGAAGCCATTTTAAAACATGATGGGATCACGAGCTCCGGTAAAACGCATCATCTTCGAGGTTTTAGCGCGATTGCACGCGACTTTGCAGCTCGCGATAACATAATGCGTCGTTCGTCTTCGTCACCACACATTACGCACGACAGCAATGTACTTGCGGACATCCCTGTCCCTCCAGATGATGGTCGTAAACATACAATCGAAGATTTCTCGACACCACTACCTACTGGGTGGGAAATGCGCGTGACAGCTTCGGGTGGAGTCTTTTTTCTTAACAAGTACACGACCACGACGACGTGGACTGACCCTCGACTGCTCGAGTTGGCACCTACATTCTCCTCTGCGGACAATGACTCAAGTCAACAGAGACCACTTGCTTGCAACACAAGCACGGTACCATCCGAGTCTCGCCCATCAAGGTCCAACTCGGCTACAGAGCAGATTGCAACGGGAGAAGGGGACGATGGCGTCCAATACATCGATGTGGTGTTCGGGGAACGTGGCCCGATCGGGATCCATTTCCAAGCCAATGTGCCAGACTCAGGAGCTACTGTAAGGAGTTTGCTACCAGATATGGCTGCTGCCAAGATGGATGTTTTGGAGCCGTATGATGAACTGGTAGCTGTAAACAAGAATGCTGTGGATTCTGCGCCATTTCACCATGTAATGCTATTGCTACAAGGAGGTTTGCGGCCACTAACGCTCACCTTCAAGCGGGACCTAAACCACTCGCGACGCCCGATGTCGCCCGTTCCAGCTGCACCGTCAAGTGACGGTGAAGCTTCTTTGGTAGGCAAGAGTGATGTAGACGAAGAAATTGTGTTTGACGAAGGAACAGTCGTTGACTTGGAGAAACTTCGAGTTCCTGTTGCGTCTTGTCAGATACCAGCAGCATCTGAAGCTAGTGACGAAGAGGATATGAATGTTGCTGACAAAATTATCACCAACATCTTTTCGCTTTTCTGGAAACCACCTGAGACAACAGAGGAGGAGGTCCAAACTGTGTAGGGAAGAAAGCAGTAGTAAACAGGGCACCCTAAATTTAGTCAGCTTGTACCCATCGCAATTCTCCAGACCTGCATCTCTTCATAAACCAATTTGTGACCTTCAATCTTGTTGGTCAGCACTGTCACTTGAGTGGCATCGACGTAGATCAAACCTACACCTCCTTGTGTAGCCATGAAGACATAACTTCGAGCCATACTTGTCATCCACGCAAAGTTTGCTGAAGACTTAACACTATGGCATTAAGCTCCAGCTCCTGCATCAAACTCCGCCTGACGTGAACATAATGATGCTACAAGTAAGATCTTTGTGAGATTTACCATCGAATAAATTTCGTTCATACACGTCAGTCACTTTACGCAGAAAGTCTGCTTTGCATTTCACAATGTCGTGGTCAAAAGCGTCCATGTACTTCTGGTCGTTCATGCTTGTCAGGGGTGTCGCATTCAGGAATGACAAGTGACTCGTAGCAACTCACAATCACACCTCTCGCAACTTTTGGTTGACAATCAAGCTCCAACAGCACATCTAAGCCGCACTCTTGGACGACATCAAGTTGTCAGGGCTTTACACATTTTCCAAATACCAAGTACAGCCACTCGAATGAAGAGATATGCGTTCGACTACCATTCATGTCTACGACTTTTCTTCGCTTGCCGTTCTTGCACGTTTGAGGGATGCGAAAACGGTGGACAGGTGTTTAGCAACAACCGCAGCTACCTAGAACCGGACTGCTTCTTGTTAAGTTGATCTCGGAAATCGCGCTGCAGAATGCGCATACCGCTCATGGATTCAGCTGGAACTTCCTTCTCATCGGCATAGATTAGAAGCTTGGCGATCCACTTGAGACGTTCCTTCAGCTCTTGAACGCTCAAGCCGTCGTCCGCATCCGCAGTTTTGCTTTTTGCCTGCTGAACCACAACTTTCACAGAATCCACAGGGGCACAAAAGTCCTCGTCCGTAGGCTCGTCCATGATCACACTCTCTTCTGGCAAATTGAGTAGTTCCTCCACTGTAAGCGGTTCCGCCGCATGCAACCAGGATAGCATCACCGTCAGTTCTTCCGATATTGCGTCCTCCTCTCCACGGCATTCGTTGGCATAACCAGGACTCTTTGGATATAGCAACCCCGTGTCTTGCCAGCAGCTTGTAATGACCGAAGACGGCACTGCATCCCAACAAGCGATACACCAAGTCAATGCTTGTTTCACACCAACACTGTCAAACTTGGCAGCAGTGCTAATATCAGCATCAGCATCCAAATGATCCAGTACATACTGAATCTGTCGTTGTCTGTAGCGTCGTTTAAAAGCAGTCAAAATTCCAGCAGTCAACGGATGTAAATGGTTCGATGGAAGAAACACGACCTCGATACTTTTCAACTCCTCCGCATTGAATCCAGCATGAACTGCTGCATTATCAAGAAGCAGAACAATCTTACGCTCTTGTTGATAAAACGTAGTATCCAAATCGGTCAACCATTTCCGAAATATCTCTCGTGTCATCATTGTATTCGAGTTGTAGACGATAATTCATTTCCACTGCCGTCGAAGCGGTAAAACAGCGTGGTTTCTCGGCTTTTCCAATCACCAAAAGTGGTAATTTTTCTGATCCGTCGGCATTGCAACTCAAGACAATCGTGACTCTTTTGCTTGATCGTGTTCCTGACCGATCGGGAAACATGGTATAAAATAGTCCCGTTTCATCCATAGTAAACACATTTCGAGCTTCCAAAGCCTGTACTCGAGCTTGTAACTCACTCAATGCCTCTTCACTTGATGTTTGATGCCCTTTATGAGCTTTAAATCCTCCAAATCCATGACGTTCATTAAATTTATAGAGCCATCCATTCGAATACGTCAAGGGCGTATCAATTTCTAAAACTTTCGCAAATGCTGCAGCTTTCAGACGAATGGATTCCCCCGTGACACGAATCCCTGTCTCTTCACAATAAGAAACCCATCGAGCTAATGCAGTGTCGAGACGAGGATAACGAACGGTACGACGAGACTTGCACGTTAACTCCTCATTAGTCATAATTTCCAGGTCGGGTTTCCTTTTCAGGAGTTTCGAAATCATAGCCTGGGATGGTTGACGTGGTAAATGAAATGTCTCAGAAGCCCATATTGCTAGTTGATGTTGGGTTATACTAGGGTTTTGCGCCCGATGATTACAGATTGCAAGACGTTGTGCGTTTGTAAACGTTGTTCGGGAATGAATTATCGTCTTGGGAGGGTCGGGAAGAGACGTCATTGCTACTGAGGGGTTTGCAAAATGATAAGGGAGAGAGAGAGAGAGAATTATCGGTGAAAAAAGGTACTTGAGGCTACATTCCTGTCACCTCAGTCTTTATAAGGAAGAATTGGTTGCAGGGTCTCTCTCCAATATGTTATAATTACGGTGGATAGGGGTACTTTTTAAAAACTTATCGACGAATTGTGGTATGATAAATTAGAAAATTTGACAAAAAAAGTCGGTGATATAACTTATTTGAAAAAAGTTTATTGGATTATTGTCCTCTAGCCCAATAAATTGCTACATTCAGTAAAGTACTTAATATACAAAAGTTACAATTTAATAGAACACCATTATTTTCAGAATAACTAAAAGCATTACATTTGATAGACTAAACCAATTGCACGCGGATTGGTCAAAAAGGTGGCGGCCCGCTCCGCCATTCAATCGTGCTACGCTATTCTTGGCAAGTCATTCACTTTTCAAAGTCGATTTCTCTCTGGATAATCTTAAGAAACTAAAATGGTAAGGCCTTGTCACTTCTAGACATTTATTTGCCACTTTATTGGATGCATCCGCTTTCCCCTTCTTTTCTCTTTCCAACCGTATTGGTCGCATATTGTAATGTTACTTGGTTGCAACGGGGTCTCGTGTTAAACAGAGCGACCGCTTGCATACAGAGATACAGTCAGGAAGATTGAAATGTTGGGATGAAGCGGAGCTTCTAGAGCGAGATTGCAATGAAATTCCTAGAGTTGAGACATGTGCAAAGGTGGCTGACGTTGTGGTGTGGCTGGAATGTAATGGGGGATATGTAGGGCAAGCGGACGAAAAAAGTGGGGATTTGTGGCAAGTACGGCACGCGTTACGGTTCTTCGCTCCGTAAAGTCGTCAAGAAAATTGAAGTGTCGCAGCACGCCAAGTACAACTGTGTGTTTTGTGGCAAGGACTCGATCAAGCGAACGGTAACGGGCATTTGGAACTGCCGTTCATGCCACAAGACTATTGCTGGCGGTGCCTACCTTTTAAACACGGCTTCGGCTGCTACGGTGCGCTCTACTCTGTCACGTCTTCGTAAGATCCGTGACGACGCCTCGGCTTAGATTCGAGACACTAGGAAGTGATTGAGATTGAGAGAATAGCACGAGAGAAAAAGACACTCGGTCAAATCTGGTGGAAGCTGCAGGAAAGTCAAACAGTGACGAAACAGCCGACGATGGTTGATTTAGTAATGAAGCAAATGCCGAGGCCTAGCACGCCACCATTTTCGACTGACTTTAGTGCTTGATGATGTTGTTTGCTTCATATGCTCCCCCTCTGTTGTAAGGCTTCGTAAGGTGTTTGCAGTTGCATACTGATCCTAGAAGTTATGAAACTTTGGTAAGTTAGCTATACCACACGATAAAGCAATGATGATGACAACTATAAAAAGTGAGGCCATACGCTTTCCTACGCAATAGAGAAACGACGCAGCAAGCAGGTATTGTATAGGGATGTTAGTTGCTATCTCTATGCAAATCCTTCATCTATCTTACCAAGTCGCCAACAGAAGGACCAGCTCAGACCTCTTGTCTCTATCAATTGCGCCTACAGTTGCGATTGGCAGCCACTTTAGAACAATCGACTCGTTTACGTGCATTTTCGTCTTGGGTTAGCAGCTAAACTGCTTTTTTGCCTCCTGTAGCCTCTTGTATCCGTCTTCAAGTCGTCTTCCTCAAAGCCCGTCCGCGAATCTATGTACTCACTTAGATGATGGTACGCAGGAAAATGGTCTCCTTAATCTTCTCGAGCTCGCGCGTTACCACCTTGGCGTGAAACTTCTCTACCTCCAGCGCGATGTAGCCGTGACGAGGATCCGACTGCAGATACTGCGACGTCACGTTGATGCCGTAGTCGGACAGCACCGAGTGAATCTTGCTCAGCACGCCAGGAACATTTTGATGCATGTGAAGAATACGCATCGAGTTGTTGCGGATGGGCAGCATATCGATCTCCGGTGTGTTGGTGGACGTCGTCGTTGAGCCTTCATTAATGTAACGTACCAGTTTCGAGGCTACTTCCACTGCAATGTTTCCCTGGGCCTCCTCCGTGCTGCCGCCAATATGAGGAGTAAGGATGACGTTCGGTAAGCCACGCAGAAGCGTGTCAAACGGCTCGCCGTTCTTAGCCGGTTCCTTGGGGAACACATCCACCGCCATTCCAGCAATCTTGCCACTCTCGACAGCCTCCTTAGCAGCCTCAATGTCAATGACCGTACCCCGAGCATTGTTGACCAATAGAGCCCCATCTTTCATTTGTGCAATCGTGTCACGATTAATCATGTTTTTGGTAGTAGGTGTAGCTGGCACATGAAGAGTCACGGCATCTGCCATTTTCAGCAATTCCTCTAGGGAATTCACTTGTTGTGCATTACCCAACGGCAAACACTTGATCGGATCATAAAAAACCACTTTCATCCCTAGTAATTCTGCCAGTACAGACACTTGGGATCCAATACGTCCATAGCCGACAATACCCAAGGTCGTTCCACGCACTTCATGAGCTCCCGTGGCTGATTTGGTCCAAATTCCTTGATGAAGTTCCGTCGATCGTTGAAAGAGTTTACGATGCAATGCAATAATTTCACTCAATGTTTTCTCGGCCACGGATCGCGTATTTGAAAAGGGGGCATTAAACACTGGAATGCCACTCGCTGCAGCTTCTACAAGTGCCACTTGATTCGTTCCAATACAAAAACATCCTACAGCCCATAAACGATGTTCATGCCATCCAACAGTACGAAAAAAATCGGCATCCAATTGGGTCTTGGAACGAATTCCTAAAATATGAGCATCGCCACCAATTCGAGCAAGTTCTTCACCGGATAAAGCGGGTTTATAGGTTTCGACATGGTACCCTTCTCGTTCAAAAACGTCCTTGGCTCGTGGATGAATATTTTCAAGTAATACGACTTTAATCTTTTTCAATGGATAAGTTACGGGTCGATTAATATATTGCATATGAGTCTCCAGTTGATTTTTTTTTAACTTGGGCTTCTTCTTGGGTGTAATAGTACTGGAAGTTACTATTTCGACTGCTTTTGTAGTAATAGTCGAGTAGCGACTGGGGGCTGTGGACTGTATGTGACGGGAATGTAGCATCGAACCGAACATTATTTTCAGCTTAAGCGCTAGCTGGCGAATAGAAATCTGTGTAGGTCTTCGGATAGAAAACGAAACAATTGATACTTCAAACGAAACAAATGGGTATAGGATATATTATGTGGCGAACATAATGTAGCCTAAAAAAACTGATGGTCCAGAGACGTCGAGTTAATGAGACGGGGAGATTATTCTACTGCGTCGTCTTTCTTGCATATTATGAGGATAATCTAATGATCTAGAGGCCTAAATGTATGTATATGCCAAACCCTTCGCCCCTCAATGGCTTTGTCACAGTTAAAGTGCATGTTGTCGATCTACTAGATGTAGAGACTCTGCAAATAGCAAAGCAAATGATGGCAAATGACAAATAACAATCACGTACACTTCTATTCGTATCTACAATAAAGTCGAGAATGATCTTATGAATTCATACGCTTCTCCATGTTCTACTTGAGTAGCTTCTTAGTGCAAAGCAAAGCTTCGAATAACGGTCTTGCGGTATTGGCGCGTGCGGCTCATTTCCTCACCATTTGCCACGGCGTCCACGATCGACAGCTCACCGCGTAGATCGGTCTCCATCTTTGCCTTGAGTTCCTTGCCTTCAAAGCCCTTGCCCATGAGATAGCCCAATTTGGCCACACAAGCCTCAATCGTCATATCGAGCGACGTGATAACGCCCATGTTCAGCAAAGTCACTCCCGTCGCGTATGTGTCAAGCTGAGTACGACCCTGTACACACTGCGACGTGATAGTCACTGGAATGTCGGATTCAATCGCGAGCTTTACAAGACGTAAGAAACCGTCCTTGCATAGTGGAGCGTTGCCCGTGCCGTAAAGAGCAAAGACAAGTGCCTTCCGCTTGTATTCTCCCTTGCTTTTGGTCGCATTGTGACGTTCAATGAATGCCTCAATGCACTCGTCATCAAAGCCAGGCACGAGATGGAACACGCAAATGTTGGTTGAAAGGTCTGTAAACACACGGAATCGTGACCGAGGATACGGTAGTATCAATGGTTGGTCCACAATCGCCTCCACACCAGTCACCGCAAGTGATGGAAAATTAGGCGACCGGAAGGCATCTACCGACATGTTGGCGACTTTTGTGGTGCGATTACCACGCAGCAGTTTGTTGTTCGAGTAGATACAGACCTCAGGTATAGCGAGCGACGCTGCACACATAACCGACATGATGAGATTGCGACGTGCATCACTGTGAGGAAAGTGCAGTGGGATCATTGCTCCCGAAATGACGACGGGTTTACCAAGGTATTCAAGCATAAAGGACAATGCCGAAGCTGTATAAGCCATTGTATCTGTGCCCTGGAGCACCACGAAGCCGTCGTAATCCCAGTAGTTGGCCTCAATCTCGTAGGCAATTTTACCCCAGTCATTGGGACACATATCGGACGAGTCGATGGGATCTGCCCACTCGCTCACCGTCACGCGGGGCATGTTCTCAAACTTGAACTCGTCCATCTCATTGATCTTCTTTTCTAGAAAGCCACTGCTTGGATGCAATACTCCAGTCTCATCCGGTACCATGCCAAAGGTGCCACCCGTGTAGATAACAAGGCAGTGTGATGGTTCCGTGCTTACGCCATTGACACCAATAGTTGCCGAAGTTGGTGCATGAACGGACAAAGGAACGGCACACAAGTGTTGTTCACCTAAGGTCACGGTCACTTGATCGACACCGTTCTCAGCGTCATCAAAAGACTCGCTAAAGCTGTTACTGCCATGGCGAGTCGTCTTAAGTTTGTTCTTGACCATCGGATGTGTTTGCGACGAATGTTCAAATGATTGGGAGAGTCAAGCACATCGATTGACTGTTCCAGCTCCACGCACGGGATCCGATATGATTTGACGGCACGATCACAAACAATGGGCTACCTGTCAACTTCAAGCAGGCTCTTTGCCGACATGAATGGGTGGTGGTTACCAGACAAGATGAAGGTGTTGGTTGCCAGCGCCAGCAATCTATGACAGTCATGATAAACTGATGATACTAACACAACATGGAGATCTAAATGGACACTCCCGTCTCGCTAATGTACCGGGAAGTCTTCGAAGCTTGCTGCAGCAACGATTCAATCGTCGAGTGCATGTCTGCGGCCGAATAGAGGTGTGATGAGAAGCGCGAGCTCTGGCTACAAGTGCTAGTAGCACTTTGGCTGGACGTAGTACTTTCATTGTCGCTATCGTACTTCCACGTCGATGACCCGGGACCAGCAATGCCACCCAGACCAATGCCACCCAGACCAATGCCACGAACCTTGGCGTATGAAAGACTCGTGAGTCGATCCATAGTCGCGGCTTGAAAACACGAAGGCGAAGCTACCACGGAGTCGCTATCGATATCGTACAGTTCGGTGATCGAATCGGCTCGTCGAGTGCTGTTTCTAGAATCACATGACGATCCGAACGAGTGAGTAGCGCGATGACGAGGTTTATGGAGCGCGTACGACTCCAAGGCCACAACTTCTAGACGAGCACTAATCTTGCGGAGCAAATCACCAACATTGGACACCAAGTCGTGAGAAACGTGGCTGCTTGCAGGCACTTGGTCTCTTTTCAACAAGTCTAACGTGGCGACACAATAGGCATCACCCTGAGCCATCGAACCACTAGTATCAGCACCGGACGAGTAAATGGGGAAGCTTAGCAACGATACGGCACGCTGTTCTGTGTGGAGCGGGTGGGCTCGGAAGCGTGGATCATGCTCCATTTCGGCCACAAAGAATGGTGACCGGTGATGCACCACATAAGAGCTCACACTTTCTTCCCGAGAAACAACGTCGTCGACCATAACTGGAGAAGCCTCCAGCTTCAACATGTCATAATCAAGATCGAGTTCGGGCTTGTTGAAAGCCGTCACGAGGCAGTAGACTTCAAAGCTACCAACGATATTGATGCTGCAGGTATCCCACTGAGAGGCTACTTCAAGCACACGGCTTGCCAAATCTTCCAGCGCTTTGTCATGGCGTAGCAACACAAGCAAGCGAGCATCCATTTTCAAGCCAGTCACCTCAACATATCTTGCGCGGGCCAACTCATCAGCAGTCCGATCAACGGGAGCCTTGGGAAAAATGTTAAACCAGCTGAAATCCAGTTCATAGTCCGGTTCAGGTGTCTTAAGCTTGACATATTGATATTCGGAAGTCCGGCATAAGCTTGCATGAGGTCCGGCAACCTTTTGCTGCTGTTCCTCTTCGTAACCAGCTTTCTCCTCCGACGTAGGATACAAGTAATGTGTCGGGGAAGAAGACGAGTGAGACGTAAAGTCTAGCGCTTTGTAGGTCACGGGCGTCTTCCGAAGGTCGTCTAGCAGTACAGTCTTCGCGCGTCGAGAGCGCATTGACTCGGCCTCTGCGAACTCAACGGCACCAAGATCCGTGTGGCTGGGCATTGTTGCGCGTCGGTTGCCAATAGATGCACCAAACAAACTACTCGTGCCACTGACATTAGAAGTTGTGCTACCAACCGATCCTTGCGAAAGTTGTGACTGCCGTGACCGAGCACGTCGTCGATCAGGAGCTTTTGAAGAGGTTGAAACAAGTGAAGGGTCTAGCCCGAAATCAATCTGAACACGGCTAAAGGCCTCCGATAAAGTTCCAGTTTCAACAGGAGCTGTCGATCGACGCGACTTGTGCTTCGTGATCAGTAAATCTATACTTGGGAACTGCAAGACATTCATCGTTGAGTTCTTAGACGATACGTGAGCCTTAACCGATATGGCCGAGCCACCCGCGCTCTTTTCATCATCTTGTGCTGCGTCCGCTGCTGCTTTGTGCATCGCAGCGACATTGCTCGTCTCGCTGTAGACACACTGCGAACACAAACGTTTCTTGCGTCGCGAAAGGGACCGTGCTTCTGCCAGAACAGACATGCACTGGTTGCATACGATCTTCTCGCATGTCTCACACTGCCGTTTCCATCGGAATGGCCTAAACTTTCGATGGCAGATACCGCATGTCCGTCCACCAGCAAACATGCTTCCACGCAGCAGGTTTGGATCACAGTTTTTCGGGTCAAACTGCGGCTCTCGCGGTTGGTTCGGAGACATTGTCGGTCCAAATTTTTCCTGTCGATACGCATCAATGAATGGCTGCAATCGAGTTAAGCACAGTGCGTCGTGTCGCAGTCGTTGCTTCTGTTGACGTACAATTTCCATTAAATCTTCATCTCCCATTGCAATCCCTTGTTTCGGGTCCAGTGAGCACGTCAGCACGACTTCGAGCGTCACTGTTTGCTCTATCTCTTTCTGTTGGTTTCCATCCTCTTGACTTGATGGCATTTCCTGGATAATGTACGTAATGCCAAAATCATTGGGCGACAGCCTCTCTGTGCTAAAGTCGTGTCTTCTCTCTGCAAATGCTGATACAGCCACAGGTCGAAACAAATGCAGCAACGACGGCACCGGTGCCGCTACACTCAAACTCTTTCTTTTACTCGTATCCGAACGCTGCAACTTGGTCGATAACGTGTACCCCAAGAGCACGTAATTATCCATCGATTCCAAGAGCACAGTATTCTTCGTTTTCTGCTCCTGTGTCATGACTGTATATGGCTTTAATCGAGCATATTGGAGCTCTACATTCTCTCGTTCACTTGTCGAATGCTTTAGCACCGGATACCGGATAATACGACCACCAGATACGTACGTAGCTGGTAGTAATCTTGCCAAAACTGACGATATCTTCTCCGTCCCGAAGAAAGCTGTTTGTCCAGTTAATACTGCTTCAACTTCTGCCAATGATGCCTGCAATGGCTTAACAGCTCGTAAACTGTAAGAATGACTGCTTTGATTACTGGAACCATGTCTTACATTCTCGTACAGCTTGGCCGCTTCGTCTGATAAGGTACCAATGCGTTTCCAGCGCATGGGTTGAAAAATCTCCTTGGCTCGCATACGACCACATTGTCGAGCTTGTTGTTCATTGTCTACAACGGTTAAGACCATTATAAGTGATTGATATGTACGTAAGAATAAACAAGTATCAAATAAAAGAGAGAGAGAGAGAGAGAGAGAGAGAGAGAGAGAGAGAGAGAGAGAGAGAGAAAGAGAGAGAAAGAGAACAAGTGCAGCGTAGCAAGTGGTAGGGAGAGGATGGTACACGATGGTTGGGTACTGAATTACGATAATGGGACAGTCCTGTCTGGTATGATAATAGGACGGTTTTAGGGTACGGTTTGAATGGTAGATACCAAAGGAGATTCTATATTCGAGTAAATTGTATGTTTTTATTGTTTCTATTGCTAGTATTATCAGGATAAAGAGGGCAAAAAATGTGATAATTGAACTGCTAACACGCTGAATTTACTGCAGAAATTCTGATAGGACCAGCTACTTTACATGGGTTCAGCCTTCGTTTTTATACCCTCTAGGCACAAGTTGACGATTCCTTGCACGTCAGAATCACTAGCTTCTTTAGTATAAAAACCATAAGTAAACAGCTATTGATCCTATTCATCCCATCCCACTATTAGACATATGTCATGACAATCACGTTACGATAAAGACGACAGGAGTGTGACGTATGACTCTGGCTGGAGCTGTTTCCACGGAAGCTTGATGCAAAAAACTGACTGACTGAGCTGTACAATGGGTTGTCTATGCAAAATAATAAAAGACTCTTTTTTATTCGACATTGAAAGGTCCGATAGAATCGGATAACGATGCTTTCGTGCGTTAGTAGATAAGTCAATAAGTTGAGCAATGCCTGCTCTACTGGTAGGAACATGTAGTCGAAAGGTATACAAATTCTAAATGAACTGGTTTGAAGCAGCAGCAAAACAGTTAGCGAAAAGAGAAAGTTACAAAAAGAGTACCTTTATAATTTAATACCCGGTTTGTATTTATAAACCTGTCGACTTGATTTAAACACAAACAAATATTATTTAGAAGATTTCGTGTCAAGTGTATTATTTTTTACTGCTACGGGTGATTCGACGTGGTTTTAAATATTGACGATGGAACACAAAAACGATAAAGAAAATCGAGAACAAAGTGAAGAAAAAGAAAAAGAAGAAGAAGAAGAAAAAAAAGAGAAGAAAAAGAAAAAGAAGAAGAAGAAAAAGAAGAGGAAGAAGAAGAGATCAATGAGAAGAAGATGCAGGAAAAAGAGGACAATAACAAGGTGGAGATGGTAGAAAATGAAGAAGAGTTGAGCTACAACCAACGATCAAGAGCCAATACAAACGCTCTGATGACAGCCAAAGGATACGTGACACTGGCGACATTGAAAGAAGAGCTTCAGTGTATTATTTGCCAGTACACTATGTATAAGGTTATGAACTATATCCGACTATTCTATGATGATGGATTACTGATGTAAGGTGTTCTTGGTTATTATTGTTGTTGTTATGGTGCTTGTGGCTACATTTAGCCAATCTCAGTAGTATGTGGACACTCCTTTTGGTACGTTTGTTTTTTTCTGTATTGCAATATTTGTAATCGGGTGAGGTTTTTGATGGAAATGCTTATTCTTGTCAATGCTTTCATGTCAAATTTACAGCCGTGTGTGTCTTCTGGATTCGTTATTGACACGACCAATTGAGGAAGCGAAATGCTCGATCTGCCGTGTTGATCTTTTGCAGCCATTCGTTGCAAACTCGTCCTTAACGTCGATGTTTTCGATCAATGTCACGCTGTGGAATCTTGGCCAAGTGTGACGTTTTGTTTAAATTTAATGGAGGCATGCTGGTGTTAGTTACTGACGATGTTTGTACCTCGTGTTTTTTTTGGATTCAGCTGCTTATCTCGTCGGTCGCTGAGAGGATTCAGTCTTATCACCAAGAGGAAGAGCAGAAGTTCTCGTCCAAGCTCGACCAACTGGATGCTAAATGGAAAGTCTTTACTCTTAGTGAACGAGCTGCGAAGTATCACGGAGACGAGGAACAGGAACATACGAGATCATCAGGCCGATGGGAAGAAGATCATATAGGGAACGAAGAATACCCCGTGCTGAAAGTCGAAGATAACCGCGATGGTAATTTACACATTACTCGGAACATAGTTCTGGACACCAGTGATGAAAACGAGGATGGGTATGCTAACATGCGTGTCGGAATCGCTATTGTGGAGTTCCCCAACATTTTTGAACTGTACAACGAACACCAGGAATGCTCAGTGAATGTTATCAAATTGGAGGAAGACGAGGAGATGGCATATGGGTTGCCATTTTTTATGAACGGGGATGGAGACGACGATGATTTTGTTTGTAGTTCGTACTACAACGAAATCAGTCTTCATGTATGCGACGAAGCGGTTCGTGGGTCTTCATTGTTGCATTTGTGCTGATAGTGGGAAGAATGATACTCACTATTCGTCATGTTCGGCATCATATTTTGTAGGGCAACTGCGTGATGGAACGAACTCGCGGTGCACAAGGTGGTGTGGTAACTTTTCCAGGCTTGCGCCTCGACGTGCCTGGTGGTACGAAGGCATTTTCTGTTTTGCACAAAAGGTTGATGCGCTTACTACCGTTGTTTGTGTGTTGCGCCTCATATAGGTATGTACACATTCCGCTTTTCTGACGACCTCTACGGACTGAAGCTTAGCATTACGACTCGTTTGCGTGAGCCGCACGAGATCTCGGACACCCCCCTTGCCGACTTTTTCAGTTTCATCCACGATGACATAAGGGATGTTTGTCGTTGGAATCGTGTCACACATCATGATAGCGATAGTGAAAGTGAATCTGACGAAGAAGGAAGCGAGTCGGACGACTCGTTCATCGTAGATGATTGTATTGGTGAAGAACACAACGAGCAGCCCGTCGGTCGCTTCTCTGATGATGACGGTGACGATCACGTGGAGTACCATAGTGACGATGAAGCGACAGATGAGAAGACGGAGCAGCTGCGAACAAGACGGCGGCAGCGTTCGAGCCGACAATCCGAACGTGACGTTCCAATCGTCAAAGAGCATCACGATGATGATTCATTGTCTAGTGAGGAAGGTGAGCGTTCTGATGAACAAGAAAATATGGACGAACGAGAGGAGGATGAGGAGTCTGATGACGAAGTGCGACCAGGACGCCGCAATGTTCGAGTTGTTGAGGGTCTGTTTTCTTCGGATGGAGAGACTGACCCAAAGGAACATGACAGTGTAAATGGTCTGTTTTCTTCGGATGGAGAGACTGACCAAAAGGAACATGACATTGTGGATGGAGAGGCTGGTCATGACAGTGTGGATGCTGCTAAAGAAACTAAAACTGAAGAAGAACAACATGACGTTGTCCGTCTGCGTCAGCGAAATGCGAATCAAATCGTTGACAGCGACGACGAAGATGAAGGCAAGGGTGAACCGGTAGAGAGTGACGAAGCAGAGAAAGCGGACGATGACAGTGGTGGTGTGCAGAACGATCATGATGAGGAGCGTACAGAGCACAGTACTGATGGTGCAAGCCACAGCGTTGCTGTGGAGGATCAATGCAGTGAAGAGAACGTCACTGTAGCATCGAATGCTACGCGAAAAGTAAACCGTGCTCAGAGGTTTCAAGATGGAGAGTCTGACAAAGAAGTCAAAGCAGATGCAGAGGATGGAATTTTTGAAAGGAGACCGCGAAAACGATCTCGAAAGGCTCAAAGCATTGACGAGGTCGAAAGTGACAAGGAGCAAATGGAACGCTCGATCATGTCGTTGAATCATGAGCAGGCAAATGATGAGGAAGACATTGATGAAATTGAAGTGCATTGAGGATGCAGAGGAAGAAAAAGAGGATGTATTGGATGATTCAGACGAAGAGGAGAATGAAGAAAAAGAGGACGAGAAGTATTGGTAAAGTATTCTGATAATCTGATTTAGTTTCAACATAATCAATCACGTTACAAAAGCTGAAGTAGCTGCAACGCTAGTTCTCCAAAATTCGAGCAACTTTAAGCTGCCCCGCCTCGTATCGTTACTTCAAAGAAAATCCGTTTCTGATTCTGACGTGGAATCAGTGGCACATTGTGTCCCAATCTCTCCGACTGGCTGGACGTCCATCGTCCATCGAACTCTTCAAGTCGTAGAAGAATTTCTATTGCTATGGCAATGATGGAAGATGCTTCATTTGCTCAGGGCATGTTTGTGACGTTATGGCCAAAGGTCGAACGATGCCACAATTACGTGGAACTTCTCGTAACTGCCCAGGAAAAGCTCCAAAAAACAATAGACCAACTCATTACCGGTAATTACTTTTTTTATCTTTGTAAAAACGACGAAATGATACAATTCGTGTGATAAAACTTATATAATCCAATACTGTTTGATTTTGTCAGGTCTTGAAGAAGCAGAAAAAGCTGAAGGCTGTTCCCTTGTGAGTTACGCTGATCGACTTCGTAATTTTCCTGCAAGAGTTGAAAGACTTCAGAAGAAACTGGAGAGGATCGAAGATCGTCTTTTGGCGATGAAGGAGTCACGGAATTATAAAATGCCAAGCATGGTCGAGTGCTCGACGGAGAAAAAGTCGGTTGTTTTTACTGACCCGTTGTTTTAAAAGAACTCACGTTTGTCTCTCTCTTGCTTGAGCTTCTTTGGCTTTCTTCTGTAACGTTAGCGTCTTGTTTGTAGTCCATGAACTGCAATTGTGACAAGTTGAAACGGTAAACGTACGGTCAACCATAGACGATAAAAAAGGAGCTCTTCATGACAAACCTGCTGTCTTCCGTTGAGATATTAGGCCGACGAAGTTGTGGTGGTGCAAATGGTGCAATTTTGAGCTTGGAAACAGCTTTCCCAGTCTTGATTTTCACTGCTTTAATAGCTGGTCTTGACATTTGATCATTCTTTCGCTTGTTCGTCGATGCTAAAGCTGATGAGATTTTCGTGGTTAAGACACTGCTTGTATTATTAGTCGAAAACACTTCATCAGCTGATGGTAACAATTGCTGATTAAAAGTTGTAGCTACTGGAGGACGCGTATTCATGCTTGAACTTGTACGACGCGAAGTTTCATCGTCTGATGAGGAAGACGCATACTCGTCGCCAAGTAAAAACGACGCCATTATCGCTTAAATGCCTGTAGCTTTATGGTAAACAAACGATAAAAACGTTGTTTCCGAAAACTCATTGTTGCGTTTAAACAAAAAAAATAAAATCTCAATATAACAGGACGTGTAGACTAACAAAAATACAAACCTGCATAAATGAAAATCCTCTTTCTTTTTATTTTCTTTATTCAACACCGTATTTGGCCTTTAGGTCTTGTAGTTCCTGTTTCTGCTTGTCAAAGTCTACGGCCGTACTCTTGCGTTGCTGCATCTTGTTCGCCTGATAGTAGAGAACAATCAGATAGCGACCACAGACATTGAAACCCGATAGATGGTCCACTGCATTCTTAGCGTCGTAAATGTCCTCATAGACCACAAATGCCGTCCCCCGCGTATCGTTGTTAACGCCCAAACGAATCTGCCGGATTGCCCCGTACTTGCCGAATATGTCGTAAAGTTCCTCGGATGAGATCTTGAATGGAAGATTACGCACGTATAAGACGCGATTTACTTCAGGAGGAAGACGGGCATTGGCTCGACGACCTTGGACGGACATGACTTGTGCGCTGCGTTTTAAATAGCCTTTTTGAATTTATTAAAAGTGTGGGCCATAACAATATGCTAAAGCTAGATAAGATATTAGAGGATTTCTAAAGCTGCAAAATAACGTTTCCACATTGTTTTTTTCAAAAGTTCATACGTTTTTATTGCTACTGTAGTGCGACTTAGCACAATAAAATATTTGAGTCAAAAAAAGCAAAACTATTGCAAAATTCCACGTCTTGGTCGACAATAATCGGACCAAAGCTGATAATCTACTGACCTCGCCTTTTACTATGAGCAACATCTTCTTCACCGTGCAGTTTTGTTACACTATCTTTGGCAATCCTCATCAATTATAAAACACAGGCTCAATCATCTGCGACCATTGATTTTTCATCTAATCACCCAATGCTCCCAAGACCAAAACTCTCAATATCTTGCCCACACTTTCATGTTTTGCATCTGTGTTTCCATAAATCACATGCAATGTCGATCTCCTTTCTTCTTTGCACGAATGTCGAGTAAATCTTCACGACTTCGTTCGACATTTGCATCCTAACAATTCAACAAAAGCACAATTTTTGTTAAATCAACCACAAAAAGATTTTCCTCTCTCTCAAAAAAAATCACCTTCTCCTTACCTCCTTAACAATAGCATATCCTCCATATGCTCCACTTTTTTTAACTCGGTAAGTATATTGTCCGCCTTTTTCCGTCCCCCCTGCATACGTTCCAAACGCAATTTGCTCGTCCATTTTCCGTTTCTTTTTCTTTTCATTTTGTTCTTCTTCTTGCTGTTTTTGATCATCTTTTGGGGCTTTAATATAGTAAAAAGGAGTGGATGACACTAAATCAGAGCTAAAAGCTGAACTAATGCTGGCCGAGACGTCACTTAACACCATTCGAATGATACGTGTCTCCTCTACTAATGACATGGGATGCTGAATCACAATTGCGTCTCCTACTTGAAGTTCCTGAAGGAATTTAGCGCCCATTTGACCCATTAACGTCGTACCAGAGCTCAAAAGACGACCAGAACCACGATGTTTAACCAGTTCAAACACACTGGAGACGACAGAAGCGGATAATTCATGCTCACGTTTCTTACTGTCATGGATTTTGGTCTTTTTCGTCGCCTTTTTCCGAGACTTTAGAGAGAAACCACCTTTAAGCGTTAATTTACCACTAACGGTCTTATTGTACGATGACATTTTAAACGAGTGAGAAAACGTAATAATGAAGGGATATTATTTACAAACAACATAGCTAAAATCACGATTTTTTATAGGATAAAATGATACTATAGTAATATATTAACTAAAAATATTACACGGAGCAGTAGTAGTAGTAGTAATACTGCTACTATTCATACAGATATAATTAAGCGTTTTAGGGTACCGTATTTAGATAAAGTCGTCTAATTTACATCCCCTTATTCTATTCGTTTAGCACAAAACTTATATATATACCTGATTCTCTCGTACAGGAGACTCGCTCTATTCCGTCACGATGGCGCTGCCTGCCATCGGAGAAGACGCCAAGATGCAGAGTAAATTATGCAACGTCATACTCTCGCCCATGTCCAATAACGGGTCACGACATTGCTCTCCGTCGCTGTCTCCACACTCGACTTCTGTGGTCGTAAATGCTCTTAAAAAACCCATAAAACCCAAACTGTTGTGTACCCCTAAAACCTTGAACCCATTAAACCCATGGGGATATGTAATAAAACCCCAGGAACAAGACACTATGAATCTGATACCAATCCGTCGACGATTTTACAGTTCGGACATTATTTTACGGAACAATAGTGGAATCAAGACTAAATTCCATCATGATTTGGAATACGGACACGGGATGGGAATGAAAAACCCAATTGGGTTAAATGATTTGTACAAGAAGAATATGGGAGAAGCAGAATTTGAACCAGAACCACTTTTTGATTCGAACCATTGTTCATTTAGACGAAGAACGTGTTCGGAAAATTTCACCAAAAGTTCACGAGTTCCATCGTCATTTTTTCAACGAATTAATTCATTTTATAATGTGGATTTGGAGAAATTTAATCATCGAGAAGAATGGAAAGAGAATCAGATTGGAAACGAGAATGAAGAGAAGAGTGTGGAGGAAGATGCGGGGGATTTGGTGATGGTGAACATTCAGGAAGAAATACTTGAGGAGGAAGAAATGTCCGTGTTTACTGGATTTTTAGATGGTTCGTGGTCGTCGCAGTCTTCAAGGATACAGTACAATGAAATGGAAGGTGAATCAGCATCTGGATCGAACCATTCAGTTGAAAGTGATGGAAAGAATCTGGAGAAACTACGGAATTTGCAAAAACTGTATCAGGAAGGATTTATTACGGTGACAGAGTACAAGGACCGTCGTGTACAGCTGGTGGACGAATTGAGTGAAGCTGATCAAAGTATGCTGCATAAGTTTACTTGTTACTTTGTGTCGTTTTTTGGAACACTGCAACTAAGTTATTTGACTGTTGATGTGTGTGGCCTTTGCAGCAATAGCTAAGACGTCGGATTTGCTTTCGTTGGAGCTGCCCATAGTCTACCGAGAACCACCTGACTTTTTGCTCTTGCGCGAACGTAGTGCCATTAAACACGTATTTGACTCGGAGCATCGCACGGTAAGAGGCGCTAGAGTTACTATCTTGTATATACTGTCGCTAACACTGTTGTTATTTTGCAGTGGACTTCGTCGCGAATTAAAGTAAAGATCGATGCGGAACCGTTTGCTAATGGTGGGCTTCGTCAAGTGTTCCACCTCCAGGATCTCAGTATGCCACCTCCTGCTCTGAGGGTGGACGATGTGTCCGAGGATAGTGTGATGTCAAAGTGCACTAGCTACGTGGCAAAAATCGCCATCGACCCGAATGAAAATCCAGACACGTACTTCAAGGACGTAGAGATGCAGGCTGTGGCCGCCAAGTACGCCAAGTTGTACAACTCATACAACCCACCGCGCCGAGTTGAGTTTTTAGAGGCATGTATACTTCAGCTGATTCCCACCGGTGCTAGTGAAGCTGGCGACCAGACCATTGAGAATCTAACGCTTAGTGGCACAATTTGCGGTGTGGAACCCTTCATTGCTGGCGAGTACCACAAACACAACAATAATTATGGCTACGTGAGCGAACTGGAACGCAACACACCACAGGCGTTTTCACACTTCACGTATGAGGCGTCTGGACAACAGATTATTGTGGTCGATATCCAGGGAGTTGGTGATCACTATACAGACCCCCAAATCCACTCAAGACGTGGCAAGGAATTTGGAAAAGGCAATTTGGCTCTGCGAGGTTTCGAGCGATTTTTGGGCTCGCACCGGTGCAACCCAATTTGTCGATATCTGAAACTTCCTTTGATTAACCCAAAGGACGAGGAGGACAGACAGGTAGACCTGAAAGGTACAATACCAGCGCAGATGTACATGAGCCAGCCGCGCGTTACAATAGACCAAGTTGACTCCGTCTTGTGCCATTACTATGGTGATTTGAAGGCTTTCAAGCGATATGCTGCGAAGAAGAAACGTGAGAAAAAGAAGCGTGGAAAGCATCATTCAAAGAGTCACAGTAAACGAGGTCATGACGAGAAGTGGCAAGCGCAAGAGTTTGGTATAGAAGCGATAGGTGATTGTGATGACAGCGGAAGTATTGAGCATGCGGTTGGGGCACAACAGGCTGGCAACAAGTTTGCGGCTGCTCTAGTTGACCACCACCGATCATGTTCTTCGTTCGTATGCGACGGCGTCTCGCTGTGTATCGTGTCGTAAAAGAAGCAGCAAATACTTATGCTTCATGTTGCAATCAGAAGATGTTGTCGAGTTACATGGTTGTGTCTGTGTTCTCCCTAACATGATGAGGTAATTGCACTGTTTGGCATAGATGCAATGCGATCGTCTACGGCTTTGATCTTGGATTGAAGACGACGAATACGCTCTGCGATAGGGTATTTTGCAAGCTGTTGACGCAAATGTGAAGAAAAAGAGAGATGGCTCGTTCTCTCCGTCAGTCCGACCTGTTCCTGAGCGTCTTCATCTTCGAGAATTGCTACGTATGGTGGTCGACCGATCCTGCGTCCGTATGCTGCTGCATTCTCAGTCGTGTCAAAGATCATGAGTTCTTTAAGTATGGACTTCACGACAGTGTCTTTGAGTGCCTCATATCCCTCGACCATTGTGACATGATCGAAGGCATAGCCCATGAATCCAGGTGTATCTACAATTAATGAAGTGAACACTGGCCAGAGCGGATTGTCCACGGGCACGAAAGTAATTGGTCCGATATAGCTGGATTGCTTTCGAAAGTTCATCACATGGTCGGGTGTGGCAGCAAGCACCATACTGAGTGCACTTTGTCGTTTCCAAGCGACAAAACGAGCGATTCTTGGGTCGTGAAACTCAATGATGTCACAGAACATGGCCACGAATCCATGTTGCTCTGTCGAGCTACAAAACTGCTCTAATGCGCTGTGCGTGGGGTGTACGGCATGCGTATGTGCGAGCTCTTGGTCTAGTTCGTGTCGGAGAGAAAAGAGATACGACTTGAAAGCCGACGACGAGGTTATCACGGTGTGGAAAACTTGTCTCTCTTCGATTAACGATCGGTAAAGAAGCTCGTGATAGTGCTGGATGAAGGTGTGATACGCATTAGTGACACCTTGGACGCGTGATAGCGATTCACCGTCCAAAAAAGACATGATGAGAAGTACGACTCCGTTGATTGAGAAAACTTGGAGATGCCTATTGGAACTCGTATCAATTGAAACTTTGCTCGGCTTTGAAGTCACCTCAAACTTGTTTTGTCGGCATTGAACGAACATGGAGCGAAAACTGCAAAATGATGAGACTACAACTTGATCAAAGGGTGTCGTCTTGACTTGAGACGGTGTGGCATACAAATTTAAATGGTCGGTCAGAGATTGCTGAAGTCGAAAAGCACCAGTTTGTACAAAGTGAAAGAGATTTGATGGAGTAGCACGAACCATTGTTGATATCGGGTGAAAGACTGGAAATGGCCTAAGGTTTTTTTTAAACATGATGTAGCCAAGTTGGCACATGTCTGGCATGATGTGATTGGTTGGTTTCTCACAAGGTAGGATTGAGCTGGCACCTTTTGATTGGGTGGATTGAAACGACACGGTGAGTGATGATCAACTTCAACCTACGCACACATTCTTCAGGTGTTTGGCCAAAATCTCGGCGCAATGTATATACATGATTTGTGTCAACGACTGCTTTACAGTTTTGTTTGACGTTAGGCCACGATGACTTTTCCTAATAGAGGTACAGGTGGTGCTCAGGCTAGGAAAGGTTTTGCGTTTCGCACATGTTCTTAATTGCAGCAAATGCGGGACGCGAAATTGACAGGTAATTGATTCAACAGACGATACACCGACAGCTGGAGGCAGTCGAGCTCCTGAAGCTCAAGCACAGGAAAACTGAGCAAACATCATCACCACGCTCGCGAGTGGCGTGACATGCGGTCGAGCTAGTTAAAATGACGAGACATTTGTAGTCGTTCCCGCAAATTCTCAAGCTGTTCGCTAGTTGTCGTCGACGTCGACGTACGAGGCACACTACCTGCTGTACTGCGACTGGCAGCGAAATCATGAAAGGACGTAAAGCTACGTCCACGGGTTACTGTTGGTGCATTTGCAGCCAGTGATGGCGCCGCTGAAGTCGCTCTTGAAGTTCGGGTGTCTCGTGGCGGGAACAAACGTCGGGGAATAGTTTCTTCTGTTGCTGCCGGACCACCATTGGCTGCACTGCCGCCATCAAAATGGTTCATAATACGAGGTGCAACTGACGTGGAACGAGTGCCGTTTTCTCCGAAATGCAGCCCTGGTTCGGCAGCACTTTGTTGATGCGATTGGCCATATCCCATCTCATCGAGAATCTGATGCACCAGTGACGTAGAAGGTATGTCCTTCATGGATGCCTCAAAAGCACTCGGTCGTGTCTTTGTAAGGCTGTCAGCCATAATTTTCAATGCTGACTGCATGTTGTCGTTGGCAATATCCACCATCATGACTTCAGCCCTTGGTAGGGTCGAAAAGAACCCGTGCATCTGCATGAGCACGCCAAAGATGTCAATACCTTCAAATGGTGCCAGCGAGTTTGCTTGGACGTTCGTCAGCTTCAGCAGAATGCGTCCAACCAGCTGATCGAGAGAATCTTCCTTCAACAAATGCTTTAGCGTATCGTTCTTATTGTACTCACCAACATCATTGTGCATAAGGCGCTGCAACAGATTGATCACCGAGGGGTACACATCGCCAGCTTTTGCCCTTTCTGTCAACTTGCGCATAGCCTTGTATAGTGCTTTGTACACCATGAGGTAGCGATTTTCTTCCGGTGTCACAGTTAGCTCTGATGCTGGCAGACTAGCCTTCTGAGAGAACTTTTCCAGACGCGGGTCCATTATCTTCGAGCACAACTCCAGCAAAACGCGTTCCACAGTGTAGCGCTGCATACTTGTGACTGCCTCACTGTTCAAGACCACCGTCAGCGTCGTGATGCTTATTGCAAGAATGTACATCTCAGGCCTCTTCTCCGCATTACCTGCGTAAAACGCTCCATGTATACAATCACAAAGAGCCAGAACGATCTCGTTCACGTACGAGTGCAGAAACTCAACTTCTGACGGGTCTGAAGGACGGTTAATGATTGCATACAAACCTTTTAGAGCGTTTCCGCCTTCCTTGTACGCTGGAGTGCCAGCAGGGACGATTTCCTTTGAGGAGTTTATTAACATTTCAATCGGGCGTAACAGCAACTCTTCGATCGCCACACTGGGTGGGGTTTCTTCGACCACCTCCTCATTTGGTGGGCTCATGTCGATATCGTCGTCAACGTCGTCAACATCATGATCATCATCATATAACTGCTTCGCTACAGGTAAAGGAACGGGCGTCGCAAGTGACTCTACTGAACGCGCAGCAAAATTATTTGTCGGTGCTCCAGTCGCGGCAGCAGAAGCTCGTCCAAAACCAAACCCGAATCCTGTCCTTTGAGAGCGATGTTGCTGTGACATCTCGTTCTCTGATGTCATTTTCTGTTCAGCTGCTGCAACAGCGCTAGTCGGAGAACTGATAGCGGGCAAATGTTTTAAACGCGCACTTAATAAATCGATGCCTTGTTGCGTCGTGATACCAGCAAATCGGAAAAACTTGTCTGCGTTTCCTCTCTCGGTCTTCATATAAACAGACACAAGCGCGTTGATTGCACTCTCACGGAGCTCCTTCTCGTGGGCTACGACGTACTTGCCCACATCTTTAATGCATTTACGTCCAACTACTTGGTATCCATGCACGCTCACAATGAATTCCACCAGATCAATGCACTCACAGCGACTCTTCATGTTCTTCGAACCGTTAAAGCATTCCATTAGAAAAGGCACATACTTTTCAGGGTTATAAACGTCAACAACTAGCTTCATCACATCACGGAAGCGGACGCGAAAGCGTGGCTTTGACTGGCCACTCTCTTGGAGCAAGTACGGAAGCAGAATTGCGGCCTCAACGTCATCCAGCTGATATCCTGTGTCTTTTAGCATGTCCAGCAGCTTAACTAGTAGCTCCAACAGTTTAGCCAGAGCCTGAACATTATTGTCCACAATACGAAGGGTACACCATTTTAAGATAAGATCAAGTGAGGCAATCACCTCCTCTGCTTGATGGACAATGCACACAGACGTCAACTCGTCCATTGCAGTTAGCATCCCTTTCTCCAATGACGAAGCAAAGAGCTTGGCATGAAACTCAGGGGACAAAAACGGCTTCCACTCGGCATCAATTTCACTCTTGCGCGCATTCATCTCACTAACGGAGCTAGTCTCGAAAATCCAACGATTGTACTGCCCTTTACTTATCCTTGCAGGTTTGCTGGTGCTCATCTTCAGCAATTGTGCGGCACCACTTTCAGTTTGTTCAGAAAGAGACGAAGACGATGTCGTAGAAGCCTTAAATGAACCAGGACGAGCAAGACGTGACTTTGCTGGAGTGCCAACACCCGCAGATGTACTAGTCCTTCTACGGATTCCGACACGTCCGATTCCACTGCTGGTTAATCCATGACTCGCAGCCGGCGGAGTCGCAGGAGGGTGTGGAGGCGTTCGTGTAGGTCCTGAAGCAGAAGAGGCTTCCTTGTCAGTACTAATAGCTCCACTTGCTTCAGCTAATTCGCAAACCTTAGCAAGCAAAGGCTTAAGAGCCCGCATAGCCGCGGGTTTGATGTCGCGACACCCAGTCGTAAGTACAGTGTCTTTGCCCACAGATTTCATCACTTCAATAAGCAACAGTTGCGCTTTCTCACGCGCATCGGAAGACTTGTCCATCATACATTGGACAGTCGGAGCGACTAAGCAATGCAAATCAAGCTTGTCGCATTTTTTCAGGTGCTCTACTGCCCATCCCAGCAATCCTGCTCGTCCAACGGTGTTCAAAAGACCCTCCGAAAGAGGTGAAAGAAGACTTTCCATACAAGTAGAAGAAGTCTTGCCATTATGGCAAACCCATTTGTGCAGGGCTTGAATGGCAGCTGATTGCATGGACTTTTTGTTGTCAGCAACTCCAGCAATCAAGCTTGCACCAAGTACCTTCGACATCTTAGCGATATCGGGTCCGACACTTGCTGCAACCACGCCAATAACGTTCGCAGCTTTTACCTTCATATTCGCGTTCGAGTCATTCAGACGAGCTCTTAGATTGCGAAGCACTTCTTGCACAGGTCGCGTGAATTCGATTGCGCCACCAGCACCCTCACAAATGGTTTGGACGGTGTCCATAGCCTCTCCGCGCTTTTTCCATGCCCCCTTATCGGCTTCGTTCTTCATACCCTCAAACAGCTTCTTTGTAAGCTGACTGCTCACATCAACACGACCAAATAGAGCATCTGAATTCGCTGAAATTGAGGGTTCATCTTGATCTTTCACTCGTCGCTTTACACTTGCCATGGCATTCGCCGGATCGTAGCCCGCCTTTTTGAATTCGTCTTTCACTATCTCCGCCAATGCTGGCTTCCAACTGTCCAGATTGAGAATTGGTAACAACGCCGGCCCAAGTTGCGAGTACATAGCACCATGCAACGAGATAGCTGCGCTGCGAACCTTAGGGTTTGAAGATTCTAACCCTTGCGGACCCTTCGCAAATTCGATCAACGCGCGTGGGTTGCAAACGGAGACGCCAAAGTCCTTCACGCAATCCGATAACACAGAAAGTGCCTCAATATGCGCTAGCGGTAATCGAACTTTCGGCATATACTCGATCATGCACCCTGTTGTATATGACGGACTGGTCGCTTCACAAAATTGCATAATCATGTTACGAACAGCTTCGTTCGCCTTCTTATCACCAATCTTATCACAAGCACGAGGAGCAACAAGACACACAACTCCGCGCGGAAACTTGCTGGCTGCTGTCTCCGCAAAGGTCCCGACCGCTTGGAATGAACTCTTCAGCACGTTGATATTGCTGTCCTTGAAATTCTTCACCTGTTTTGCCAAATAAATCGTAAACGCCTCAATCACTCGAATATTCATCATGTTCGAGTGTGTTTTGGCATATTCTTCCAGCCCGTCAATTGCTCCTTTGCGTTCCATCCATTTTGAGCTTGCGAACCCTTCCTGAATCGCATCCCAGTTTTCGAGGTGAAGTTCCGAGATAATATCTTCAGCTTCTTCAGCGGCAACAGAGATCGCCATAGGTGTGAAGTCAGTCCCGCCTACTGATGTCCCAGCACTTGACCCTACAGCAGAAGCTTTTTTCGCTGGTGCAGCTTTTCCAGCCGCACCGCTGGTAGTTGTAGATTTCATTCCAAATCGAGCAGGTGCCCCACGCTTTATCAAAGAGGGACGACGGGAGCCAGCAGGAGCTGGACTAGCCATGTCCACATCCACCACTTTCACTTCCGACGCCTTAGGCTTGCCAAAACTGGTACGGCTAACTGCACTGCTCACGCTGCTGGGACGCGATGGTGTAGCACTACCAGGGCGAGACGACTGCACACTACCGGGACGGGAAGAGGGCGTCGAAGCTTCACCACTACCCAATCCTAGCTGGATCGCCTTAAACGCTCGAGAATTCTTGCGCGCGATATCATCCATTATATTTTTCAACCACCCAGATGTCTGATCGGATGCCTGCAAGAGTATAATGAAGGAAGTTTGACCCGCCTCGCGCACTTTTGGATCGGTATCTAGAATGCCTTGCAAGAACATCGCTCCAAAAGATATCATCAGTGCCTTGTCATTCAAATCCACGTAGCGATTTTCCACAGCACGCGTCAAGAAACGCATCGTTTGGACGCGTGCAGGCGGTGCCTTGTTCTTCGATGCATCGCATGCTAGCTTCAGATCATCCATCATCATATCAATTGTCATCGCGTGCTGCAAAAACAAATCCAATGTCTTATTTGTCGCATTCAAAATTACCGACTTCTTGTCGGATAGTTTTCGCAGCAACTCAGGGAACATCATCCGAGCGTATTGCATGAAGTTTTTGCGTAAACCGTCCGCTAGCGCACCGAACACTTCAATCGATTTGGCCACAATGTTCACATTCGAGTCGCTCGTAAGGGCCTTTAGCGTCGACACAAGTTCATAATATTCACCATTTGCTAACTTTGGTAAGGGACCAATAAGTTCCAGAACGATCTTTAATGCTTCCACCTTTTCGCTCCACTTCGGTAAGGCCAACTTGGCCTTAAACTCGGTCTTCGGTAACTTCGCAAGTAAATCTACTGTCTCAGCAAACTCACGGGGATCAAATGCGGCAGATACGGGCTCGGCTGCAGGTGCTGCACCGATAGATACCCTTTCATCTGCACCACTAGTGTCAACTTTGGTCGGCTTAGTACCATTGACAAATTTGGTAGGTGCTGCTTGACCGGGAATGATATCCTTAATCTGCCCCTCGAACTCAGTCTGCTGGGCTGGACGAAGGTTGCCGACAATATCCTGAACGAGCGACGGACCAGTCCAGCGAACGATCTCTACCATAATAGCCATCGCAATCGGGCGTGCTTTCACAGGACCCTCCATCAGCTTTGGTAGTGCTGCCTTGATCGTTTGCAATGGCAAAACTCGCGGACCGTACGCCTTCAACGCGCCAACAATACAAGAAAGACACGCTGGTGGTACCTTTGGCTTGCGATTGTTTGTCCCTTCTAAAAGAGCCACCGTCGTGTCTTCTGCTGCTCCTGCTGCAACAAATGCGTCTGTCAAGTCTTCACATATCTTTACAATACCCGGCCGTGCTGAGAAGCCCTTGTCTGTCACACCTGCCATCACACGAGGCACAATTTCCTTGTCAAATGGCTCCACATTTAAAGTGTACGCCAACACCGCCGCAAACCCCGCTTCCATTGCACTGGCATTTGCGTCCTCACACAATTTAGGAAATAGATCCACAGCTGCTCGTACTTGACTCGTCTTGACATTTGGCTGTTCAAACAGTAGCTTCAAGTCTTCAAAGCCTTCTTTCCTCACTTTCCAGTTCTTGTCCGTTAATTTAGGCAGCACCGTATCCAGTGAGATACTATCACTTTGTTCTGCATTGTCCACTGTGTCCATTTTTTGGTCTTGTATCGACAATGACGTCGTCATCGTCACGTTCTTCGTCTCTACAACTGAACAGACTTCCGTCATAGTAACGTCTTCGACCTCATTGTCCATGTGAACGTCTTCAGCTGTCAATATCTGGCTCTTGATAGCTGGTAACGGTGGCGAGTTAGATACAAACGTCGTCTTCGCTGCAACGACCGGAGAGCTCGCTACACTGCTAAACGTGGACGCAGAAAATTCCGCTGTCTTTTCTCCATCATTCTCGGCGTCGTCGTACTGAATATTGGACGAAATAGACTTGGAAATGCTTCTCAATGAGGCCACATCAAAGCCCGCACACATGCTGCACGTGCAACTGGCATTGCGCAAGCATTTCTCGGCCATTTTTACAGGAACTTACACAGACAGAGAGAAGAGATCAACAAGCACGTAACAAGATTTTTCTGCACGTGAAGAGCGCAGTCTAGGATGAGTGACGATGAAGAGAGAGAGAGTGCGCACTCCAGCCGCGCCTTGTCTAAATGGAAAGAAAAATTATGTCAACATTTACAATTTTAAATATGGAGGTGACTATAGACCATAGTGAAACGTAGTATATATACAGAATGATGGTCAGGGAAATGTGAGGTTACCTTTCCGCCCTATAAAAGTTGCAGTGAGAATGGCGACGGAGGCAATGAGTCTCATGCGGTGGCTGGGCTTCTATACCACTGATAGACAGGAACAATGCGTTTCTGTAGTACTGCGTCTGCTAAAGCTTGCGTAAGTTAGTAGATCTCACTCCATGACGCTGAAAAATACGGTAAAAAGGACATTTTCACGTTATCACTAACGTTATATTTGCTGCTACTGTAGATTTCCCGCTGCATTAAGCGATCGTCAAGGATGGGAAGATGTAGTGATGACACTCGAGCTATTCTATGAGACGTCACTGACATTTGAGATCCAGAAATTGGACGAATCAAGTCCCGAGACGCTGCGGAATGTGCTGGAGCTGGTACTGGCTGCTGTCGTACAGTGTGAGGCTAAGGAGACATTTGTAAAGGACATTTTGAGTATGGACGATGCAGTACAGACTGGTCTGATGACAATTATTGAGAGAGTGATGCGTCAAGGAGCTAGAGGAGAGAAGGACGAGGAGAAAAAGGAGGAAAAGGAGATACACAAGGCGTTGGGACGTCATTCTCCGCTTTATTTGACGAGTTATGCTGCTTTAGAACAGCAAGAGAGAAAGAACAAGGTACTAAAGGAGGAAAATGTACGTGAATGAAGGTTTATACGAGAAATAAAGAGAGAGAAGCTGATGGAGGATGGAGATTGATACTGGTAGATCCAGCTGGCTGAAGAATTGACGCAGACGATGAAGAAATATCATGAAATGAAAATTGAAAAGGAAGAAATGGTGATAAATGTACAGCAATGGAAGGAGCAGATGGAAGCAGATGGTCTACGAAGAGAACGATCACTACATGCAGAGTATGAAGGCCGGATCCAGACATTGCAGCTTCAATTAGACGCTATAAAGACAGAGTTGGATGATAAGACAGTGCTAGCGAGTAAAGTTCCGGCGCTTCGTGATGAAGTGGATCTATTGAGGCCTGTAGCGAGTAAATTGGTCAAGATGGAAGCCGCCGTGGTGAAGTACAAAGCAAAGATCGATGAACTCGCTGGAGCAAAAGACAATTTACGGGTAAGTTCCAGTATTTATCTTCAGTCTTTGTACTCCTAAACATCACGTATGCGTTACTTATTGTAAATTTTAGCGCCTTGAAGGGACAAATGTCGATCTGATTGAAACGAATCTGGCGCTTGAAAGCCAGTTGGCCAAAGCTGCATCCTGGCAACGCAAACTTAAGGAGGCGAAGGAGACCAACACTATTATGGTGAGTCAATTGTACGCTCACGTTTAGGTACTTCATCTGACTGTTTCATGCATGCAGGAATTTCGCGTATCAGAGCTTAAAACACAACTAGTTCGTGAGCGACAAGAGCTTGTGCTAGCTCGTGCTGATATTACATCCCTTCAAAGCACTCTGCAGGAAGCTAAGGCGTTAAACGCTCAGTTACAACAATCTGCTGATCATTTGTTGTCCGTCGACGTGACAGGAAATGACAACTCATCTTCTGCACCAACTGTGGCTAGTGGCATCAGCGAACTCAATCCAGAGTTGATGCAGAAACTCATTCGCTTGGAATATGAAAACGTCGCGCTCAAAAACCAAGTTGACAGCGAAACAGGCGCAAGAATTGATGGTCTTCTGAACGAGGTGGATGACATGACTCGAGTAAAAAAGTATTTCGAGCAAAAATACTTTGACTCCCAGTACGTCCTTCAATCTACAACGTCCGAGTTCAAGTCTACCAAAGCAGAGCTAGACCTTACGATCGCGAGGCTCCAAGCAAACGCTGGACAATTGCGTGAATGGCATTGGTGTCTTCAGGAGGATGTCGCAGCCCAGGCCCTGGCAAAGCAAACTGCGGTTGCGGAGCGAGACTGCTTAGTCTATGATGGTATAGAGCGACAGCACTATTTGACTCGAGTTTTGTCAAGTCGAGAGCACGAACTGTCTGAAATACGGAACGTTAACGAGGCGCTAGCATGCCAGAATGAGCGACTAATAGAGCAGTGTGAGAGACTCTCACAAAGAAAGGAAGCACTTGAAGCAAGCCTAGCAAGACAGAACGAATGCGTTGCAATGCAAGCTGAGGACGCAAAAGCGAAGGAGTTACGACTTTGGCAACAGAATACTCGCGAGCTGACTCAAATTTGTGTTCAGAACAAAAAGCAAGTTGCGGACATCATTTCGAGCATGACCTTGTTGGTTGACGCAAAGTCTGCTGAAATTGTGCAGCTAACGTCAAAGCTGCAAAAAGTCAAACTTGAGCACGATATTGATCGGCAAAAGCTGGAAGCTGCGCACATATCCACAGCTAAGGGGTTGAAGCTATATCAACAGCAGTACTCAATCTCGAACGCCGACTGGAATACTAAAGAAGAAAAGCTGAAGAGTCGTATTGAAGAGCTAGAACGGCTATGCAGTCAATGTACAAAGCAGGAGCTAGCATTAAAGTCGATAATCAAGAGCCAACTCCAGTCAAATGGTCAGCTTGTGGCGCAAAATAAGGTCATGAAAGCAGACGCTGTCAAGTCGCGAGAGACGATAGCAATATTTGAAAACACAACCACCCGACTGGAATCGAAAGTGGCCTTACTGGAGAGACAACGGTCTCATTTTTTTGCTCAAGAAGAGCGAAAGCGTGACACGGTGGACAGAATATCGTCGTATTCATGTCAATTGAGTACACAGGTTACGCTGGTGGTAGCAGAGCTGGAGAAAGTGCTCGAGGAAAACAAAAAGCTGCATACGAAGCAGTCTAGATGCCATTGTTGCCGTGAATCTCCCCGTGGAACCCCTGACTCCGACCAGAAAGCCAAAAAAAACTATAGGAACCGAATCCAACAGATGGAGCATGACCAGCAGCAAGTGGAACATAAGCGCCGTGAGTTGCTTCTCGTGAACGCAAAGCTTATTCTGGAACAAAAGCAGCTGCACGTTAAAAACGCAAGTCTATCGAACGAAATTCGCGAACTGAAGGAATCGGTGAATCACTGGCGGCTTTGTGATGAGAGACGAAAGAAAAAAGAGGGGCATGCGAGCTTGGCTTTGGAAAATAATGTAATTAAGCTCCCTTTGCCTTGCACCAAAAGGTCGACAAGAGGCCTACCTACAGACACCGCTGAACAGCGAGCGAAACCGGAGCACGAACAAAAGACGACGGAGCTACCTCGTAAAAGTCAAAACTCGTCGCATGATTCATCCGTGGCAGGATTGTCTTCGTCTCTTACGAACGAAGGAAGCGTGTTTCCCGACCATGAGAAAAGAATTGGAAAACGGAAGCGCGAACAGGAGAGAGACGGCACGGTTGGCGAGACGACAAGAATTGAAGCAGGTTCGATTGCAAATTGCAATTCCACAGACGCGGAAGCTCCAACGTCCGGGTCGACCTCGACGCTGCGATCCCATTTCATTGCACGCAGTTTAGCTCCTGATAAACTCAAACAAGACACTGAGAAACCCTCCGAGTGCAATCAGCAATAAGTTAAGGTATCAAGACTGGAACGGTATGTCATGTATGCCCTCTTGAGTATTTGTCATATATCATAGTAGTAAACTTGGTGTATTACTGTGGTTGTAGCTTGTTTTACGGCAGCTACCATCAAATCTACCCCAAAACAACATTGAAAGGATCCATAGTTTGGACTCACTGCCCTTACGGCACTTAACGACTCGTTTCTCCATTGTTGACACAGATGGCAAAGTTGTCATAGTCTTTACAAGTCAACCCCGTGTCGCACTTTCCATCGTTCGAACAATCACTGTAAAGTGACGTAGTGGTTGGGAGATAAGGCGCTGGAGCACATTCTTGGGTACTACCCTTGGTGCGACAGTACTTGCCTGTATCACAGGTATTCTCGATTCCACTGGACGTGGTACAGCTCTTCGCAATTTTACGCTCCGTTCGCCAAGCATCGGGTGGCTGGCAGTAACAATTGACATTTTGGTAATCCATACAGATACATTCAAAATCAAAGAGGCACTTGGACGAAGTCTTGGCATCGCACTCGGTCCATGGCATCCTAGTCTTGTTGTTTATCGAGTCGAGGAAGGAGTTATCACGGGGGAGACACTTGTTTGTGCCAGTGCCGTCGTCTTGGCACGCATACGATGCGCTCTGACACATGAGCACAGTCCCCCCATTGGGGCAAATTGCATTGTCTTTAATGATTGTTACCTCACGGAACTTCATAGGATGATGATGCACTTTGACATTTGCACACAAGACGGGGGATGTCAAGAAAGCAAAGGCAACAAGAACCGAGGACTGCATTAGAAATATCAGTGAGAGAAAAAGAGATCTTGGTCTGAGGTGGAATTAACAAGTGACAAGCGAATTGGATCTGTAAAACTGTGTCCGGTGAAAAAATGTATGGTTTAGAGAAAAACCACGTGAACTGATTTAAGAATTGGAGACCGTACTTTGGACATTGGGACGGCGCAGAAGTGAGTTAATAAATCAGGTTGTATCCACTAGTATAAGCGGTATGCCTACTTCCTATCGGAAGATGTTCTCGGTATTGATCAACTGTACTTGTATAAACGCTTTAAATGATCAAAACTCTACGTTACATTTCTTCCTTACTAACTTACTCGAGTAGTGGCATTGAAAGTTCATGCAAAAGTTAAGCAATGGTGTAGTTTAGAACTGTCGTTTCTCATGACTTTGTTGTAAAATGAGGGCGTCGTCATGCTTCCGCTTAGTTAATTAGATGACTATCTATCCCAAAAAGACCATAGTGTCAGTCTGCAAAGATAGGTTTTGCTTTCGACGAGATTCAGCGTCTCGTCAGTATTCTCCATCTCGTCAAACAGGTTTGGACACAGACATTCTGCTTTAACATGCATTACTCAATGAAACAGTCTTCTCTCAATCGACTGAGCGATCCAAATATCGCTTGGTGGACCTTATCACTAGGACCTAGAAATGGTCACGGTCTGCAGGTTTTTCTCTGATGTTGGGAGGGACATCGACAAAGTGTTGATCCTCTCTCCACCCAAGGACAATTCCTACCCTTCATGATCTGTCAAGCTGCTGGTTAGTTCTTACAAATTGATCTTGCAGAGCTGGCACTCTGACTGATCAAACTTGTAAGTACCGCATTGCAGGCGACTTCCAAGACCGCAAATCAATGACGACAAGAAAAAACTGACGGATGTCATGACAGAAGACGACGAGGACGAGGTTTACGCTTGTGTGGATGTGATCCAACAATTTATCGAACCATTACTACAAACGATTGAAACAACGTGACGAAAATGCTGAGGTCATTTGAACGTTGCGATCGACTATCGGAATGTTCTACTTCGAATGCCTGGCATTAGCAACAGGGGTTCCGCTTTTCATCGATCTGGGAACATCAACCACCAAACGCGATTTGTAGTGATGACAGCGTTCATAACGCAATAAAAGTGGTAGTGCACAATTCTTCACAATGGAATCTCGAGCACTAAGACCAATCTCCAAGGCAGTTGTAGCTGCAGGTACAGCAGGAGCGATTGCGACAGCTTGTTGGTTACTCAATCGAATCCTGGATGACGATGAACTCCAATGTACTGAGGTCACACCCTCATCGTATCTCAATCTCATGGCTTCCACGACATTCGACGACTACAATCAAACTGCTAACACCCAACAACAACAAGAAGAAAACGATACCGACAAGAGCTTTGCACTGCTACCTATTGTCTCTGAATCTGACGACGAGATCGACGAGGACGCCATGGACTACACTGCCGATTACTTTACCCCACTCCACGATGTCTGTATCGTATCCGTCAATGTCGAGACAGTAGATGTTCCAGTCAATGACTTGAGTGAATGCAGACTCTGCAGGACTGCAGTCAAAAGCTATGACTCTATCGACGACGGCATGCAACTCGATAAAAAGCCTCGGACACTATCATTTTCAAATACTGAAACAAGCAGCAACGATAGTCTGCTGTCTCTGTCGAGTGAATGTGTCGAGGACGAGGAAATACAAGGCCTTCAAACGTGCTCAAAGTCACAACAGTGGCTGTATGTCAGACTGTAGTCATGTTACCGTGTCGTTCCTTATTACAATCTAATCTGATCTTTACCTAAACATACTTCCATCTTGCTCCCCTTGCTTCCAAAGAACTACCCACTAGGTGCTTATGATTCAGCTTTGTACGGTTGTCATCGTGAGCAATGGTAATGATGACCTTTGTTTTGGTTCCACCCCATTCAATGGCGTTTTCAGCTTGTCATGACTAGAATCCTATGAAGTGTTGCTGTCCAATGGTGACAACTATGACAAAGACGCCACTAACCATAGAAGTAAAGGCTCAACCGTAGAACGTCATGATAGAGTAAGGTGTTACAAGAATTCTGGCCACTTGAACGAGTTCACTTACTAAACCGGCGATAGTAAACTAGGGAGGTCTCTCATCGACCATTCTTGCTACAGAATATACGCATCGGTCTAGGTACTAAGTGTCGGATAGTTTCGGGTACGTGACATGGCCATTTCTCTCACCGCGAACACTTCAGCACTAATCTGTTTGGCATATGCCATACAGAGTAAGCAAATACAGCAACGTGTTTGCTGAACAACACTGTCAGTTGCCACGTCTACTGTTACTTTGCGTATAGTCCGACAGGAACTACAGACCAACTATATCCGAAGCATACAAATACACTGCAGTGAGACATCAGACGTGACCCACTTAGAACCAACAATAACGTACCGCTCGACAGATAAAGCAGCATCCAAGTTTTCGCTTCTTAGTCACACCAAAATACGGTTTGCAACGTCCGACACAATTCTCCGCCGACAACGATACCAATCTGCTACAGTATCACCAATTACCATCCATTTGTGAAACTCAACACATCAGATTCCACTAGCAATCAGCAAAAAAAACTCACCGACGTGTTGATCGCACTGAATCGTGTAGCATCCAGCGGATTTTCTTTGAATAGGCAGTATCGCTAGTCTGTGCAAGTCCAAAGGCGGCAGTGAGAGCTGCATTGACAGCCGCAAACTCTGGGATACTACCCATTGGTGCAAAGAAGCCCTGCATGTAGAGCTCAACGTTACCATTAGGTAGTTCACATTTCAGCCAGCACATGGAACTTTTTGCTCGAATATAGTTGCAAGTCGTGTTGGTAGAACTTTCGAGTCCAAGTTGCGTGCTTCTACCCATTGGACCATTCAAAGTCACGCCTACTGAATGAACAACGTAGTATCCAATCCGTTCTTTACGTCCAGTCGTCGTGACTCCCATGGACATGACGACACAATAATCACGTTTCTTTGCAAATGGACCGTAGCCAGTATGCCCTAAATCTGCCCATGTGACGCCACAGAAACGAAAGGGGTCATCTTTTGTAGCTCCTCGAATCCGTGTCAATAGACGGAAATCATGAACTTGATCGTGAATGTACGATGATCGTAATTTCGCGGCATTGTCGCTGTCAATGTGCATTCCATACATTTCGTCGTCCAGGGTTCCTTGAAGAGATCCAAGTACTAACACTGTAGGCACGGAAGTTTTAGAAATCACCGGTTCAAGACGTCCATCAGGTGTCGACAAAGTCTGATGTTGTTGTCGCCATGAATCTCGTTCTTTAAATGCCACGAGGTTCTCATGACGACGAACTTCTTTCCATTGTTCATCAAGTAATCGACGTTTACGAACTTCACGAAAGTGCAAATAGTCGGTAAGCGTTTGTTTCATGACGGAATGTGCAAGATGTTCAAGCTGATCGGCTTCTTCGACTGATAAAATAAGTGGAGGAAGAGGTCCAATACCGATGGAGTCGACACCTAATGGTCGATAGTTTCGACTCGTTGTAACATTGGTGGAAGTCGTCACCGAAGCACTTGAACGAGCCGAAAATGCCATGGACCCATTCCGTCGAGTCGTGTACTGCGACGTCATTGTTGTTGTACTTGAAAGTTTGAAAGTGATAACAAAGTAGACCTACTCTTCTCGATGAAAGCAAAGAATGGAAGGCAGACTGAGCTATACGGGAGATCAAGTCAAACATGTGGATGAATCGTTCGATACCCTTTAATTTCACGTTATACCTGATAACGATCGAATGTCCGGCTAGAAAGGTGAGAGTTGACCACCATGGGCGTGAGGGTGGGATCTTACTATCTACAATATGGTACGAAGATATGCCGAATGAGGTCAGGAGATGCGTTCTATCGAAAGTTTTGATATGGTAGTACGTCGTTTATTTCCTTTCAATTGTTGGTTAAATGGCTACAGAATGCTTAGTCTACTGTCATTGCAATGGTAGTAACCTTATGACAAGAACTAAATGATATTGATTGCATGGAAGTCACTTCAATTGACATTTATTGCGATGACTCATAAAAAGTCGATGGAGCTACGTACTTCCTTCTATTCGATGGAATTTTGTCAACTGAAGCTTTTATCTAAATATTCGATCATCATGTAGCCATATTGTCAATTTTGTGGACAATTACATGAAGTTTTTGTTTTGATGATGTAGCGTACATGAGTACAACGGTAACCCATTCAGTGAACAGAAAAAGGGAGATGGGAGAGTACGTTTATATGTGTGTCACGTTTCGTTTTCAAACTTAATATCATTCAGTCCTTGTATACATTACGTATCACAATCTAAAATCAATTCATATACTTACAACCTTAACTTCATCATATGCTATAATTCAACAATACACAGGTAAAGTGTGTTCTTCCCTTTCAAACTTGATAAAGGGTCGTCTTCCCGCAAATAACGATTCAGCATCAGGACGAGCCCAATAGAAATACAAGCACAAGGACATTTAACGACTTTATCGAAAGTCTCTAGTGACTTAAAATGATTAAAGTGAAATGGGAATCTACATATTGTCCACCACTACCACCAAGCAGCACCTCGTCTTCTTCTACTACTGAACGTCCAACTTTAACAGCTTTAATGGATGGAATAGTAATTAATAATACTACTACGACTACTACTCATAATAGTAATAATAGTACTATTACTACAACTACAGGAGGTCCTAGTCGTCGACCTCCGTTACCAAAATGGGACATGGGTACAATCTCCGAAGATACAATGCCTGCTGCATTTACAGCAACATCGTCGCATTGGTCCAATGATCAATTTGAATTGATGGAAAGTGGTGAAGTACGGAATAAAGTCACAAAAGAAGGGATTTCCAAGCAAGAAATACGACAACATGGTGAAGAAATTTTACGTGGTCTGATTGATACAGTTCATACCCGAATGTTGCAAGAATTATTATTCCTGGAACAAGCCATTCCACCGCTTGAATTTGAGCGAAGCTCCGTGGAATCAGGATTTGATCCGGGGGCGAGTACAACTGGTAGTCATGTCAGTATGGGAAGCTCTGTACGGTCGAGTTCATCTAGTATTTGCTCGACCAATGATGGATTTCGGATGATGATTGACACGGATGAACCACGGTGTATTTTTCACACGAGTAAAAACTTTAGTGTTGCGGAGAAGTTGTTGGTGTATGTCTGTTCTTTTCGAGGATTAAGTTGTGGTATTTGGAGTCGTAGTGTTTTACTCAAGGATGGAGTTCAAGTGGGTTCAATGCTACCGTATTTCCAAAAAGCTATTGCTGCTGGATATGGAATTTTAGTCATGAATCCAAACATGAATACGCAGTTGATGGTGACATCCGATGGAACTGTAGAGAAAATGCCGATTCGAGGCTCTAGTGATGCTGAAGAGCATTGTGACCATGTGTGGCGGAACTATATTTTCCCGTCTGCAGCTCATAAAGTACACTTTATTGCTTATGGATATGGTGGTGTCTTAGTGACGCAGTTGATCGCCAAGTACCGCTTTGAACTGAAGAGTCGATTGGGTAATGTGGCTTTTATTGAGAGTTCGCACAAGATTGCCCCGTCATGGAACTCTGGTTTTAAACGGTTCTTCTCGCAGCATAGTATACTATGGTCGAGGTCAGAATTTCCTCTCAACACAGAACTTAGTCGTGATGCGACAGCTTTTACGGTAAGTAGAGGTCCTAGTGGTATTGGAACAACATCAAGCAGTGACGATATGTTGTCGGCGAATGCATCGTCGCCGCAATCACGCTCTCCCGATAGTTCCTGTGCTGCGCAGATGTCAAGTTTTGGCTGCATTTGCTTGTCTGCAGGACCTTGTGAAGGTGCGAACGAAAGTCCAGCGTATACAACAAAAGCGGTGCTGGATACTGTGTTTGCGTTCTTGGCGTCACCTACACCTTATGAGTTCCAGCGTCGTGCAGCACGTGAAATGCGTTTAGACACATTATTGGAGGAGCAGCAGCAGAAGAAAGCTAATAGACAAGGTGGCTACGGCGGGGATGGTGGGCAAGATGCAGAGAGTGAATGCATACGTCGGGATCAACCTTTACGCGTACCGAAGCAGCCAGCGCACGATGCAGTACTTGGTGGTGCCGCTGGAAGTGCTTCTCGCGAGCTAAAGCCGCGTGAATACGACTCTTTGACAATTGACGATTTCGACCTGTTGCGCGTCGTTGGTCGCGGTGCCTTTGGTAAAGTAATGCTGGTCCGACGTAAGATACCGCAGCAACGGAAGGGAGCGCGATTATTAAGTCCTGGCACTATGATGGCGATGGGTATGACGCCGCAGCAGATTGCAAGTGCCACAGGTGGCGAGAATGGCAAAGTTTACGCTATGAAGGTGATCAAGAAGGCTGCTGTGTTTGCAAAGAATCAAGTAGAACACACGAAGACGGAACGGCGTATTTTGCAGGGCGTGGATCACCCGTTCATGGTGAAGCTACGGTACGCGTTCCAGAATGATGCAAAGCTTTACTTTGTGATGGACTTTTACAACGGAGGCACGCTGCACTTTCACCTGCGTCGTGCGATGCATTTTGACGAAGTGCGTACTCGATTCTACTCAGCGCAGCTCGTGTTAGCCATCTCGCACCTGCACACGTACAACATTGTGTACCGCGATCTCAAGCCGGAGAATATTTTGTTGGACGACAAGGGTTTCATCGCACTTACTGACTTTGGTCTATCGCACGACCACTTTGATAGCAAGGACGGTATGCAAACTTTCTGTGGTACGCCCGAGTACATTGCGCCCGAGCTCATTCGCCGTGTGTCGTACGGCAAGGCAGTGGATTACTGGTCACTGGGCATTCTCATCTTTGAGATGCTTGCAGGCTACACGCCGTTCTACCACGCAAATCGTAAGCGCAATTTTCAGAACATTGTGAAGCTTCCTTTGCGGTTCCCGTCCGAGTTTTCCGATGATGCCCGATCTTTGCTGCGTGGCTTGATTTGCCGTAACCCAGCGAAGCGACTCGGTTCTGGTCCGTGTAGTGCTCAAGAAATCATGGACCACCCGTTCTTCTCCGACGTAGATTGGGAGAAGCTCTATAAGCGTGATGTGCCTGTGCCATTCCGGCCTGTAGTCAAGTCGGACGGCGAGGTGAACAACGTGCCTGAATTCTTCAAACGACAGGAAGTCATAGACTCGGTGGTTTCAGACGCACCGATTGGAAAGAGTCACGTTTTCCAGGGATTCTCGTACACTGATCCGTACAATCTGTAGATGAGACGAGTGGGAGACTGACTTTGTGAGTGGCAGACTGCGTTTTAATGTGCCAGTGTAAAACTGGAAGAGTACGAGAGACAAATGATTCAACCGTCAAGTAAGATACTGCATGCAATTTACGAGCACGACATAAAAAAAGAGTAAATTTGTTCACCTTGAAAGTCTGTTACGTCTTTTATTGGCATGAGGCATCTTCATGACAATACGGACAAGTCCAGCCACACGAACTTAAGAAAACCATCCGATCGTCTACCGTAAGTTCGCAATCGATGGACCCGTCTCAAACTTATGGCTACATGTACCCATTTCACAATGGGTTCATTTGTTTTATAGGACCTAACAATTGGTCAGCATGGCATCGACTCGACACGTTTCACGGTGGCGGCTGTGTCGACTGCCCGAGGCTTCCACTAGCTCTGAAATTTCTGTGAACGCTTTGCCAAGTACATTTGAACCAGTGGCAAAAGTTGCAGCATCAACGCCTCCTGTTTCGCTGCGGTATCTCAATGAGTTTGTGGGCAAATTACACTGTGCTTCAGCTTTACTAGAACATGGTTTATTCCCAGACGCCAAAGAGATTACAGAGGTCACTTTCAATTGTTTCAAGTTGACGACAGTGTTGTCAGTTGATGTGGAAAAGGAGTCATGGAATTTTCAGTGTCTACTGTTTTTTTTTGAATTCGATAGAGTATGGCCATGTTCAATGCCGTTCGACGATACATTGAGCCTAGGAACAAAGAAACAAGTCAAGAAACGAATGGCAAGCACGATGGAATTGTAGTTGTTGGAGATGGCAATACACGTGAGTGATGAGGGGTGTCAAGTGTCAACGTGTGTGTGATAAGAAGTTGGTGTAACCTTTTGTTCGTTTTTGTGTGGTGAATAGCACGCACAGGTGCTATGTTTGCCTTTCGGATGCGAGGATGGACAAGTTATAGTGTGGATCCTGCGATGGAGAACGGAACGAGCGAGGTGTGGTGGTGGTAATGATTATCATTGTTGAGAATCGAAGTGTGCTGATAGTGTTGTGTAAACTTGCATTGAATGGCTGGAAGCGATCAAAAGGGTGGACAGATGTGTCGAATCTTGTGGTGATGCGCAACAAAATTGAGGACGTGCGCATTACCTTACGAAGGGCGATTGTAGTACTGGTGCACGCTCATGTGACACTAGAGCAGGCATTGAGTGCTGTGCAAGCAGAGCAGATATGTGGGGTCGTCACGCTGCCTTGCTGTAACTGGTATGGTCAACAAGAATTACTCTTTGGACGTGGCCCCGATCTAGTGTACGATGACTTTAGTGTGCTTTCTGATCATCGCGAGGTAAGTCGTTGCTGGTATTTGCTGTTCCTTGCAAAGAACATCATCTAATTATCTAGGATGTTTCATGTAGATCCGCTTATGGGTTGGTGACGAATCTGGTAGCAATGTTGATACTGCTCATGCTGACCTGTCGTTGGTTTCAAGTGTTATGAAGGGGTGTGTCTGCAAGGAATATATGGCATTGGGTGACGAGAATGGCTTCGGCGCAAGTTTTGATAAGGATATGGATACTAAAAACCTGGTGGATGATCTACGAAAAAAGCATGATGGAGTGCTCGATTTTATCAGCGATACACTGGCAGAGCTCGTTCTTGATGTGTCATTGTTAAGCCGGGAAAAGTACATGGCAGAAGAGCAAACAATTGGTAATTGTTTGCCTTCCGCTGTCGTGTCGAAGCTAAGATCGGATAGTCATGTGCTTGTTTTTGGCTGGCATCCCCGTCGTTTAGCAGTCCGTTTGCTGCTACGTGATGGATACACGAACGTTTATACAGTTTCGTTGGCTGATGAGCTTTCATTTACTATTGACGACAATAATAAACGTGGCATCAAAACTTTGAAACTGCAGCTCCAAAAGTGCACAAGCAAGTTGAATATGGAGTCCGGAAGTGCACAAGATGGAGAGGAAGAAACTGTACAGCTCCATCTTTGCGGCTACTTAACTCTCCAGTCCTCTTTTGCTTTATCTCGCGCTGAAAACTGCTGTGACAAAGAAGAAGAAGAACCGGTCATCGTGTCATTTGTTAGTACTGGAGCTCCAGTCCCCCCACTAGCGTGTGTTTTCGATGCTGGTTTCATTTTCCGAGGCTTCCGCGGTCGTGCAAAGAAAACTGCAATGTTTTTTCGCCATTTGTGTCGTACATTTGACCAATTGGTGACAGTTTGCAGCCATGCCACTGCCAATCGGATGCAAAGTCCGTCACTTGTTTGCTTTACACCACGTAAACAATGGCGGAAAAAGAAATTTCTTGCCCATCCGGATCTCAATTACAATGTGCTGTCAATTACCACAAAGGAACAAACCCAAGGGACGTCCATATACGTGTATTTTTGCGTCCAGCGGCAAATAATTCCGGCCTCGGAGTGACCAAAAATAGTATTGCAGGATCGATAGCGAGTGTTTTTTTACTCTTAAGTACGTTTTTCTTGTTCTAAACGTTTGCGTGCGTTTGATTCGACCAGAGCATCGACCTGTAAGTGTCAAAACAAGGTGAGCCCTACGATTGCGTAAGTTATTTTTACGTAAGTTATTTTTACGTAAGTTATTTTTACGTAAGTTATTTTGACGTACCCGACGTTCTTCCATATATTTGCTTTGTAGATAGAATCCATAGTATGCACCTGCCAAACCACCACAAAGGGCAAAAAATGCACGACCTGTCGAGCTACCACCGCCAACATTAACACCACCACGAGAACCACCTGGCATTATTATTCCTTGTGTCTCGAATGTTTACCGAATCATGTGGTGCACACAGGTGACAAAACATGGGCCGAACAATATGGGTCGGCCCAAGTTCTATCACCTTATCAACTTAACGCATTTCCGAACCCGTACATAAGAAGCACATGGGGTTCTATATAATTAGCATTTACAGTATAAAGTTTCCATTGCCTTTGACCATTGTTCTGAAATCATATTGCATCAACTATAGGTTATATGCGGAGCAAAAATGACTTTTACTACTGGATTCATAACCTCCGTCCCTTATTTTCTAGTCCATAAGTTCTTTATTCGACTATAGATACAGTAGAACCGGCAAGAGTTACTTCAGGGTTTTATGATAAGACAATTTTTTTCGTGGTAGTAAATTAGTCACTAGAACTGACAATTTCGATAATCTTCGTTGTCCATCGTTAAGACTACTGCGATTATATGAAGATGGCAGAAAAGCCATGTCTCTTGTTGCCCATGTATTGCGGAAGGATGATCGGTCTGGCCTCACTTCAGCAAGTATCCAGTCTAGTGAACATTCTACTTCACAGTACTACTTTTAGTTGCCCTTCCGAACTTTCTGACTTTGATTTCTTAGAAGATGCCAAGCGTGCGCCAATTTTCAACTCTATAACAGGACATAAAAACACACCAAAATCTAGTTTTTATTCTGTCTTGCACGGTGCAACGTAAATGTTACTTCTCACATCCCCCTTCAATCATAGTGGGCCGCTAGTTAATTGTAGCGCAACTTTGACAGAGGGACTAAAGCTACATTTTTCAACCCCTCATCGACTTGGTCTCAATGGATTTTAGTTCACCGAATGAATCCGATGTGGACATGATGCATGATGATTCAATGCTTAATGTCAATTTATCGGCTCAATATGGTCATCATCACCAACATCAGCGTTCGTTACCCCCACATCCGAGTATTTCCGGTATGAATTCGGATCCCCATGCTGTTTTTCCAGGGGTTTATGTACCTGGTTTAAACCCAATGGAACAACCCCAACAAGGTGATGCCATGGAAGAATATGCTCGTCTTATGGGTATTAAAGTCGAGAATGATGGACCCAATGTGAATACCACTGCATTTGGAGTCCCAAGTGCCACCAATGACCTGACAAAGATTCAAGCGAATGCCGCTTACTTTGAAAACCTCATTAATCGTGATCGAAATGATACGATGGATGAAGGGAACAATGTCACGTCCATGACATTACCGGCAGGTATTGGGGGTGGTATGAATGGTCAATTTATGGCTGCACCCATGGCACCAACGCCACCAATGTACAATCCAAATTCCGAGTTGGCATTTCAAGATGGTGGTGGTGGATCACGATTGTACGATCCATCGTCTGGTTTTCCACGACAAAGTCCATCCATGCCCTTTCATAAGGGACCTCAAGTGCGGCAGGGGATATTGCCACCGGATATGGTCGGGTCTCAGACACTTCCACCTGAAATCATTTCGGCTATGATCAAGAACAATTCATCCCACAACTTTGACAATTTGAGTGAAGATGAAAAGCAGGCACTGATCAAGGAGGAAAAATCGAGAGAACGTAATCGAGATCATTCGCGCAAGTCGCGACTTCGCAAGAAAGAATTTGTCGAGTCACTGAAGCATGAGGTTGGACAGCTACAGGTGTATCAGCAAATCTGTGAACAATGCATGGACTGTATTGCTCTTGTGGCAGCTGAAGCCTCAGCGATCTTCCTCTTCTCGAGCGCTGCGTATACACGCGTGCTTGGCTACCAGAACCATCAAATTGTGCCCGGCCAGACGAGTTTTCTCGACATGGTGCACCCGGTAAGAAATTACTGAACGTCATTTGTAGACTGTTGCCTTGTCAACTAATCTAAGATTGTACTTTTTCATGGTGAAGGACAATGTGCAAGAAGTTCGCGCAGTGTTCATGAAGCTCAACACGTTGGGCGAGACCCATCGATGTACGTACTTCATTGCCGGAGGCAAAGTGGTCTTCCTTATTGGCACAGCCTGACAGAGAGATGCTTCTTATGATGTTTGTGTGCAGTTAAATTCCGAATAAAGTCAATGGATGGCGAGTACTTTAACGCAGAGACGACAGCACGCATGGCGGAGAAGGGGGTGGTGTGTTCGACTCGCGTGGATCGTGACACCTAAAGAAAGAAAAGACTCAACGCAGCAGTCCCCGAAGCATTAAGACCGACGACGGTAACTCCAGATCAATACGACAACCGCATTCAACAATACGAGATCTGGTAACCGGAAGACGAGATTTGCAACTCATTGACCGAGAAAAAAAAGAGAGTGTGAGTGAGTGAGTGAGTGGAAGCAGACGACGACCTATATTTTTGATTTGTGGTTGAAAACTCGACGACAAGAAATGACAAGAACAATGTGTACAAAGTGCCGAGCTGAAGAGGAGAAAATGAAACTAGCAACAACGATCCTCGGTACCAAAGACATCAGCAGGAGTACAGTGAATTTTAATATACCACAAGCGTTTACTGCTGACACCACAACCAGGAGTGACGAAAATTTCTAGAAGAAAAAAATCATATGCTGATAATAGTCACCTACTGTTAAACGTCTAGACCCTCTATATAGCGGTATAATAAAATAGAGCTTTTTTGTCCGGTCCTGAGTCTTATAATTGATACCAATTCCTAGAAAAAGAACAGAGCTCAATGCATAAAACGTACACATGTAGCCACCTCATGACTCAGATAGTATAGTTGTTAAGAGACATTCGAGTTTAATAGCGTCGATCGAACGTTGCTGGATCGTTTCGCTCTTGAAGTCGATTCTTATGGGTCACTTTCGACTCGTCAATCAATCAATTAATAAAAAAAGAATTCAATAAGTCACAACACCAATTGGCAGTTTGGAATATTTTGATTTTTTACTTGGCATTTTACTAAGTAAAAAATAGTTTGATACAATTTGCAAGACAAATGGAGACAGAAACGATCACGACGATTTCAAAAGCATTGGGATTACCTCGACCGTTTTTAAATGAACGTAATCAAGCATTTACCCAATTAGAAACATGGCAAAAGCTTACGACATTCATAGCGACACAAGTTGTAAACATTAAACCAATAGGTTATTATCGCACGCTTGAAAGTATCACCATGTACGTTCGTTCCATTGGATTATTTTTTTCTACGTCTTTTTTCATTCCATTTTGTGACTATTTTTTTATCAATTTGAAGACATTTTACTTACAAGACATTGTATTTTTTACCTTGTAGTTATGTCTTTGAATGTTCAATCGATGACACTAGGAATTTGAAACGCTCGAGTTGGAAAATCTATCGTCGCTATCGACAATTTCAAAAGTATTGTACCTACTCATTGGACGCAGGAATTGATCGGTCTGTACGTGTACCACGTCTGTCTCAAGCTTATCTTAAGATTTTGTATGCTCCACATTGTAAAGATCGGCTTGTGGAACTGCATCAATGGCTGGAACAAGTTGTAAAGAAGACGCAGCACTATTGCCAACTAGTGCAACAGAAACAAGAAAGGCAAGAAAAGGAAAAATTCCAGGCTTTACAGCAGCAACGAGTAGCACAACTTGAGAAAAAAGTTGCGAAGAAAATGCAGTATCCTGGTAATAATCATGGCACGAGTGATGCTACGGGAGATTTTGTAGCCATGTCGAGTATGAGCACAAGCAGGTTGCAAAGATCGTCGAGAATGAACTCGACGACCAGTACGAGACGACGGAGTAGTGTGAGTTTAAAGACCATTGAACAACGAGGAGATCCAGTGTTGTACATGTTGCGGACGGACAAGGCAGAGGCACTTCCGGTCATGATGCTGAGCTGTTTTTTATTTGCTGGGGCAAATTGTCCGTTTCCACATGTGTTTCCAGGTATGCCGAGCTTTGCTTTGGCTATGGAGGAATTGAATGTGCAGCTTACACAAGTAGCGCCGGCTGCTTATCCGTCCAAGCTGCAGAATTCATTGACAACAAGAGCAGGTTTGGGATTGAGATTGACGCCGAGTCACGAGCAAGATAGACAGTTCTTGGGAGCAACTGTAGCAGGATTTCTTCGAGATCAAGACGAGCTGGATCCAGCGCTGGTAGATGTCCGAGTTGGAGCACGATTAGTCCGAGTTAATGGCGTCAATGTTGACGATGTGCCATTTGATCAAGTGCTGATTCAACTGCGCAGCTTGGGTCTGCCACTACGTCTTCGATTTGTGTACAATCCGAATCTAAATCACAAAAGAAGCAGCTTGGTAACGCCGCAGAGTAGTGTCAATGCTACGTCCGCAGCAGAATTATCAAGTGGAAGGAAAAAAGTAACGTCTAGTGTCAGCGGAGAATGTGGCAGTGGGAATTCAGCAGAAAGCCAAGGCGTCATTTGCAAACCTTTTTCAAATCCGAGTCATCGCAGTTATAGTGTGGATGCCCCTCGATCGCAGCTTGGTCTCTTTGGTTCCGTGTTTGGTGATTTGTTTAGTGGTGGAAGCGGTTCTGACGCGAACAAAGCTTTGGGTTCAAATAGCGTGAATGGTACTGGTATTGTAAGTGCTACATGCAAGCAGCGTGGCGAGACAGCTGATATGGCGTCGGGATCGAGTTACCACTCGTTGTTGAAAGGTAGCGGATCCGCTCTCTTTTCATGGGATGACATCAGTGGGGGATCTCGCGACCTTATTTTGCGTGGATTCTTTACCTACTTGCCACCGTCATTGCTGCGTGAACTTGTTCAAAAGCGACGTGCTGAGTCAAAAGCGAAAGCTTTCTTACCCGAGTATGACTCAAACGAAAGCGACGACAGCGATGAATACGAGTGTATGGAAAACAAGACGGCAAACCTGGGGCGTAAGGCGCAGGGTGTCTGGAGCACCGCCACTGGTCCAATTGGTTTGTCATTTCGGAGCTGCAAACTTTGTGACGTGGAAGCAACGATACTGGAGATGCCGCCTGTATTTTTCTCGTCGAGACGTGAGCATCAAGGCAGCGAGAAGCGTTTGTGTAAGGGTTTTGTGTTGGTATCTATCAACAACGAGAGCACGTTTGGTGCTTCTTTTGCGATTACAGTCAAACGTTTGCGCTCGGCTTCGCGCCCCACAAGTTTGTGTTTTCGTTGGTACAAGGACTTCAGTCCATTTGTGGAGACAGAAGTTGCGGTGAGTAATGGAAGTAGCATTCCTCGCTCTCCGAGCTTGATGAAACCACACGAGATAGGAGCCAATGCATTTGTGAACAATCTGGACTGTGTGGCAGAAGCCCAGATCGATTTAAGTCACAGTCTGCAGCTCGCTTTGATGGAGAATGCGTCTATTCGTGATGAGATTGGTATTCTTCAGGATGCCCACCGCGAGTTGCGACTTTCACATGAGCGCGCAGCTGAGAGAGAACGTTGTTTACAGACCAATATTGAACAAAGCGACGCTGTAATCACCAAGCTCAAAGAAGAGGTAAAGGTGCAACGCCAAGAGTTAGAGAAATCGCGTATACGTACGCAAGAAGCCGAGGCTGAGCTCGCTACAAACAAAAGAGAGTACGAGACCATGCTGGAAAAAGCACAGGAGATCGCCAAAGCACGACTTGCTGAGCACGAGGAGCAACTGGTGAAGGAATCGAATCGATCGATCGAGAACGCTAAGTATCTAGCAGAACGTCGTGCTCGGAAGATGCTGGAGGTGGCAGCAAACGAAAGTCAACGCAAGCACGAAGAGTATCTACAGAAATTGGCAGAAGAGCACTCAGAGGAGGTGGAAAGTCTCATGCAGCAAGTAGCTGTGTGGCGTCATCAGGTGGAAGTGTTGACGGAAGCAGAGAAGCGCAATTACGCAGCATTAGTGAGCAACGGTGTAAACCCGTACGGAGATTACCAGCGTTCTCGCTTCAGTCGTTCAAATGCCGACTCGCCCTTTGCAGACTTGAGAGGCGCCGGCATTAGTGACATTTACCGCAGGCAGGGCATAGCACAAGACTCAAGTGTCGATGCTAACGCTGTCAAATGGCGTGATGACAGCCCCGGAGATGATGAGAACAAGAACAAACCTCACTCTTTTTACAGAACTTCGGACCATGCGTTGCATTCGAACAAAGGCACTTTCTGGAACCGAGTGGTGTCTCTACTGGCCACAGATTGATCTGACAGCACACAATGCAATTCAAAGTATCCCAACTTGATACTTGTGATCCTGATTGATTTCAATATGAACAACACCATTACCAATTGCATCTTCACAACACCAAGTTACCAAGCCGTATCGATTGTTTGGATACCTGCATTTTGTTGACGCGGCTACCTGGACGATGTACTCATTTGAAAAATTTTCTGGGTTTTTAAGTAGCCTAACGCAGTCCGTTCGCGTGAAACCATGGTGTTTATTGTGAAATGGTGGTGATGTACTATTCGTTTCCTCAGCACCTGTTCGAGGATTCTCATGATAGCCGTGTCCGTATCGGTAGTGGCTAAATGAAGAACACCGGAATCTCTATAGCCATATCCTGGATTGGTCGGAGTTATCTTCGGCATGGCTCTAATTGTTTCCTGTCCAGCACTCTGAAACAGTCTGCAATACTTTCACAACGTTCTAAGCGCAATATTGTTTGCACTCAGCTTTTGCGTCAGCTATTGGTGATTGACGCGTCTTTAAGTCTGAATATGCTGGGCACTTGATGCAAGAAGCCACTGATGCTGAACATGACTACAATCTGACATGCCACTGTTGTGACTTTGAGCACGTTTGAAGGCCTTGTATTTCCTCGTCCTCGCCATATTCGCTTGACAGAGACAGCCGACTATCGTTGCTGCTTGTTTCAATAGTTGAAAACGATAGCGTTCGAGGCTTTTTATCGAGTTGCATGCCGTCGTCGATAGAGTCATAGCTTTTGACTGCAGTCCTGCAAAGTCTGCATTCACTCAAGTCATTGACTGGAACATCTACTGTCTCGACATTGACGGATACGATACAGACATCATGGAGTGGGGTAAAGTAATCGGCAGTGTAGTCCATGGCGTCCTCGTCGATTTCGTCGTCAGATTCAGAGACAATAGGTAGCAGTGCAAAGCTCTTGTCGGTATCGTTTTCTTCTTCTTGTTGTTGTTGGTAGTTGGCAGTTGTGTTGTAGTCGTCGAATGTCGTGGAGCTGCAGCGTCATAGCAACTGCAAGTAGATGCAGGCGTGCTGTTGTGCGCTCGAGTCATGTCCATTCTGGCCGTGCTGAGCAGCATTAACTTTCATGTTTGGACTCTTGTTTTACATCACAACTAGTCCAAGAGCATTGTCACACAAAGGATGCAAGTACATGACCCATTCATGCACGCAGTGCTAGCTGTTCTTCACATAAACGAACGTATTTACCACTTTGTAGCTTTTAAACCCCGTCACAATCGCGTGTATTCAAAGTGCTGGTCGTGTTGTGTTTGTTCCGACAACGCGGATATCAAGCGGCTTCTACTCGAAGGTGGCGATTGATTCTCGTACTTCTTGAATTTACAGAGTACAGCAGGAGCGATTGACAGCTTGTTGGTTACTCAATCGAATCCTGAATGACGATGAACTCACTCAACTTAAGCACGCGCAGCGAGGAGAAAGCCTCCCCCTTTGACCACCTTATAAAAGTTGGTTCGCCGTCTCCGTCAAGGTCTCTCTGATGATGCTCCCACCTGAAAGGGTTCTCTTCGTCGTACCGGCTTAGCAAATGACTTGGCAGATCAGAGACTTGAGAGTGCGTATATCACTCACTAGCACGTCTCCTAATCTCGCCTTTGTATCTTGTTGAGTGGAATCGACCATCCCATGCAGGTAGCCGCAGCTTTTCTTCCCAAATCATCACCATCCTTCTTACGCGTTAACTTTTGCCGTGCAGTGGTTGTCAGCAGCTGCAGGACCATTTCGACATGAAGGAGAGGTGCCCATGTGCCTACAACTTGATGCATTGGTTGTCGATCCATTGCAAACGTCTTCTTGTCGACTGAACCATTCCACTTTCAAAGTGAACCATTGACACACTTCTATTGATTCAAGTCAACATCTTTGTCACTGCTGCCGTTGCTATTAAGGTATCAGGTATGACTTCTGTCCCGCTGTCCCGTTCCTATGCAGATGTCAGGAGACATGCTTGTCTGCGACTGACTACGCCGGACGAGAAGAAGAAGTGACATTATAGAACTTACCGTCCAGTGCTTCGAGCTGCTACTGAGCGTGTTTCTACTTCCAATCCTGTATGACAATCTCTACTCGGATCCGTGGTGAAGTGTTTACATCGCAGTCAGGGGATAAGAACCTGTGTGACTTCATGGAAGCACCTCTTGGTCCACCGCTCATTCGTCTTCCAACGAGTCAGCCACCGCAAAATGTCGAGGGCACCTGTAACAAGAAGAAGATAGCCATGAAGACAACAAAGGTTATAGCTGAGCAGGTGGTAGTACCGGAAATCCGGGAGAAGTCACAATGTCATGGAGTACCCTGGACGAAGGACGAACACGACCGATTCCTTCAGGGTCTCGAGCTTTTTCCATCCGGGCCGTGGAAGTATGTCGCTTCTTATGTCGGTACTCGTACACCACGTCAAACCATGACACATGCACAGAAACACCGTCAAAAGATTCAGCGTCAAGAGCGTAAGTACTTTATGGAGTCCTTAGCACAGCCTGTACCTATGACGCCAGTAGCGTACGATGGCTTTGTGGTTCCTACCAACGTTAAAGATCAAGCATTCCAACAATCACCTAAGGCAGTAGACCGTCGACTGGACATCAATGAGCAAGCGGTTCCTCTACAGAACAACGGGGATGATAAAGTCGAGTTGGGTGAGCTCTCTCCATCCTTTCAAGCTTTTTGTGAGCTTTATGGCTATGCGGTTTTCCCCAGGGACGACGAGAAACCAGTCAATGGTGTCAACTGCGACTTCCCCAGGACCGAGAGTACGATGCTGTAGATCAGCTAGCTGTTAAACTTGAAGAAACATGGTTCTGTCACATGTAAAGTCATATGACTTGCGAGTAACAAGTCTGGAGCTACGATCTTATCATAATTTATCATGCACGACTACTAGAGACATTGGCAGGCTGGAAGTTATACTGTACGATAACAAGCTCGACACTACACAAATCTGGTAAGCTATGTGAAATATGGTAAGCTGTAGCTAGTACGCTTCCTTTGAGCGCCAGCATGGCAATTGAGCCCCCTGTGAACAGTAATTTAGTCTGATCCGCAAACTGCTTGCAGAATTGCTGCCCACATCCAATTCACTAAGTCCAAGGAACTGACTAGCCTCTTAATAGTCTGCATCTTGTCTAGATCGATGTGTGCACCGTTCAGTTCGATGATACTGTACATGATACCAAAAAAACGCAACCCCTCTGTTGAACGTTTGTTACTGTCTATAGCTTCCGGCCTTGTTAAAAATATCTAGCGGCATGAATGCTTTATGCCTACGGAATCGTTGAACTAGAAGACGAACCATCTCACGATGCTCAATGAGATGTTCAAAACATATTCAGACTGAGCTAGAGCCCAACACTATCATGCTGAGAACGATGTAATTTTACGCACCGATTGACTTCATCGCTTTGTAAGAATCTAGCACTTACGCGCTCGTTTACGATAACATCTATCTGCGTCTACAAAGATCAAAGGATGTCAATGAATATCTACGCAACTCTGTGGAGAGATCTTGCAAAAGAAAAACAAGCTGTACGTGAAGTTGTCAAAGTGCGTGATTTGTGCTGAAGGCGACATGCAGCATGTGGCACTAGGTCGACTCCAACTTCAAGAACCAGGAACATCCAGCAGAAGAATCAGCATATGACCATTACCTCGTCAAATTTTCTCAACGATGAGACTTCGCTTTGTCCCAATCCGATAGCATCGTAACTCTTCCTGAACCTCTGCCATTTAGTCTGTAGCAATCCCACGCTCTTGTCAACCACCTTAGCTCGACTGCTACAGATGGCAACGAGGTTTGCAAGCGGTGAGCGTGACGAAGACGAACAATATTCTGTCTTTACAAGACGGGACAGTGAGAAACAAAGATTGCTAGTGTTGTCAGTTGAACCATTACATGCAGCAAGTTTAAGAATAGAGAACACAGCAGCGCATCACGTATCATCACGACAGAAAACAAATATCTCAAGAGCACATGCACACTTGTCCTTATCCTCCAAAGAGCTCAGTCCATCAGTCTGGGCATTAGCAGATTAATGGTCAAAAATGGATACGACCTTCGAGCATGGCAAATGTTTCGGTGGTGCACGAGAACTCATTAGACACAGACAGATCACATGTTAAACTTCTCTAGCTCGATCCGGATTGAAGCTTGATGAAGAGATGAGGCCCTAGGTCTGACGATCACCAGCCTTACATATTAGTAATAGTGTCACCTTGGCAGCTGAAGAATCGCATGTGGTTCCAAGGATATCACACAATGAGGCGAGGTATCTAAGGGCAGGTATGTTTTCGTATGTGAGTGAATCTTCAAGCCGGCTGCAGTTTCACATTAGCAACAGCAACGCAACATTATTATTGACGATGAGGAATCAGCACGATTGAACACTCATAAGATGCAGTGAAGATTCCTACGTTTCCACGAAAAAAAAGCACCGGAAAAGTTGTTCATGGAGACCACTAGAAAGTGAGCGCTTTTTCCATTCGAGTCTAGCGTAATAGTGCGTGCTATGCTGTGGCAATAGTGGTACACGCTTACGTGTTACCGATTGACAAAGACCGTGACGCAGGAAGCACCCGTACTGAAATGGTGCTGACCTTAACTAATCCACAGTACGTGCATAAGTCGTTCAACGCGTCTCACGTTGCGTAAAGTAGCACTGACTTCTAGTCGATAGCCTTAGAAGAACCACCTGCCTACTACGCTAAACCTTTTACGCTAAGCGTGTGTATATTCCTGCTCTAAATTACTGGAATTCTTCACGTCACGAATGAAGAAGACACGTTGCGAATCCTGAATTGGATTTTCTGCAAAAACGATGGACAACTACTGACCTAAGGCTAGAGAGCACGACGTTGACTATAGGAATGACTTGGTCTCATCTCTTGAGCAACATAGAAACACAAGCCTTCTCTGTCCGTGTGAACAATTGCGCTCTCATTTTCCATTTTGCGTTCAATTGCTCACTTCCTGTAACTGATCAGTACTAGTTCGTTAGATAGGAGATATCTGTACGTACTAATGGCCATCACTGCCGATGTTAAAAACCAATTGTTCAAGCCTAGTTACTATGGTACGGGTGAATTGATCCGTCTACCGTCGGAAGCGCCATCGATTCCGTTTGACTCGTTGGATAAAGAAAAAATGTTACCAACCAACACCAATGGACGAGCATGGACTGCTGAGGAACACAATCGGTTCTTAGGAGGTCTCGAGCTTTTTCCATCGGGACCGTGGAAGGAGATTGCAGCTCATGTGGGTTCCCGCACGACGAGACAGACGATGACTCATGCTCAAAAGTACCGTGAAAAGATTGCACGACGGAAGCGTGGACTGCGTTCGTCGGTCAAAAACACGTGCTCGTTGAAGCGACGACGTAACCACAAGCACCAAAACCACAGTCACAAGACAATGAATGATACAGCCTCGCCCTGTTCAGTTGCAGTGCCATCTTTGAGTACGAGAAAAGGAGTGGACTTTGACCAGTGCCTTGTACCAGGACCTACTCAATATCAATTCTGCGGCATCGACTCGGTTCCGGAGATGAAAATCTCAAACTTTGCAGCCATGTTAGGCGACTTTGACCCCCTACCCATGTCCAAGGAGGAAATTGACTTTATCCTCGAAGCAGCGACGCTCCAGACACCAACTTCGCAGACCCACAGTCTAGATTCGTGCTCGAACGATATATTTTTTCTGGAATGACCAACAAGCCAACTGCGTGGATAAGAGAGAGGGACACAAGCGAATGAGATCAAGAGCTATGTCAGGAGTGCTCGAGCTGATAGCATCACGTGCTTGTCAATGTCGAGCGTCACTTGTACGAAACAAGTATCTGTTGAAGACGCAGATGTAGGAAAAGAGAAGAGAGTACTTCGGATGCAGTTTTCATGTAACCGTGAGCAAATAGAGCATCATTTACGATATCCTACTCCGTTTTTTTGCGTGCTCTATGGTTGGTTGTTACACCATCAACGAAGCATCAGGATGTTACCACAATTGATTGTCGAACTCTTCTTGCCTGCTGTTACAGTATCTATACGACAATCCCTAACAAGCTGCGATACGACCCGCCCCAAATATCTTTGTTCTAATCCCAATACTTGATGAGGCCGTCCCAACCACACGAGATCACCTTGCTAGGCTCAAGAGGATGCCAAATGGCTCCCATGGTTGGACCCCGGTCGTGAGCGCGCAGATTCTTGATCATTTTCGTTGATTTCCAGTCCCAGAACATCAACTTACCCTGGCCATCGCCTGACATGACGTACTGACCATTGGGAGAGAATCCGATTTGGCACGCGTACCCAGCATTCTGGTGGCCCTTAAACACCTTCTTACGGTTGATCTTGAACTTGTCTCGCGCTGAGTAGACATCGATCTGGTTGTTGAGTGACTGACCAGCAAAGAAGCCACCGCTTGGGTGGAGAGTCACGGCTGGCATCGAGTGCATGCTTGGCTCCGAAATGTACTTGATCGGTACTGGGATACCCCATTCCCACACCAGTAGCTTCTTGTCATCGGACGTACTCACAAAACGCTTGTTGTCGTCCACGAACGTAACCGAGTTCACAGCCTGCAAGTGATGGTTATACTCCTGCACAATCTCGCCCGACCGAGTGTCAAATTGCACTACCATGTTATTGGAGTCACCCACGACGAACTGCGTGTTATCCAATGGATAGAACTTGACGCAATATGGCACTCGTCGTGTCGTGAACGAATTCACTATCTGTCCTGTTTCCGTGTCCCACAACTGGATATACCGATCAAAGCTGCAACTCAAAAACTGCCGTCCATCGGCACTAAAGTTAATACCCCGCACAGCACCCGAGTGGCCTTCATACACCCGTTGACATTTGCGTTCATTGTAGACGTCCCAGATACGCACTGTATTATCCATGCTACCTGAAAGCAACAAGTGGCCATATTTAGGGAACAGTTCAATTGCCTGAACACCCTTAGTATGTCCTGTCCATTTGTGCACACAACGTTTCGGCAGAAACACCTGATGATCGCCATCATCCGGTTTAAGAGTTCGTGGAGGTTCGATCCATGCCCGTCCTTGATAATCATACTCTTGATCTCCACAAAATGTCGATTTTCCTTCCAATGCCTTCTGTCCAGCTTTCAATCTCGCCGGTAACAAATGTGCCGTTTTCTTTTCGACCATCCGGTCAAAATCCATTTCATCATCGACTTCACTCTTTGCTTCAGCTTTGCGTCGTTTGGCTTCTTGATGTTCTTTTAAAAGCACTTTTTGCTGCTCTGTCAGTGTTCCCTGCTCTACATCTGTCAAGTACTTGCCTTTATCATAATATGGGGCCCAAATGCCACTCGTATGTTCCTCTCCAAAGTCTTCTTGAGCTCCTCGTTCCTTGAAAAGTGTTTCGTTCTTCCTCTTTTTGGCATGTACTACCTCTAAAGGGACACTTGACTCCGTCTCCTTCTCTCCAGCTAGTGCTGGAGCAGCTGGAGGAGCTCCTTTCACTCGATTTCGAGTCAACTTGTGGCTCAAAGTCTGATTGAATGTATGATATTGGGCTTCAAAGCTGTAATCTTCGAGATTTGTCGGTTCTACGACGCCTGTAACGATTTCCTTGCCGCTACCAGCACGTAGAGGGTCCAGTATTGAAGTGTCTGTTGAATTGAGACCTTGTGGGCCTATATAGGGAGCTAAAGTTGACTCAATAGGAAGATTTAAAGCCAATTGGGTCTGTGTTCCAGCTGTCAGGAAGGCTGTTTTATTTGCTTGGTCTTGATGGTCAGAGACAGTGATAAAAGGTGAAGAATTGATGACAGGAAGAGAAAATGATGGAGAATTTGTAGAGTGTAATGTACTTGGGCGTCGAGTTTCTTCCTCATCGCTAGACACGTATACACCAAGCGCTTCCATGCCGCGACGTCTTTGAGGTAGCGGTGGCGGATATGGATCGTGTGGTATACGTTATTTCGTGTTTCGTACATAGAAACGGAAACGTATCGCATGACGTCGAGTTGTCATTACGTGGAGTGTGTGGACCACACGGATCGAATCTTTTTTGCGTGACGTACGTGGAGGATGGGCTCTGTGCGTGACACCCCACCCACTGCCCATTTCGGATTCTGCTCTGTGTCTTCCCATCCCGTAGCAAAACAAATGTCTAGTCTGTTGTACGCTTCATCACCGCATATTACAGGCCGTCGTGAATCGGAGCCTGGGTTCTCGGATACTACAACACCCAAGGCACTGGATATTGCAGTACCGGGTGGATTCCGACGTCATCATCTTCAGACGACAGTTCGACCCCCTGTGTCCAGAGCATTGCGTAATCAGATCATTGACCGTATCAATAGTGTGTATGATCCATTTATCGGTAGTATATTAAGTCAAGACAATGATGAATACGATGAAATGAACGGTGAAGAACGAGTACAAAGTCTCTTGATGACACCTCTAAACAAGTGAGACCATTTGAAAGAAGTACTGAAATAAGAACATGAAATACTATTGGCTCATTACTAATGTATCGATTTCTGTGGTAATTTGTTTCAATGGTAGACGGGACAGACCAACGGAAAGCACAGAACTGCTTCAAATAAAAGCTCCTCCCCCCAAGTCCAAGGATAGCGACAAGACGACCACCTTGTGGCATGCGTTGCTTACATTACTCAAGTCATTTGTTGGTACTGGTATTTTGTTCCTTCCAGATGGATTTCGTAGTGGTGGGATTCTCTTTTCACCACTATGTTTGACTTTTGTGGCGGCACTGACGTTGTATGCAATGCTACGATTGCTACAATGTCGTGAGATGGTTGGTGGTACATACGGTCATGTTGGATTCAAAGCGTATGGGTCTTGGGGACGTCGGATGGTGCAAATGTCAATCATTTTGATGCAAACGGGGTTTTGCTGTACCTATGTTATCTTTGTGGCACAGAATTTGTCGGAGGTGCTTGAGTTTTTGGGATACAATGTGGATACATCCTTGCTCATTCTGCTACAAATTGCAGTGTATATTCCGTTGTCATGGATCCGGTACATTAGCTACTTTTCCATTAGCAACCTCATTGCCGATGTGTTTATCCTGTATGGACTTGCTTTTATTGTGGGCAATAGCTTCTGGATACTTGCTACGGAAGGTCCAGCCAAGGATGTGGAACTATTTAACCAGCAAGACTACACGATCTTTATTGGCACGTCGATCTTTACGTTTGAGGGAATTGGGCTTGTGTTGCCTACGCAAAGCTCTTTGAATAAGGCGCGTCAAAATCGCTTTCCCGGCCTGCTTACATGGACCGTAGTAGGTTTGCTGTTCTTCTACTCGTTCTTTGCTGGTATCAATTACATTGCGTTTGGAAGCAGCATCACTCCCATGGCAACTTCCAGTCTACCACGCAATGGCTGGTCTAGTTCGGTACAATTTGGCTACGCGTTTGCCCAGCTCCTGTCGTATCCTTTGTTCCTGTTTCCTGCTGTGAAGATTATGGAGGAGATGTTGGGCTTTCCTAGACGTGCATCCGGTCAAAAAGTAGCCAAGAACTGTTTCCGTGCTGTGGCTGTACTCGCCACTGTTTGCGTTGCTTACTTTGGCCAGGAACGTCTCGATCTCTTCGTCTCAATTGTCGGCGCTTTCTGCTGCGGTAAGATACGTGATCAATTGTCAAGTCATTCAGTGTACTGGCTAACGCTCTTTTCGGTCATTGTGAATAGTTCCACTAAGCTTGGTATACCCACCGTTGTTCCACTTGAAGCTGACTCCGAATTTGTCGTGGGTGGGCAAGCTTGTCGATATGTTCGTGATCGTCGTAGGCTCGCTTACTTTCTTTTACGTCACGTACTCGAACCTGCATTCGTGGAGCAAGTAGTTGCCTTTGATGTTGCAAGAGTACCAATCATCACTTACTTTAATCGCCACACTCTTCATTCATTGCAATTACAAAGTACATGTAGAATCGTAGACCATCAAAACGTTACTGTGCATGGTAGAATCGACAATTCGAGTTCAATGAACTGCTTTAATCAGTGCAAGATACTCAATCATGCCACCTCTGCCAAGCTCCGATTGAATTTCTCTTCTACCCGATTCAAAAACTGTATTCTACTGCATGCACCCCATTTCAAACTGCAAAGAGGAACCCAACTATTAAACGTGGTCTAGCAATCCATTCCAACAGTATCCGATTCTGCATCATATCTCTTCAAAATCTAGTCGTCCTCCTCGACCTTAGGTGCGAGGTAGAAACGCATGTAACCCATGTCACCAATTGCGTACTCGACGACAACTGGGATACCAGGTGACATACTGAGCGTCACAGTCTCAGACAATGGAGTGGCCTTGGCAAACATATTTAAATACCGGAGTGCAAATGTAAGCTCTACAGGTTCTTCCATCGTAATGATGACCCGGTCACACTCTTTCTCCGCCGCTGTATTGTTCTTGAGCGTAATGTTTCCCGCCCCCAAATCACCCGATACTGAAAACTTGACCCCCTCTTTCCCCACAGCAATTGTACACGTATCTCCCATGGTCTGCAAGTCCCGACAAATGCGTTGGAATTCACTCGATGGCATCCGAACCGTTGCCACATATTCCGTACTTGGAATTCCCAAATGTTCACTGTCAATGTCCATTAACTTAAGCGAAAAATCGGAGACACGGTCACCCGCTGCATCAAAGGAACAACATTAATATGTTAATTTACATGTCGCAGGATAGAGATGTTACGTTACTGCACAACATGAAAATGATAACGTACACGTAGCCTCAAACATGATATTGAGTGCATCACCGTTATCTTCGGCAAAGAGTGACAGCGCGTCATCATTGCCTGAACATTTCAAAATCTTGGACAGTGACGCAGTCTGGACACCCAATGAGATATTACGATCACAGCGATAATGTTCAAAGCCCTCGGCACGTAGCAACAGCGACACAAGAGACACGTGTGAGCCGTCCATGGACTGCAGAGCTAGCCCTGACTTGGTGCAATCAATGTTGCCCTCCGAGATAAGGTCTTTCATGGCCTCGACAATAAGCTTGACGATACGGCCCTGGGGAAGTCGAGCTTCAAACATGGCTTAGACCTGAAAGATTGGTGACAAATTACCGACTGATTGATTTGCTACAGACGCATTTTGGTTGGTGCAAGAAATTTGGCGCGAAAAAATAGAAAGACGGAAGGCATTGATCGTGAGGACTTGATATTTGTATGGATACAGAAGGGGTGCAAGCTTTCCCGCCAAATTGGGTTTAACAAATGGGGAGTTGGCGATACCTCTGAATCTGTGACGCAAACGTCGTCTTTAGAGCGTTGTTACATGAAGAGTGTGGTCGAGCAGCAGTGCTTAAAGCAAACTAGAGTAAGCTCTTACCTGCTAAACCTCATCGATCCATCTTTACAGCCTTATCAACTGTAAAAGTCTCCGATGTCTTTGCTGTGGCATTGAGGTCCTTGAGTTTCTTCTTGGCTCGTGCTCGTTCCCGTTCATCCATTCGATCTCTCGATCGAGCAGTGCCAAGCACAATGGACTCAAGTGCAGATGCATTTGGTGCAATGCGTCGATGTTTCTTAGAAGCTCTTGTATAATCAACGCCACGAGCTTCACGGTCATCCTGTTCTTTTCCTTGATACTTGACACGCTGCACCACAATGCAGAATATCAGTTCATTTTAAACTTTAACATGACATAACTTTTTAGCTAGACCTACTCCAGTCATAGAAAAAGTATCATCACGTAGACTAACGTCTTGGCTATCTATACAGCCAGAAGGATCAGCGTGATGACGTCTGTGGTCATACGTACGGGTGATACGCCGAGGACTCCGACTACGGCTACGACTTTGTAGATCATGGCATCTTAAACGCCGATTTCGCCGTGAAAAATGGCTATTCGTATCAGAATACGACGAGATATCATATGAACGACTGCAAGATCGCTTTTGACGTCTCCTTCGTGGCGAACAGGAGCGTCGGTGCGTATCACGCTTGTCCATTATTGTCAATGTTATCTATATTTTGGCATTCTTCGCGATAGTGACTAAGAGAAAAAACCTATTATCAGATTCTGATGTGCTAAGACTATACTCTATAAATTTATACAGGTTATGTACTATCCAGCCAAATAGTGTTGCAAAAACTCACCACTTCTGATAACAATTTTGACCCATTTCGCGCTTTACATTGTGCCCATTTTTCGAATAAACAGTCCTTGCTGCTGCTACTTCCATGAGAACATCACTTTCCTTCCCTTTCATACCCAAAGTATCCAAGTCACAACGTAACAATTCTACCAGTTCCTTCGATTCGGACGACATGGAAGACGCACAAGTACAGCATCAAATTCCAGCTACAGAAACATCTTGTCTTGACATTAAAAATGTGTATACCTCGCTGAACCATATACAGTCATTTTCATTCCAAACTACGACAATAAAGTCTCATCAACAAAGTGATGCTCGAAGATATTACAGTGGATACCTTCACCATTGTGTTTCTATGAGTCTTGGACTCGTAAAAACCTGGCAACGAACATACTTTTGTCTTTGGGACAATCGATTAGTTTGTTACAAGACTCAGGACACTGCAAATCGGCCACTTTTTGAAGTGTATTTTACTAGGAACTCGGTCTTTGGTCCTATTGAAGCCAAGTCGGACAAAAGTCAGGCCCTGAAAAACCACAAGTTGCTGTCACTTTATCGGACTTTATCCAGTTGTGGATCATTAGCTCTTGGTCTTGAGTTTGTTGAAATTGTAGGACATGAGATTCCAGCGAAGACTATTGAAGTATCAATGCTTTTGAAAGCAGAAAATGAAACAGATTATAAGGCGTGGATAGAGTGTTTGAACCACGTGATGCAAGTACGCAAACGTGCTTTACTTCGAGTCGATGAGGAAAAAAGTTGCAGTGAGAACGTTACGTTGTTAGCTCATTTACAATCAAGTGGAAGCGCAACGGCTATAGATTTGCCGAAGCGTCGGAGTTGTATAGATACGAATGATCAGGAAATTACAAAGATGCTACGACGGACAAGCGGTGCGTCAGCTGTACCCGATATACCCCCTCAGTCAGACATCTTGGCGCAAGTCGAGACGTACGAAACATTTTCCTCCAAGTATTTACTTATGAAGGAGATCGGCGAAGGCTCGTTCTCTATTGTTCATCGCGCGGTGAATCGTATGACTGGTCAAGTCTGTGCAGTGAAATGTTGCAAGGTCTCGCAGGCTCTGGAAGAAGAAGAACGGCTCTTACGTACTCTATCGCATCCGAATGTGGTTAGTCTAGAAGGTGTATTCCAGCGGGACAAGAATCTCCACTATGTGGTTATGGACTATTTGAAGGACGGAGATATGTGCGACCAGCTCATTGAACGGCAGCGTCTTCCTGAACCTGAAGCACGACGCATCATTCGGCAAGTAGTTGAGGGACTAGCATATCTGCATCGACACTGCGTCCTTCATCGCGATATCAAGCCGGAAAATATTCTAATCCACGGCAATATGGTGAAGATCGCTGATTTTGGACTGGCAAAGGAGCTTGAACAGCCGACAACTCTGCTGAAGCGCAGCTGCGGCACGCTGGAATACGCGGCCCCTGAATTACTCTGTGGTCAGCCATATGGTCTGAAGTCCGACATATTCAGCTTAGGCATCGTGCTGTATGTGCTGCTTTTCGGCGCATTCCCGTTCAGTGCGGAATCGGCAGCAGCTTTACAGTGTATGGACCACTTTCCGACAGGCGTTGACGTGCGCGATATGAGTTGTCTGAGCAGCTCAAATACGCAGTGGAGAATAGTAAGCCCTCTGGCTCAAGATGCACTGCTGAAGATGCTAAAGACGAGCGACACCGAACGCATATCCGCTGAAGACTTGCTGAACCATCCTTGGTTTAATGAAGCTGATACCGGCATGTCGGAATCCATCAGCAGCCCAAAAGATTTGGAGCTATTACGTATCGAAGACTGTGAAGCTATGGGGTTCGCTGAGCTGCTGTCTCGTGGCTTCCGGGTTGTCAAATATGACTACAAGGAGTCACTGACACCTTACGTCACTTCTTTGAGTGTCAATTTTATGGAGGAATGTATCAACTGGACGGGGCATCAACATCCACTGCTGGCAAGTGAAGACGCGACAGTCTGCCGTACCGGACGAGGTCGTGCTATCTCCCTTCGCGATATTAAGGAGATTCGAGAGGGCCACACGACCAAAGCGTTCCAGTCTTTCAATAACATGAAGCCCATTCCGTCGCCCGAGCTCTGCCTATCCATCATTTGCCCATGGAGAACACTTAACCTTGTGGTAGAAGCCCCAAGTCAACGAAGGTTCATGGTTCGTGGATTTCGACGCCTGATAACTTCTGATGTATGAACGAAGTTACATTCTAGCTGCAATGCTCGTCCACGTTCAGGTATAACCGCAGAAGCGTCATCTACGTCTTGGGATACCAGGATCACTAGGACAGCGCCATGGCACTCGGGCAATGTGCCTTCAACGTCTGTACAATTATTCGAACTCAACGAATCTAACGAAGCACACTGTAATATTATGTGCCACAGTTATCACTTGTCAATAGCAAAGTACTCGAGTCCCTCCTCCCTTACGTTTTGCTCGGGTAGCCCATGCCTTTCTAAAAACTGCAGGCAAAACAAAAGTTGCTGTAGATACTCACGAAACTCCAACACGTGTTCATCACAGAACATATTCGGTGTTAGTGTCGATGTCAGATTACTTTCGAGGTCTTCACGAGTCACACCAGACGGGAATCGACGCACAATCGATACAGCGTACATGAGAAGGAACACTCCACAGTCCGAATTATTGCTTTGCAAAGGGATCTATGACAAACAATTGCAGTAAAACAGGTCAGCTTTACCCTGATTCGTGGACGTGTTAGCGGCAACTTACATTGGGTTCGAGGAGACCGATGCTATCCAAATCAAAAGCCGTTACGACAGTCTCCTGCTCATCCATTCCATCATTTACAGTCTTCGGTTCCGAAACGTTGCTAGCAGAACTGGAAGCGAAACGTGCTTTATATTCACATTCCAAATAGTTGCGCAACATTTTCGTAAACTTTTTTTTACGGTGACACCGAAGCGAGTCCAGAAACAAGAGGCAAGGAGGGTTTGCCAGCCGTTTTTCTTGAGACGACTTTACCTCCTCTTCTTCGATCTCTTCGTCAATAAGGCTACCATCTGAAACCTGAGCTACTGAACTTCCATCACCTATAATACTGCCACCGTTGCCACTCACCAAATCCACTAACTTTCTCGGGTCGAAACGGCAGTCGTCCGTGATCACGCGACGGCGCCTTACCTTTCGGTGTTTTCTAATAATGGCTGAGCCTGGATTACAAAACACGGCAAGGCTCCAATGGAAACTAGACCACAACAAGAGAAGAAGACGTTTTAGTTTTCACGATTCCAATTTCACCCTTGATCCTGCAAGCAACCGTACCTGTCGTTTATAGGAATAAATAAAAAGCGCTTTTCAAAGAGGTTCGTCTCCTTGTGCGTCCAGCGAGCCACTCGAGTAAAGCGTTCATCGGGGTCAGTGGTTGATAATTCATGAGCACCGTTGGTGCCGTTTAACTGGGAGAAGAAATGTGCGGTAAAAAAGTACATTTTCTGCTGCTGTGACGAATCCAAATGCCGCCAGAGAAATCTGCCAAACGTACTTCAAACATTAGATCTCGCCCGTCGATACTACCCCGTACTAGTCAGTCGTACCTGAGATAGAAATCGATGATATTATCATTCAGGAACTCTCCGGGGACGAGGCGATCAACATCACCGAGCGTCACCGATATCCTTCCCAACTTGTCCGATCCATCATAAGGATACTCAAGTAATTTTTCGTTGCGGCGACTTTCAATTCTCCTCCGCTTTACCCTTTCATCTTCTCGCCAACTAGACGCTGCTCTTTCCTTTCTTTTCATATTTTCGCTCTGCATCTCGCTTTGCTGTATTAATGAAGATGTTAAAGCATCAATTGCGCTTTGAGTCCCAAATTGCTCACGTGGTGTGCGAGTTATGACCATAGTTTCACCGCCTTCAGCACCTGTCCTACACTCTTGTTTTCCAGTACCAACGTTGACAATCGATATCGGCAATTTTTCCTCCTCGAAGTCAGGATGTGATACTTTAGTTAACAAATTCAGCGTCCGACCTTTTACGAAATTGTCATGGTCTTGAACAACAGATGGGTTCTCATCCTTCTCCAAAACAGAAGTCCGCGCTATAGGTCGAAAGAAGGAAGTCACACTGCTACTCACAGCACCAAGTTCCTGTCTAGCACCGTTCCCCATCATTTCCTCAAAGTTATGACTTCGTGTATCACAACACAAGCTGTCTTTCATCCCGCGCCGCAGTAGGTACCGCGGCGCTCTCAGTGCGTCCAGGCTTCTATACTGTCGTGCCTCACTCTCTCTGTATTAGTTTGACGCACATTATAAGTAAAAAGTTAGACCCTACACATCACTGACTGTTTGTATCCGCAACTTACGACAATGTTTCCCTGAAAAAGGCCGCTAGCCTCGGGTTATTACCAACCATACTCTGGCAGCGCATGAAATCCATTGCTTCATCGAAATAAAACACGATGCCATAGAGCTCTGCTCAAAATCACATCACAAAAAACCACTCTCTTCATTAGCTGAAGCATGGGACATAAAATCCGATCACAAGGCCAACGATTATCAGCGTACTCAATATTGCTTGATCTTTAGTGTCATGTTCTTCACAAACTTTTGCAAAGATCGGGTCGTAAAAAGCAGCAAAGTCCGATCTGCTTTTTGCATTGTCCAGTTGTAGTAACAGGATATATGGCGGACGATCAGCTCGTGAGAAACTAGCACACAGACACAACAATCTTAATTAATTGCCACCCAAAACACTTACAAACCAACTTTTTTCTTGAAAAGAACACTATTTTCTAAGCCACGCACCAGAACCGCACAATGTGCGTGTACTTGACTTCTCCTTGCCATTGCGGTTTGTAGTCCTTCCAGATCGTTATATGGACTCGATCTTGTCCAAATTCCAGCTCACCACGGTCAAAAGTCTTGCCGCAAATGCTTGTACGAGCAGCAGAGATTATACCCATGAGCTCATCGTTGGAAGAAGAACTGACACGGCTACGACAATTGAAGCTTCTGAGCCTCGAATTGTCTCGTTTTCTGGATTGATTTTTCATATTAAAGAAGAAATTCAGCTGATGCCCGAATGGTTTGAGCTCGAGAATGTCACTGCTCTTATTGTCGCTGGTCTGCTGATCTTGTTGATGTTGGGTTTTACCGGTATTACCGGTATTACCGATCTCATTGGTACTATTAGTAAAATAAAGATCCAAGAGTGATGGTCGATAGAAGAGTGCGGAAGGTTCTTGAACACGAGGAAATTGGGGCTCAGTGTCGTCTGCAGAGTCGTCGTTGACAGCAATAAGACTATGAGTAGATGAAGAAGAAGAGGAAGAAGGTGAGCGATGAATCGTAGATGTATGCAATGGCGACAGGGACTCCAGACCGAGTCGCATGGTTGAAATCAAGAGTGAAGGATGTCATTCAAGTGAGTAGTGACACATGGCCATATGGTCCACAGATCTGTTTTATGACCAATGTATACAAACACGTGTCCTAAAATAGGCACTCTAAAGTATAAAAACGACAGATTTGAAGCCGTCTGTGCTAGATTATCATCTGTGAAGGGAAAGAAAGGAGCGACTGATCGTCGGCCTTCTGTGTAAAGCTGTTTCGCTAAAACAGGGCGGTGAAGTTCCACTCTCATTTCTCGTAACGCAAAAAAAGGCAGAAGAAAAAAGGAGCCCAGATGAACACTATTGTGCTGGGTAACGCAAAGGCGAACGTGGACTAGCCATCTGGGGCATAGACGATAGGAAGAACAAGACGAGCTCCAAGTAAAAGTAAGATATCCTGTCGAGCAACACAGACATCGAGCGCCTGATCGATGTATAGGGCTGGGGCCTTCAGTCCAACGTATACAATGTATATGTACATCCGGCTCGAGCATTTTTCCCTCGTGCATGCGGCCATATCGCAGCGTCATTTCCTACTAATGGTGCTAGAAGGCAGCACAGCCAGCCGACCGTACATATTGAACCAGATTCCGTTCGAGCTTTGCGTTGCCAATAATTGAGTCCATCAACAAATGAACAGTCATCTGCGAGCCTCTCGCCGAAAGACTCGAAAGGCTTACGGTACGCAAGCAGCGTGCTTGATAAGAGAAACAAGAAATCTTGCAGCAATCACGCGAAATGGCAAGAGTCTGACTGCCAGCCAGGCCCACGACGCTACGCCTCATTGCAAAAAGGCCAAACTAGCAATGGGCTCGATCCTGGAAGCTCCATCTGCGTGAATTTTCCGTATTTATCATAGTAACTACCGTACCCGACTGACGATACCAAAGTCCAAGTCATATAAAGCTCAAGGATCGGTCTTGCTAAAACGCCCGTTCAGTCGGTCGCCGCAATATTTTTCGCAGAGTCGCCCGATTTGCCACTTTGCCGCAGCAGTTACACAGCCGCCCCACTTCTTTTCTTCTCCTTGTTTCTGTATACATCTGTATGCCCTGTCCCAGAAGCAGCAAGCCGCTGTGGGTTTTCTTCCCCCCTCCTCTCCATCGCAGACTTGAAAAAGAAAACTCCTCATTTCCGCTTTCTCTCCATGGCGCACAGTTCGTCCTCGGTCTTTAACGAAGTCCCTTCTTCCACTGAAGCCTCCGAGATGGTCACCAAGACGTCGAGTTCTTCCAATGCGCCCACTGATGCAAGTGTATCCTCTGCCAGTGCGACGGCCACAGCTACGGCGTCGTCTACTGTCGTAGCTACGACGTCGTCGCCGACCTCGAGCGACTGCCTTCAGGTGTCGACAGGCGCTGCTTCTCCGAGCGTGCTCTCGTCTGCGGACGATTCGCTGCCATCTTCTACTCAGAAATACACGTGCGTGCCACCAGCGGTGCTACAGAGTGTAAAGACGTCACTGACTTTTCGGAAGAGTTGCCTGAAGCGCTCCAAGTCCTCGACGTTACCACTGTCGGTCTTTTGCGAAGACTCGATGGCTGTTGCGAAGCAGGTGACAAAGATAGAAGAGAAGAAGGAGGGAAGACCTGTACAAAAGAATCGTAGACGTTGCTGGGAATGCAAGAGAAAGGTAGGACTGGCAGCGGTAAAATGTCGCTGCGACTACACGTTCTGTGGCAAGCATCGGTACGCTGAGGAACACAAGTGCGTCTTTAATTTCAAGACGGCGGGCAAGCGGAAGCTTGAAGAAGAGAATCCTGTTGTTGTCCCTAGCAAAGTGGCTCGGATCAACTAAGTGAAAACTTTTTGGTTTATTTTTCTTACGATTTGTACCAAGTTTTTTGTGGATGGCGTGATTTGATTGGCTGAAAGATCGAAATTTTCTCGAAGAATCGGTCCGACATGCAATTTGCCGATAGAAAAAAGAAGTTAGGAGACACAAGCCCAAGTGACTGCTTCGACGCTGGTTTTGTCCGTAGTTTAGTATCAGGCAGCCGCGTGCGCTCGTTTCCCGTCGCCTTCTTAGTGTAGCGCACTCTTAGTCCAGCGCGGTCTCGAGCCTATAATGAAGTTTTAATACGTATAGTAATTCTGCATCCATATGTTTCGACTGCCTTTTTTGAAGCCTTTTTAAGTGTTTTCTGGCGTCGTGTCGCGCGAGTCCTGAAGCACATGTTTGGTCCAATCGAGTCGGTTGCGCAGCATGTTCGTGTGATGGGAGAAGCGAGAGGGAGCTGGTTGCAATAAAACGAGCACGAGTAACCAGTGTGCTAAAACAGGCGGCGTTGAAAGTATGTTCGAGAAGGGAATACAGATAAGGGTACGCAAGCAAGACTGATTCAAGAATTTGTTCGCTGGATCATCCATCCGGTTGTACAAAGTGTATACTACCCTGTATAGTCCTGTCCGCGCTGCAATTTTGGCAACGTCTCATGTCACCTACACGCCCAGTAGGTGACATGATGCGTCGCTGCGTAGGCAAACGATTTTTCTATAGCGCGGTCCCTTTCTGCCTGCATGTAGCGTGGCTTGTATACAACTTTACGCATGTGGAACTTGTGCACGACCATCCGTAAAGCCGCATAGGGCGGGATAGGGTGACGTAAGCGAACGGCCTGTGAGGCAATTAGCAACGCTTGACGATGACGCATCACGTTTCTAAAACTGCATCCAAACCAGAAAAAAAGAGAATGCCGCTGACAATAGAAACGAGTTTTTTTTCTATCATTAAAAATGATTGCGCCATTTATTGAAGGGTAGACGATACCTAAGCCGACCCGAATCAGTTTACTTGGTCTTTACGGCAAGTTCATGGACTTTTTCATCTCATGCCAAAAGCGTGTTCCAAGCTTCACGGGAGTAGGCGGAGGTGGATTAGCTTTCAAGTGCTGCTCCGCTTTTTGTCCAGCTTCTTTCATACTCGTGGCACAAGCTTCGTCCCAATCTAAAAACGTTTTTACGATGTCGGGCATTTGCGTGGGAGCTGCAATGACGTCATCGCTCACTTCGGCGAATAGTTTGTTTGCAGACACCCTTTGACGGCCTTTCATTACGATGCCGCGTACAAGACCTTCAGCAAATTGTTTCCCAGTGGTGGTATCTTGGAACTGGTGCAAGAGATAGAGCCAATCATCGTCCCAGTACACCACTTGCGTCTTGATCTCGTATGCATGAAAGGGAGGGATTGCGTGGCGATAGCGAATTGCTTGTGAACCGACGAATATCATCCGTCGACTCTTGATCACCTGCCACAAAATGCCACTGGCACTAGGAGGTGCAAGGCATGAACATTAGAAGATAGCATTATTTTTATGCGGCTATCAGCTCTACTAGTATAAACAAATTACATGCAAATGCTTACGCTGTAAAGTGCCAGCGAGCAAGTTCCATACTGTAGAGATACGACGAATTGTTGAGATGAAAATTTACGTCGCAATCCAAGAATCCCGTTCGTCCCTTCCATACCGATGGATAGCTTACGCCCATGACGCCTTTGCCCATTGAGCGCTTGTTCACTAGCCGATGCACTAGCCCAGCACCAATGTTCCAGAACGCGCGCAACACCATTCTTGATCTTGTACACTTACTGATACAAAAGTTGACAAAAAGATAATTCGATCCCAAAATGTGTCGAATTGTTTTTCGCCGATTAAATCCCTCTCGATGGTTAAAATACATTTGCTTATAAACAAAAAGCGATTTAAGTCATGGGACGACTTTTGTTTTTACAGAACAATATAGTAATTATGAGAAAGTAATAGCCTCATCGGAAGTAGTAAATAGATTCAAATACCTGACCAGGGTGTTTGTATACTGTAGTCTAGTAGTTGAGACGGCATGACAGTCAGAGCATCATTTGTTTTGGTGTGTGATGCTGTTTTCCTGGAAAGCCTTAATACTTTAATATATTACAGTTATGCATTAGAATGGATACGCATATATATTATTGTCACTGAGCTTGTCATGATTTTCGAATGGCGGCGACTACCAACAATACAGGAATTAGCATTCGACATTTCCAGCTTGGTCGTTTTTCAACACGAACCATTTCGCCCTTCACTTTATCCACAGTAAGATAAGCAATGACGATAGTTAAGCATTGTCAAGTCACTTTAGCAGTTGAAAAACCCAAAGCTAAGTTTTCTATCGATACGCAAATATCCACAAAGCTAGGTAGAAACCAGAACGTTGGGAGTTGTCTACTGACGTAACAACATACTTCGAGTAGCTATTTGTCAAGCAAAAGCTTACTAAACGTACTGAAAAGACAGTCGTAAGCTGCGAACAGTAAATGCCCTTCTTTCGTTCACCATACTAGCCAACCAGCGAGCCAGTGTTCGTGTCCTGGCACTTGACGCCGAGCGAACGCTTTGACACTCTCATGGTACACACAGGTGATTACTCCCGTACCACATCCAATCAACCAGGCCACATAGTCAACGGCCGCCGTCCCGAAGAAAGACTGAAATCCAGGAGCGTATACGACGAGCACGACGATCAAAATTTCGATTGCACCACCATACACCATGACAGTGTTTTGGAACAAGCTGGTTTTGATCACGGAAGCGCGCCGAGTTTTGGCTACCCAAATGTGAAAAAATTGGCATACAACCAGCGCAATATACCACGAACTGCATGCTTCGTTAAGCAGCTGCATTTGCTCAGTTTCGTCAAAGCACTCCTTATCCTCGGTGCAAAACAATTGAGCATCAGCCTTCCAGTGGTTATCCGAACTTCCGAACAAGTCCGAGAATGAAATTCCGTGACGCCAAAAGACAGTACCGTAAGCTAGCAGACAACCTCCGGCATTGATCATTCCAGCAATAACATACGTGTAGATCAGTAGCGATTTTGACATAAAGCGATCCTTGCTTAGATTGCGCGGAGGGCGCTCCATAATGTCCTGTTCCGCACCTTCGTAGGCGATGGAAATGGCGGGGCCAAGCTCTGTTCCGAGATCGATGCTCAAAATTTGCAGCGATGTCATACCTGGAGGCATCCCGAGTGCCAAGTTGATCGCCACCGGCATAATCTCAGGCCATAGGTGTGTTAGCGTGTAGGCAATGGTCTTCTTGAGATTGTCATAGATCACACGTCCTTGCTCCACACCGCGCACAATGGACGAGAAATTGTCATCCATCAAAATGATATCTGCGGCTTGACGAGCTACGTCGCTGCCGTTTTGTCCCATCGCAACGCCCACATCAGCTTGCTTCAGAGCAGGTGCGTCATTTACACCATCACCCGTAACACAAACACATTCGCCCAGTTCCTGGCTAGCTTGTACAATCTGCAATTTATGTTGGGGCGTCGTTCGTGCAAACACCACGGACTTCAACCGTAGAATAGCCTTGAGTTCGTCGTCCGACAAATGATTGATAACAGCGCCGTGAACAACTGCGCTGTCATACGTGTCGATATCAACGAGTGTTTCTGCGGTGCCACTGGCAAAAGATGGCGTCAACAACTCGAGAACGCGACCGTAGTCATCAAGTAGACCGATTTCTGTCGCGATGGCACGGGCCGTCAATGGATGGTCGCCAGTGACCATGAAGACCTTGATACCAGCGTCTTTGCATTTCGCGATAGCCTCCGGGACGTCGCTTCGAGGAGGGTCCATAATCGCAACCATACCAACAAAGCACAGATCCTCAGACGGAAAATTGCCTTCGTCTACGGAGAACTGTGCACTTGATGACTCAAATTGCCGTGTTGCAAGTGCAAGTACGCGACGTCCCTTGCTTCCAAAGAGTTCATATGTTTGGGTGAATTCTTGCATCAGCTCGCTGGTTAGCGGAATCTCTTCGCCCGTTGCTGTTAGTATAGTGCTGCATCGTTCGATGATCACCTCGGGTGCACCCTTCATGAATACTTCGAAGCTGGGTTGCATGATCGTCTCACCTGAAGTAGGGACAATCACTAAGTGCCACTTGTTGGTTGAGTTAAATGGAATTTCAAATACCAAAGGGTACTCCTCGCGGATGGCATTCGATGAATAGTTCAAATCTGCGAAGCGGAGAAGTGCGATGTCAGATGGATTGCCCGTATACTGGCGCTTGCCAACAACCTTGCGCTGCTCGCGACCCGAAATATTGCTTTGAATGCTGAGCCGAGAGAGGCTAACTGAGCTTCTAACGCCAGACTGTCGGGCATCCGTCTGCACGTCTGTAGCTGGCATACTATTTTCCAAGACCATTGTATCAGGAGCCGCACGGTTGCACAATGCAGCCCCGCGTACCAAAACAGCTTTTGAAGACTTTCCTGACAAGTAATTGGTTCTATCGTCCAGCTCAATTACTACTTGGCCTCCGGATGGTTGGGCGGTTAATTTGCGTCCAGACCATGTGTCTGTCACAGTCATGACATTCTCGGTCAATGTGCCAGTTTTGTCCGAGGCGATCAATGAGATCGATCCCATCGTCTCCACACAATCCAGACGCTTCACAAACACATTCTGCGCTGCCATTCGACGTGCAGTGATCGTCAGCAATGACGTCACGGTGGCAGGTAAACCCTGAGGCACATTTGCCACAATAATTACCAAGAAACCATTCACGAACGTCGACATCACATCTTTGCCTCCTTTTCGAACAGTGCCAACCGTAAATAGAGCGGCAGCCATTATTAAAGCAAGAACACTAATGAAGCGAACGAATGCCTTCACTTCCCGCTGCATGCTCGTTTCGTGCGAGGTGGTAGATGTAGCGAGTTCTGCTATACGACCAATGACAGTCTTATCCCCAATTGTCAGCACGAGGCCCAGGGCGGAACCGTCAAAGCACAGTGATCCGTTGAATACGACGTTCTTGCACTCTAAGTGAGCTACCGAGTCCTCCTGAGCATTCGACGTGATGGTGACTAGCTCCGACTCACCCGTCAGAGATGAGTTCTCTACCTTAAGGTTGTTGCACAGTAAAACCCGCAGGTCTGCGGGCACTTTGTCTCCATTTCGTACCCACACCAAGTCACCAAACACCAGCTCATCGGCTGCGATCGTCTGCGTCACGCCGTCACGTACGACCGCGCATTGTTGCGGGAGCATGTTCTTGAATGAATCCATCACCTTGCTGGTCGACCGAGCCTGCAAGAACGTGATGGTGCACGTGACGATCACGATGCCAAATAGCACCAGCGACAAATACAGATTCAGCTTTGTTGATGTGTCGATGAAGTAGGCGATGAGACTTAATAGTCCCGCAGCAGTCAACAGTATCATGAACAAATCAAGAAACTGCTGCAAGAACAAGATGTAGTCGGGCACGGTCTTGGGCGGTGATAAACGGTTATATCCGCACACTTTGCGTGCCTCGTCAACGTCCGTTGAGAGGAGGCCTTGACTCTGTTCGAGATTGGTCGGAGCGATGCCACTACGTGGAAAATGCTCTGGGAGGTCTTCAACTTGGACGTACGCTTCCCAGTAGCGTTCATGCTCGCCCTGGGTACTTTCAGTTACCTTTGGAGTTGGTGGCACAGCGATAAAGTCGGAATGTATTGGATCCGCCATGGGTGACTCTAGATTCATCGTAAGAAGAGGAGGCGTATTTCGGAGTTGAACAGGTTTTGGTGTCGAGTGCAAATTGCAAAATGGTAGAAGGTGGCTGTCGCGAGTTTCCCCCTTTTGAAGTGGAAAGAGGCTATAGAGGGCGAGTGGACAGGAAGCAGAAAAGTATGGAAAGCTCTGTCGTGAGCGCGTCGTACGGCGTTGTCCCGATGTCTTTGCTCAAGTATGAGCTCATCGTACGGCCCTGTACGCAAAAACTCCCAGTCGACGGGTGGTTTTCCCTTCCTGATCGGACTAAGGGCAATGCCTCACTGAACTAGCAGCATTCATCTCCGATACGAGGCACTCAAGTACAAATGCGCCGACGCGACAAGTAATTGAACCGCTACAGCGATACATTTGAATGTAGGTATACGCAATTTGTAGAAAAGAGATGCATCAATGCACATTCTAATGAAGTTACAAGGAAAGCGTAGGAGGGATGACCTGCTTACCGTGGTTCTCACTAAGCGGGATGGGGATGAAGAAGTTTTTCGACTCTTGCTTCCACCTCGGGCATTGCAGAGGTTGCTGGTTTTATATGTAGGAAGATCACCACCACTAAGTGGTTACATTCCGTTTGAATAAAATGCTTAATTTGTATAATACAAGGACACAGTTCGTGTGCAACAATTTATGGGCTTGTACTGTCAAGCGCTGCAGTGTTGACTACGATACACCCCGTCGGTCTGATTTTAGTTTCGTACGGCGCTGTACACAGCAACGATTGATAGATTCACCTCCCGCCGCCACGTGTAGCATAGCTCGTCAAAGACCTTCCTATATACTAAAATCAGCTACTAGTTGCAAGGTTCTAGCGCTACAGGGACATCGAAGTGAAACACAGCAGATTCGCTTTCTTTGGAACACCTATTAATTGTATTCGCTTTATTTTACAATGTTTGACGAAGCATTTCGCCTGGAATTCCCTTGCATTAACATTTACCGTTGCATGTCGAATTACCAGTCGATTAATTATCTGTATACCCTGCACGGCGCCAGTAGTATATGAGCAGTACGCACAATGTCTTTTGCTTCGGTATCCGTTTAAGTGAGTCGATGCGTGCTGACCTCTCAGCTTCATTCGCATCAGCTCGTCGAATCACTTTACAACTGCTGCACCACACGACCGTCTCATAAACAAGCTCAATGCAAGATCCGCATAGCCACTTCGACATGTTTTCGCCTAGCTCATATATTTTTTGTAATTGCTTGTCGCTGTGTGCTAAGGGTGACTGCTGTGTGGGCATCTCGAAGCAAACCTCTCGGGATAGCAAGTAAATTTTGACGACTGTCAAAATCACCAGGCTGCGCCGAGCAAGAATTTGTCGACCATATTGGAGGCAGAAAAAATCTCTCGATCCACTACGTAATTTGTTGCCTCGGGACCTTTCTAATCGTCTCATTATCGTGCGGATGCCCTAAATCAAGACCTTGACGAAGATATGGTCGTCTACAAGTCGAGACTTCTCGATGGAGGCGCATAGTAGCGAACAGAAAAGCAGAGAAACTCTCACTCAGGTGACTAACGTCTGAATGACGTCGGTCCCGCATATCTGCTTCATAATTTTTTGTAACAACTAATCTATGGCAAATTTCTCGGACACAGATAAACAATGCGACAACGTGCAGCTTCAAGATGGCGACTGTGACCCACCGTGATGAATAAATTAGTGGAAGTGTGTCATTGTTTTTTTTTCTCGGATCCTACGTCGGTGTTAGTCAGGATACCGTCGCAAAGTGAAAGAATTACTGACGCGAGTACACAGCTAAGCTGAGAGTGTCAGACGATGACTGCAACGCCGTATCGAGTCAAATCTGACGACAGGTGAACACAATGAAAGTGTTTATAATAGTGAGGTTGTAAAGACCAAGGATCCTAGGACCTTTTGGTTTTTGTAGCCATAGCTAGCCGCAGTATGCGTCGTGCATCATAAACATGCACGACTAGCGATGTATACACGACAAGAAACACTTGTCTTTGAAGCCGTAGCTCTCGGAAACAAAAAGGGTAGAAGTCTTTTCATCACCTTAACGCATCAAACGCCTCGAATATCTCGCGCTATCATCTTAGTCTTCTTGCTTGCGAGAGCGTCACAGCGATTAATGATGGCGACTGCGCGATCATTGTCAGCTGGAAACCTAGTTGCCTTTATTGCAAAAACGCGAATGAGTAGCAACTAGGTGTCCACCGATCATTTTTCGTAGTCCGTAGCCTCGGTGCATTTACGCAGCCATTATAGGACAGGGTCTTTATGACACCTCGCCTCCTGATCGCCTTGCACAGCATCGATTACTTGGGACCGATGCTCTGTAGTGTGGTTCCTGCTTCGTGTATTCTTTGCAGTGGAGGCGAGTACGGGGTCTCGACACGTTCTGATCTTGCCCGACTATCTTCTTTTCTACTGCTTCGAGCACTACTGTTGGCACTCATGCTCTTTCGCCTTCTCCGCTAGCAGCTGCTTGTAGAAACATACTACTTCGCTTCTTGAATGTGGATGCATGGACGACAAGATCGCTTACACTGCATAAATGATATTCCGTCAACCCCATCATCCATGATGATCTAATTCAAGATCTCACCCAACAATTTGTCTTGAACAATAGTCTACAATCTGGTAGTTCATTATTCTTTACGGCCACTACGATGTCTTCGCTCAATTCCCTTGGTGACGTCTACCTGCGATTTGTGTGACTTCAGATCGCCGACATGTTATGTAGGTTAGGACAAGTGAAGAATCGCCGCGGCACAGACTGACGAGTGATGGAGGGGGCGCAAACTAAGCTACAAAATGCCAACAAAGCGTTTATAAGGTCCATATATGGTCAATGAGGCGCGTGGAGAGCATTAAGACATGTTCAGGCTGCTCCTTTTTCTCTTTGCTACAAGTGTGCCAACTTTGTCGCTTGAAGATATCAATCACTAAACAAACGAAAAATTTCGCGTCCGAAAGCCTAAGCAGCCTATCGGGGGTGGTGCTAGCGGCAGTGACATTTCTGACTCCTTCGCGAATACATGTAGAACTGACACCCTCGTCGTGATTACGCCACCCCCGTCGTTGTCAATCTTTGACTTAGATACGTTAAATTGCTTGCAATATGTCCACTTGTCAGATGAGTATTGTCGTGAAGATAGGTGCAATCAAAGTCCCTGTGCTACGACTCTGCTACTCATACATATTTTGCAGTATGGGCATGTCAGCAGCACTAGAAAGCACCTGGTAGACTCATTGATCGTGCTCGTCATAATGGTCTTCGTAACTGTTCGATCATTACGTAAATCATGTTGGTCATCAGTCTGGTGTGGTCAGCGTACTGAAACTTCGTTCGACTGACCACCTTGGTCGTCTTTGTCGTTTAGCGAACTGTCGTTCGAGCTCACGAACATGTTTCCACGACTACTGTAAACACTATCTAATTTGCTCTCTCTTCGACAGATCCGATCAAGATGCCAAATCTGCATGCACTTGTGGGGTTCCTATCTCCGCTGGAAATTTCTGCACAAGAAGACGACATGTTAGTCAATCTCACCGAAGCACTTACGCAACACAACCTTGCTCAATGTAGCACAGTGCTAGTTACGAAGGACGGTCATGCTGACTCAAGAGCCTGGAAGGAACTCAGACACAAAAATAACATTCGAGTATACAAGGAACGCCCGCGATCTAAATCAATGCCTTCCACACCATCCCTCCTACTCCTTGGAAAGATGCAAGGCAAACTCGACGACGTCATGTACGCCATCGTGACCCCCACTGAAGAGTCGATGAAAATAAAGTCAAGCTGCACGCACGACGGCGTGATCGACCGCAAGGTGTTACGTGAAATTGTGCGGCCGAGCATCGATAATCCGTTCCGTCACGTTAGTATCAACTGGTCGCTCTACGCCGACGCCGATCCGCATGACTACGTCTGCGTTGATGCTACAGGCATCACCCACAGTTTGCGCGGTGAGCGCGTAGGCTTCCACCTCTCGCACTCGGTGGCGTTCTCGTCACTGCAGAACTTCTCAAAGTCGCACGGTGTCGAGCGCGGCAACAGGTCCATCTGCTCACTGTACAGAGAGACAGCGAAAGGCGAGGTGGAGTGCTACGTACGCGGGTTCTTCGACTTCAGCAATGGTAACAACGAGTTGATGATGAACATCTCTTTACACGCTATTGCAAACCAGTGGTTGTCCTTTTCTCGCCAGGTCGAGTTTGCGCACATGAAGAAACTAGTGTGGCGCTTGCGTCGCAACAGCAAAGACTACGACAACCTTATCATTGCTGCTGCAATGGAAGAGCATGAAAGAAAAACATCAGAGGTGACTTTGAATCGACGAGACACTTGTCGTGTGTGTCTCAAGACATTCGGTCTGCTTGATCGAAAAACTACCTGTAAGAACTGTGAACAGGTAGTGTGTTCTCGGTGTCGTGTTAAAAAGCGCGTTTGTATTCTCGCCCCAAACCAACGCACAGTTTTGGAGAAGAAGCGAAGTTTCTGTGCCCCATGTATCGAACAGGTTGCAACGACCAACGCGCGTGCAATTGCTCAAGAGGAACTTCAGCTTTATAAGAAAGACCATGATCGAGGAGGTACAAATCTTTGCCCTCTTCCGACAGCGTATAACGTCAAATGAGTCCGGTTGAAGCGTAATGTTGCGTTGCATTTTCAATCTTTCTTCCAGACAACAATAGAAGTTGTTGTGGCTGCAGCAAGTTCAAGTGAAAGGTTGTTTGTAACATAAAGAGAAGCATCATAGTAAATTACTTGTTATTGTACTGTCAGTCCGATGGTTGTACACGAAAGCTGCACCAGAAACGCGTTGAAAGCGTCAACAATACAAGAGTGCATCAATGTCGTCTCGTAACTATGAGCCATGAGTTGCCGCCAGCTTAAGCATCTTAACAAACGTGTTTTTGTAAACAGCAATAAAATTCAACGAAACAAAAACGTGTTTGTGGTGAGGTCGCTAGTACTTTGTCGTGATCGCCTTGAACCTTTGTATGATTACATGACTACATCACGATGTGCTTCACTTTAGTGAAACCACCTATTGAAACTTATACCAGTTTCTCTAACACCGCCTTCCCGTATAAGTTGCTGATACATGGTATCTCTGCGGCCTCTTCTATCTGATGAACCTCTTGCTGCTTGAGAGACTTAGGACCCAGTCAAACTTTAATGCTCGCTATCTTCCTCTCGGTTATCGGCTTATGTAGTAAGCGGTCGAGTAAGAAAGGCTTACACAACTCTACAGTTCGTAAGGACGACCCATTCCTGCTGGTAGGACAGGTTGGGTACAGGAGCTGATCGAAGATGGACTTATTAGAACGGGAAACCATATCCACATGGCACTCTGGTCAAACACAATGCGCTCAGCTACTTAGCCACTTCATCTTTTGCCTTGAAGAAGATACTTAGCTTAATGTGCTGAGTGTGGCTGCTCCCCGAGTGTGTCATTAAGATCGACAGCTTTTGCAAACGACACACGACCGCAAGTTTTAAGATTCATGATTCCGCTGTCCCACAGAATAATGATGAGGATATACACTCTGCAAAAGCGTTCTACGGTCAAAGTTACGAATGTGGTTCGCTTGCAGAATTAAATCTTATCGACTCAATTACTTGAACTCACCCATGTTATCGAACATAGACACTGTAATGACCGAAGAATTGTGCAATGTCAGATTTCAGGCAATCGTTAAGGACATTTTGTTTAGTTATTTATTGTTTGTTTCCTAAGAGACCTTGAATTAGATCATCATGGACAGAGAACACTGATCCATCCCACTACGGTGCGGATTAAGGCTTTTCTCGCATTGTTGACTACAATGAGAGTACGCCATTGCCATCACCCCGAAGTTGTGATGAGCACAGTGCTTTGATGGGACATTTGTCCCCATCATTTGAGACACCCAACCTTCAGGAAGCTTCCATGCTTCCTGATAGCGAGGGTCATGCCTCGTCGTCTGCGCCAACGAGCGCAGCGACCATAACTGAGCGAGCTGCTTCGAAATAAGCAGCCGCAGCTCAACAGCAGGTCGACGATTCTAAATTGACCGCTTCTGTTAACCCTACTTCTGCAGTCTTGACAATCCATAATGGAGAGCCAGACTCAGGCGAGGGTGACCAAAAAGCTCCTTCGACTTCACAGTCGGCCTCACTAGCACGCCGTCGCGAGGGTGGATACGTGAGTGATGGTTTGCCAGCGATGCCACCGCCATCCGAGTGGCCACGCTGGCGATTGAATAGAGTGACGCTTTTAAGGCGTGCCACTATTGACACTAATAAACGTTTTAGCATCTTTCCATTATGAAAAATCGGGCAAAGCACTAAAGCGATAAAGTTGTTCACTCGCATCACGACTCCCGACATGACACTTTTCTTTCATCATCACCGTCATTTCCAGCGGATGTCTGTTTTTGACGTTACTCGCCATATCAGCTAAAGTGCAAAACGCTTGGACCGCAGAATGGGTTCCTGTTCGAATATCACCGCGAGTTCATCGGTACGCACCAAGCTGCCAAAACAGTCAGTGTCTTGACTTTAAGCACCTCAATGTGATTGGTGCATGCAGCTTGTCGCTGGGCTAGCAGAGAATATACAGGCAACTACAGACAGACGGAATGATGATGCTGCAAGTAAGCATAGCTAACCAAGACATCCCTATCTCCTTTGAAAGACATTCCAAAAAGGGAGGATACCCCCCTTCTCTTCGTGAACGGACAGCGGCGAGTGGCGATTCCAAGCGTGTCGCTAGTCCTAATACTGACGGGTGGTTTTACCCAGATGCGAACACGAAAAAGTGGGACTCGAGTCCCAATGCGGCTTTATTTACTCTAACGGGGAATTCTAATGCTACAGCACTGCGACGACCGCGGTCGAAAGTAGCTGAGGGGACCAGCAAGTCGCCAAATTAGGGGTCGGCAACTTCCGCCAAGGAGAGCGCGACGAACTCGGCCGAAATGTCCACGAAACCGCTTTCATCGACTAAGGCAACAGTTTCTATGAAAAGAAGAGCACACACGGTCAACCTTCCGCGACATCAGCCGCTGCCGCTGATGATAAGGCTACTAAGCAGCGTGCACAGGCGGTGCTAAGTTGGAATAACTAGTTGAAGGTGATCGTATAGCATCCACGGCAGATCAGGCAACGGACAGTGTTGCCGTTCCCGCTAGATCTACGAAGTCGTTCGCTAGCGGTGGGCAAAAACCTTTATTAAAAATAAGGACAAAGGTGGAATCGTACGCCTCAGTCCCATTTTAACACCCCCGAACCACCAACGTCATCGAGCAAGTCACACATGAAAAGAGGATATAATGGACATTGATCGCGGCCACGCCATGAGCCAACATTTTTCACTTGACACTGCAGAATGTTGCGAATCGAAGTATTACTGGATGCCGATGAAGTAGCGATGTCATCCCTCTCTATGGTTGCTGGATACAAAAGTTGAAGGCGAAAACCCACGAAACGATTTTAAGGATTTTCATGCCAGCTCGCTGCAGCCGTCTGGTCAGGCAGGACAAAGGTGATAAGTCGAGTGTCCGAATTGTAACACGTGCGCTTTGCTTCCTTGGCTAGCTCCCGGCTTAGTGGATCCGAAATCATCGCCCATTCGCGGCGTTCCGATAGTTGTATTTATCAAAAAAATTAAGCATCGCAATCCGCGTGGCTCTTGGGTGCGTGCATGCCAAAAATACCGGGCGGCGAAGGAAGTATGATGCCACCCATCATCCAAGCTGCAACCGCCTCCTCTTCAAGTGAATCATAGGATGCAGATAATCATCCATCTTATCGATCCAAGGTCTCGAATCTGTGCGCACCAGTAAAGCACGTTGGTCTTGCGACCCACCGACCTCCGCCGGAGTCGAGGCACTGCGGTCGTCGAGGTTTATTCTGTCGCCAATGCCATTTCTGTCGCCGAGGTCGCCCTTTCGCCGGTTGCCAGGGTCAATCCATTCGTCGAGGTTGATGCGGTGACCGGAGCCGTGGATCGAAGTCGCGAACGAGACCCGACCAGCCGCCGTTGGCCTATTACCAGGCACGTGATTCTGCCGCACATGTACATCTTGGCTTTCACAAGGTGGGGGCATCGCTCAGCGGCACACCGCCGTCGACAGTGCTCATGGGTAAAAGGCACCCTTTGTAACGGGCTAAAAGTTACACGGTTCGTTAAGTATTCGATACTTAACGGCAGGCCAAAATGGATACGAGGTACCTCAGACCTTCCACTTGGGTGTGGCACATCAATGTCACCCACCCTCGTGAATGTGATATCCATGGATGGATTCACATTCAACGGGGATGACGCCAGTTGGGACTGGGCTTCATGGTGACGCTTCAAATAGACGTCATCAGCGAGCTTAGATATATTTTAAGCTCGCACGGAAGGATACGCTTTTAAAGAGACGCGTATCCGATCATTGCATAATTAGCCAATCAGTAGTTAAGTTTATATTTAGGTGAAATCTATTAGATATAAGTGAGTTTTGAATTTACTAACTATCGCCCACGACTGCGCACGAGAAGCTTAATAATCTTCTGCGTGACGTGAGTGAGGTACTACTTAGTGGCTAGTTGCGCGGACCACTCTAAGCGGCCGGCAACAGATTGATTCGGCGCTTTAAGCGACCGACCAACGCAGCCACCACCGCATGCGGAGTTAAGACGGTATAACCGCTTCCTTACGCTACCCGAAGGTGTGACCGCGTAGTACGTGGCAGCTTCTCTACGAAGCGCGCGTCTACACTTGATAGCACCAGTAGTTCTTCCCACGACCCGTCTCATTGAGCGTGCGTGTGTATACGGATGTCCCTCAATGTGAATTGGGCGATTTTTTTCCTTACCTCCATCAACATCATAGGGAGGTGGTAGAGCACTTGGTGCAGGGACGTGGTGAACAAGCCCTGGACAATCTCTTAAATTGTCCTCCTGAGCAACATGTTGCTCAATCGGAGCAATTCGAGGCGTTTGTGCTCGGAAAGCGTAGAAACGCGTTCGAGGTAAACAGCCAAGCCACGGCTGAGTCCATCAGTAAGACTCAGGATGAGCTTTTGCGTGAGCAAGCTCGTAATGAGGCGCTCAACAGAACTGTTGAGACGCTCTATGCCCGGTCTAATCAGCCAAGGCCCATTCGGATGGACCCTCCGAGGTTTGATGGGACTGCCCCACATAAGATTGTCCACTGGCTTTTAGCCGTGGAGCAATGCGGTATGGCGCAGCTCATCGAAGACGACACCAGGATGCCATGTCAAGTTTGCGTGGCAAAGCGTCAGAGTGGGCTTACTCTGCGCTTATGGCAAACGCTGATGCGTTTCCATCATGGACGATCTTTAAGTCAAAGATTCGTGCCATTTGCCAGACGCCTAACAATGAAGTGTTACTTGAAGCGCTTCTTTGGAGCACGACAGGAAAAACGATCTCTGCAAGAGTATGTGCAGGAGATGCGTTTGTTGTCTGCGTCTATTAATGTGGGTCCGATACCGGAACACATTAAGGTGCCTACGTTCATGAACGGACTAGGCACAACCCATCTCGTCATCCCTTTTCAGAAAGGTGTCAAAGATGATGGAAGAGGCAATTGAAATTGCCATGGTTGAGGAGCAATCCTACAACAGTGCCTCGGCTACAGCT